ATTTTGCCAAGAAGACCCCAAATAGGGTCATAAAGAGTCAGACATGACTGAACAACCACTCCTTCTCTAAGAAGCATATCATTGAGGAAAGCTTCTCCCTCTAAGAGGCCACTCCTCCTGGCCTGGAGAACTTTTAAACCTAGGAACACATAAACTTAGGATAACTTCCAAGTCTGAGAAAGTCCACTCCCAGGTTCCTTCCTACAAGGCCTTGCACGCCTAGGCCACAAGCTGTTGCTGGAACTCTGTCAATGCCCTAGTGGCTGCCTTATATTGAGTCAGAGAAAGTCTATTCTCAGGAAATCTAGTCTCAGATCTGTACTCTGAAAAGGAAACTCCAAACCTGAAGGTATAAAGAACTATTCTAGAGCTGCCAGGCTAGCTCCTGCAGCTTGCCATGTAATTCCTGCCAGTAGGTACTAATTGCTCCTAGAGGCAGAGGTAAGAAATCTCCCCAAACCAACCCCTTGCTGTAATCCAGAAGAAGAGGAGGGAAGAATATTGAAAAAGGCCAAGAAGAGGGACAGTGCCTCTGACAAAAATTCAATCCACTAACTCTCAACTGCCAGTCATCTCGAAGGGATCATCAGTCGCTAAAATTCATCAGAGGAGCTCCCTGTCTCCTTGTAGCAAGACTCCAGTGCATACGCCTACCCCTATGGAGGGACCCTCCAGATGTTACAGGACAGAGGTCCACACATTCCAGTCTCATCAAGTTGCTTGGAGATATGGATAAATAGTCAAAGGATATGTGAGCAAACAATTCTTGAAAGAATCAGAAAGTATTTACAATGTAAAAATTGCTCCAAATCTCTAACAATGAGAAATGCAAGTCAACATAAAACTGAGGTTTCACTTCATGCTTGGTAAATTGGCAAAGATGATGAAAGATGGAAATAGTCAATGTTGGAGGGGATATGGAAAGATATGCACATTAAGACACTCTTGGTGGAGCTGTAAATTGGTCAGGGGTTGGGAACCTGCGGCCTCAAGGCCACATGTGGCCCTCTAGGTCCTCAAGTGCGGCCCTTGGACTAAATCCAAACTTCGTAGAACAAATTCCCTTAATAAAAGGATTTGTTCTGTAAAACTTGGAGTCAGTCAAAAGGCTGTACCCAAAGACCTAGAAGGCCAACATGTGGCCTCAAGGCCACAGGTTCCCCACCCTTGGAACCATTCTGGCAAACAATTTGGAATAATAATAATAATAGCAATCATCGTTATTATTGTAGTAATAATGATAGTATTTATGTAGCACTTTAAGGCTTGCAAAGAGCTTTACAAATCTCTCATTTTATCCTAACAATAACCCTGGGAGGTAGATGCCCTCATTATCATCTCTATGTTACAGATGAGGAAACTGAGGAAAACAAGAGGTCAACAGAGTGACTTGCCAGGGTGACACAGCTAATAGATGTCAAGGGACAGGTTCAAACCCAGGTCTTAGGGACCTTAGGTCCAGCACTCCACGTGCTGTGCCACTTGGCTTCCTATAGTAGAATTCCCATAGAGTTATGCTAAGAGAGTGAGTAAAATGTTCATCCCCTTTGACCCAGACTCCCTCCTGCTAGGCACACATGCCAAAGAAGTCAAAGATAACAAGAAGGGTCCCATATGCACCATGGATAAGTCGTTTAACTTGTTTGCCTCAGTTTCCTCATCTGTAAAATGAGCTGGAGAAAGAATAGCAAACCTCTCCAGTATCTTTGCCAAGAAAACCCCAAATGGAGTCACAAAGAGCTGGACATGACTAATAAACCAAACAGTAATAACATGTGGAGAATACAAAGAAGCATGGGAAGACAAATCAGCTGAAATAAAATGAAACAAATAGGAAAACATGATATACAACGCAATTTGAAAGAATAATAACAATAAAAATACTGGAACTGAATGATGTATAATTATAATGATCAAGTTTGTCCCCCTCTCAAAAAACATGTGCAAATGCACCTCCCTCCCTTCTTTGCAAAGGGAGGGGAGGATAACTTAGGTGTAGGATACTACATATAATGTCAGACTAAGTTGTTGGGTTGAATTAGTTTTACTAAACTGCTTTTTTTTGGGGGGGGGAGGTTATTCTTTATTCTTTGTTGTAAGAGTTCTCTGGGTAAAGTGAACGGAGGGATATAAGTAGCTAGAGGTGAGGTCAGTCAGTCAATAAACATTTATTAAGGGGTTATACTGTGCCTGGCATATGGTAACACCTTAATAAATGCTTGATGACAGACTGGCATCATCTCTAGTATCCGGATACAGAGAAAAGGAATTATAACAAGATAACTAAAATTTTGGTAGATTGGAGAACTGATTAGTTTGCACATTTTGACACTTACCCTGTACTGTTTTGTACTATTTTATAAATATGAATGAATGATCAGTGAATGAATGAAAAAACTTACCATGTCTCAAGCAATTGGAGCCAAGTGAGGCACTCAACAGTAAGGGAGGAGAGGAGGGGAGGGAGGGTTGAACCTGAAAGGGTTAAGTCCTCCAGGGCATAGTCTCTGGTCTAGGCAGCAAGGAGGCTGCTGAGATCTATATCCCACTGCTGATTCCACTCCTGAACTGTGAGTGCCATAGGGACAGGAATCCCATCTTGTCTAAGCTTTGCATTTTCCCCTGTGCTAAGAACAGTGCTCTGCACACATAGATGATGCTTGTTTAACAAATGTTTGTGGAGGTGAATTGTAAAGAATGTGAGGTAGGCTCGAACCTCCTGGGAGATACTGGCTTGTTTCTCTCCCATCTGAATGCCAGATGGGCCACCCTCTTGCTCCCCAGAAGCTTAACCCAAACGAGAGTCCGAGTGTAGACAGAACTTGTGCCAAAGTCACAGGCAGAACTAGTTAAATGCTCCCCATCATACCTGCACAGTCCGACTTCACAGACAGGAATGTAACCCGAAGCCAGCGCTCAGCTCCCTATGGCCACCTGTCAGTCATTCCTGTGCTCTCTCTGGACCAATGACCCTGTTTGACCCAGTTCAGTTGAGCCATCACACTTAAGAATACTGACCCTCAGGGTGTCCCCATCTCCCTGAAGCCAGGCTTCCCTTTTCGGCCTTGCTTCAGGCCACTGGACTGCTTCTCTGGTCCTGAAAGCCAGAGTGTCCTGACAAGCCAAGGAAATCAGCACACAACTTTCCAAGCACAACAGGAAAAACACAGAGGTGGTGGGGTTGGGTCGGTCACTTGGATTTTTGGCAACTGCATCCCTCCTTGTCTCAACACAATCACCTCCATCCCAACATGGGGATTGACATCTTGAGCTTCAGGATTTGTTAGCAGGCCACTACTGTCCTACAGGGTTTGGGCTTTTGCAATCAAGATCCCCACCCCCCTCCACCACCCCCTGCACCCCTTGAAGGACAGTTAATCTTAGTGTGGGGGTGGGGGGAGGGAAAGTCAGTGAGGCCCAGGGGAAGCAAGGAAGTGGTTCAAGGTCACACAGCATGTCCGTAGCAAATGTGAAATTAGCAAATGTGGAATTAAAATTCTAAGCCCTGGAGTCTGCTCCGTGTGGCTCAGGCCAGATCTCCTCTGTCTTGCATTATTCTCTGATTCATTAAAGCCTAATGGCATTCTTACAGCCAGCCCTGGTATGAACACAGCAAACAGCTATACCAGAATTTAGCTCAGATTTTGAGATTTTAGACAGAACACAGCAAGGTTTTTTTTTAAACAAAGGTAAAGAGTTATTTTTCTGCTCCATATCATGAAGGGAGACATTACAGAATAGCAGAAAGAGACCTGACTTCAAATCCCTGCTTAATAATAGCCAGAACTTATTTAAGATTCATTAAACACTTCCTATACATTATCTCATTTAATTCTCACAAAAAGTTGTGAGGCAGGTACTGTTATCACCCCCATTTTAGAGATGAGAAAACTGAGACTAAGAGGTAAAATAATTTTTCTAGAGTCATATAGTTAGTAAATGTCTAAGATAGGATTTGAACTCAAGTCTTCCTCACTCCAAGACTCCTGTTACATACTGATATACCCAACTGCCTCCCTAAATGTTCTACTACTCGTATAACTTTGGGAAAGGCACTTTCCTTTTGGGGGGCCTCAGTTTCCTCACCTATAAAATGTAGAGCTTAACAGTAAATGATCTCTAAGGTCCCTTCCACTCCTAAATCCTGTAACCTTATGTTTTGGGTTTTTTCTTTTTTTTATGATAGTGGTATTGGGAGGTATATTCTGTATCCTAAAGACCAAAGACCCCACAAACAGGGATAGATCAACTTCTTTTGGAAAAAGAAATGTCAAACCACTCCAGAATCTTTGCCAAGAAAATCCCACTGACAGTACTGGCATGCTAGGGTCCACGGGGTCATGAAGAATCAAACACATACAACTGAATAACTCTCCCTTCCCCGCCCCTAATATAGAAGAGGGAATAGATTTGTTCTGTTTGGCTATGGACACCATCTCCAGGATCAGTGGGTAGAAGTTACAAGGGCAGCACAGAGTTTTAATAAGGAATTAGTTCACCTGGAGCAAAAACAGTCAAGCAGACAGTGGCGGTGCAGAGTTCAGTCTGGCTGTGGGTACAATTGTGCAGACCTGAGGCAATTGTACTGCACTGTAATATGGGCTGACAGAAGACCATAAGGTGAATCAAGGGTTTGGTGATCTGTTCCAATAGGAAAGAAGGATGCCTTCCTGGAGAGGAAGTGCAGCTTCCAGGGAGAAAGCATACTTCTACTACCCTAGATGTTGGCATCCTGGGACAAAGCCCTGCTTTCCCCATGCTAGTTACAGCTCTGAGGAGGAAGTTTTTAGCTCACTATAAGGACTTTCTGACACTGATAGCCAGCAGTGGGCTAGACTGCCTTACATCTCCCCTCCCTGGAAGTATGAAGAAGCAGCTAAATCACCAACTGCTGAGGATATTGCAGAGGACAGACTTGTGTCAGATAGCAGGGCTGGACTAGATGATTTCCCAGGTCCTTCTACTCTGAGCAAGAAGGGCTGATTTCTTCTTGGCTGCAGGTAAAGCTTATGAAATCACCTATGTGAGGCTAAAGTTCCACACCAGCCGTCCTGAGAGTTTCGCCATCTACAAACGCAGCTGGGCTGGGGGTCCTTGGGTGCCATACCAGTACTACAGTGCTTCCTGTGAGAAGACGTATGGCAAACAGGAGGGCCAGTACCTGCGGCCCGGAGAGGATGAGAGGGTGGCCTTTTGCACTGATGAATTTAGCGACATCTCTCCACTGAGTGGAGGCAACGTAGCCTTTTCCACCCTGGAAGGCCGGCCTAGCGCCTACAGCTTTGATGAGAGCCCCATCTTGCAGGTAAGAGAGACACAGCCTGATTCAGGGAAAAGGGCCTGAACTTGGATTTGATAGACCAAGAAGCTTCAGTCCAGACTTTTTATTGAGCTCCAGCAAATCATAGATCTTAAAGGCATGGAACTAGAATTGGTAGAGAAAGAGCTAGGCTAAGAATCAAGAGACCCAGCTATGTTCACATAGCTAACTTATGAACTTGGGCAAATCACTTAACCTCTGGGGCCTCAGTTTCCTCCTCTATACATTTTGAAGGCATTGCATTAGATAATCTCTCTAAAGTTCTTTCCAGCTCTACATTCTATGATTCTGGCATCTGGACAGCTGTTAAACAGGAGGATAGAGCAAATGTTTTGGAATTATATCACCTTGGTGTTAAACTATATCCCTGCTAATGTAAGCTGAAAGGAATCTTACTTCCATCTTTGCAAAAGAGGGAGAGATTTATCTGGGGGAGGGGTCCCATTTCACTAACTGAGAACTCAGGTTATAACTTCAGAGACTATAAGCAGATTCAGTCTTCCAGAAAGCAGAGCACCATGAAATCATCCCAGACCCAATCAGCATCTCTGGCCCTATTTGTTTGTGCAGCAGCTATTAGAATTGTTAACCAGTCAACAAGAATTTATTAAGTACTAATTATGTCCCAGGTACTGCACTGGGTAGTGGTATAAGAAAGACAAAAAAAAAAGGAGAGAAGGAAGGAAGGAAGGAAGGAAGGAGAAAGAAAGAGAGAGAAAAAAAGAAAGAGAGAGGGGGAGGAAGGAAGAAAGGAAGAAAGGAAGGAAATAAACAATCCCTGTCCTCAAAAAGCTTGCATTTTATCTGTACTTGCCATTCCTACTCCCCATTAGACTATAAGCTACTTGAGTGCTGGGGCTATGTAATTTTTCATCTCTATATCCTCAGTGCCTATCACAGGGCCTTGTTCCATTCATATTAAGTACTTAATAAATATTTATTAAACTGGATATTTGGAGAATGGAAGAATTTCAGATTGAATAATCTTTGTCTCCTCAGTCAAGTCAGGGTCACAGTAATCTGCTAAGGACAATTGGAGGAAGACGTAGAAAGAAGGGCATGGATGTAAGAAGACAGAGTTGGTCAATGGAGAAAAATTAAAGATTTTAAAAGAGCCTCAGTAGCTGGCATGATGAGTCAATCAGAGATGAGTAAAAGGCTTGCCATGTAGCCAGAAGGGCTCAGTTGGAGTTAGATTGCCTGAATTTGTGGTAGAACCAGTCAAAATAATTTCTTAGCTCTCTCCAGCAATGTTCTGCTATGTGGAAGTAGGTACAAAGGAGGAGGATTGTGAGACCTGCCCAGGGGATCAGCATGCTGGGAATGGCAGAAGGTCTAGAGGCCAAGGGGATCAAGGTGAAGGAAAAGGCATCTGGTCAGCTGAACATTGGTTCAAGACAAGGCAGTGAAGGAAGTGAAGCCAGACTAGCAGGAGTGGAGAACCTGCAGCCTCGAGGCCACATGTGGCCCTCTAGGTCCTCAAGTGTGACCCTTTGACTGAATCCAAACTTCACAGAACAAATTCAGTCAAAGGGCTGTGCTTTAGGATCTAGAGGGCCACATGTGACCTCGAGGCCACAGGTTCCCCACCCCTGAGCCAGAGCATGAGTGATGGATAGGGAGGATACTGCTGAGTTTAGGAACCATTGGTCATAACAAGGGTAAACAATGGTTTTGGCAGGAAAAAGGAATTTCTAAGGCCAGAACAGAGGCCTGCTACCAGACCAGGGGATGGTAGGAAGCAATAATGTCATGAGGGCAGAGACTGTTTTGGTTTTATCTCTGTATTTCCAGTGCCTAGAGCACTGTTTGATTCGTGGTAGGCACTTAATCAATGCTTGCTAATGGGCTGATTGATTTGATTTGGGTTCAAATCTTGGTTCTGCCACCTCTTTGTGACATTGGCCAAGCCAACTCCAAGAGACCTCAGTTTATTCATTTGTAAAATGAAGGGGTTGGGCTATGATCTCTAACATCCATTCCAATACTAAACCAACGATTTTATAATGAATCTCAGGATGAGGACACTCAGGGAAGTAGGTGGAAAAAAATTAAACTTCACAGACAGTTCACTGTTTAAAAGCAGGGAGATGACATAGATGACTTCTCAGGTCACAGGATTCTATAACTAGATGTCCTTAGCTGAAGCTGACTAGCACCTAAATAATGTAGGATGTCCAGGGGGAAAGAGACTACCAAGGGATGGGGGTGAATGCCTAAATAGCCGCTGATGTGTGTGACCCTCCTCTCCTCCCACAGGAATGGGTAACCAGCACAGAACTGCTCATCTCCCTGAATCGGCTCAACACGTTTGGGGATGACATCTTTAAGGATCCCAAGGTGTTACAGTCCTACTATTATGCCATCACTGACTTCTCTGTGGGGGGCAGGTAAGTGGCTGGTAGGTTCCAGTGGCCTGGTGAGGGAGGTAAGAGTAGGGGCAGTCTCAGGCCACAGCTGAACATAAGGGACACCTGAGCCTTGCAGTAGCTTTTGAAAGTCAGGCTGAACAGAAAGACTTATATGAATTGATGCAGAATGAAGGGAGCAGAACCAGGAAAATATTGTATACAGTAACAGCAATGTTGTATGACGAACTGTGAATGACTTAGCTATTCTCAGTAATGCAATGATTCAAGACAATTCCAAAGGACTCATGATGAAAAATGCTATCTACCTCCAGAGAAAGAACTGAAGAAGCCCAAATGCAGATAGAAGCATGCTATTTTTTACCTTCTGTATTTTTTTGTGGGTTTTTTTTTCCCCTTTGGGTCTGTCTTCTTTCACAGTATGACAAATATGTTAATTAAAAAAAAAGTCAGGCTGAACTGGCTTGAGGCTTGACTTCAGATTCTAAAAAGAACTAAATTCCATTCCTTTCTCAATAATAATTAAATAGAGGTCTTTTGGGTCCAGATCTGGGATTTCTTCAGGGGAGGGGCCTCCCAGTGTGGAAACTCCTTCCATCCACACAGCTCAGCACCCCATCTGTAACTTAGTCTTACTTGAGCTGCTTTCCATGGTCTCACAGGTAGCATGTGTCAGAGGCAGGACACGAACCCCCTACATCATAGCTGACCTTATATCCACTAGCCCCTGGTGTCTCTGCCGGTAAATGCCCTCTAATTAAAAACCCTATTAAAAGGGGTTTCTACCTACTATGGGTAAATCACTTATCATCTCAGAGCTTCAGTTTCTTCATCTGAAAAATAGGGTTAGTCATATTTTCACTAGTTCTGTCACCAGACTGCTGAGAGAAAAGTATTTTGTAAATCTTACATAAATCTTAAAATAAAAATGAGTTATTATTATTATTATTTAGAATCATAAAATCAGAAGGGACTTTATCAGTCGTGCTGTTGCCTTTGTACCCTCATCCAGCTCCCCGTCCTCAATTTTGGTGACCTGATGAAAGGAAGTTTTTTCAAGATGCCAAGTCATCTTTCTCACTACTATCATCCAGGTCTCTAGTCCTAATCCTGCCAGGTCTAGCTGTATGACTTTGGTCAAGTCACTTCCCCTAAGACTCAGTTTCCCCTTTTATAAAAAGAAGAGGTTGGACAAGATGACATCTAAGATCTCTACCAGCAGTAACGTTCTTGGACACTAAATGAAAGAGTACCACTTAGCAGGCTGGGAAAAATAATGAGGGGAAATGGTCTTTTCAGATCTCATTGATTTGATCTTCTCAGCAAGTCCCTTTGGCCCATTCCCTTCATCTTCTTCCTTTTCCGTTTCTGCCTGCTCAGCACTTCTTCAAGTGAGGGAGTCTCACCCCCTACTAAGCACAACTGACTGCTATTGATTGACTGGGGAGGAAGTCAAGGCAGCTGAGGGCAGAATGGAAGGAGACTGGTGGGAGGGAGCAGCTGGTGGAGAGAACGGGGAGCAAAGAGTCTCATTAAAGAAAATTAAACAATGATTTTTGACCATCCTATTAGGAATGAGCTCAGGATAGAGTAGAAAGGCAAGATGTGATGAGGGCTTATTAGACCCCTCTAGAGTAGCAAGTCTGCCCCAACTAACTCAGGCAGCTTGGTAGGATCAGGCAATCGATCCCCCTTCCATCAAATCACTCCTCCTTCCTGTGCAGTCCTCCCCTGAGAACAGAGAAGAAGGGAAAACAACATTTCTGGAACTTAGTCAGACTTTCCTCTTGTCTCTCCTCCCTGCTCCCATATTTAACTCCAAATGCCAACTTTTACACGAGTGGGCAGAATAAGAATTATGGAAGCAGATGTTAGAACAGGAAAGAATGTCTGAGCTGAGAAAGGCTTTATGATAGAGAATGTCAGAGCAGGAGGAGACCTGAGAACATGGACTGTCCAAGCTAGAAAGAGTCTTAAGACAGAGTCTATGAGAGCTGAAAAGAACCTGAAAATATAAAATGTCCGGCCTAGTAAGGTCCTTAAGTCACAGAATGGCAGATCTGGAAGCCAGCTGAGAATGTGGGATACCTGAGCTGAAAGGGACCTTAAATTATAGGTTATCAGAGCTGGAAGGAACATGAGAACATATAGCATAGAATGTTGGAGAGAGGAGGGACCTTAGACATCATCTAGGCCTACAAACACACACACACACACACACACACACACACACACAGAGTTGCAGATGAGGAAACTGATCCTCAAAGAGGGAAAGCAATGTGCCCTATGTCACATAGCAGATCAGTGACAGAACCAAGAGTAGATTCTAGGTTTTCGACACTGTACTCCATATGCCAGTGTTAAACAGAGATGGTAGGAGGCTTGGAAAATGACCAGTGTCCATACAGACCCTGGGGCTGAGTCTCTGTAGGGTGACTTGCCTTAAATCACTTTTGATTTCCAGCCTGGGTTCTCTTAGGCCTCAGCCAGAGCAGCCACTGGCAAGATGCTGATCCTGCCAATTAGTAGCCCCAGCTTTCTTTCCGATGGGCTCTTGTGAAACTAAATCTGTTTCCACTTTGCCTAAATTTGCACACTCCCTAGCCTGGGCTTGGAAGCTGCTAAAAGAACACTTCTCACCCCTGCCCCCACATAGCTGAAAATGAATGGAAAAACTTCCCTGTGTGACACAGAATTATTCTAGAGAATACTATAACTTGGAGTACAGGGAAGAACACAGGGTGGGGAGTCTGGAGGACTAGATTCCAGTCCTGGTTTTGCCACTAACTCTCTGTGTGATTTTGGGCAAATAATTTTTCTCCTCTCTGAGCCCCAGTTTCCTCATCTGTTAAATGAAGAGTTGGGGTTAATCTCTAAAGTGCCTTCCAACTCTAACATTCCATAATATGAGGGCCTTTCCAGTTCTATCCATCTGTGATTCTATGATGATGATGATGCCACTGGTAGGGACTCATCTAAGGAGTGGTAGAGGGAACAGTCATTTTGAGCTAGGGACAGATCTTTCAACTCCTGAACAACTGGTTCATGAGCTGAATTCAATGTAGTTGGAGGAACAGCAGCTAGGAGAAGGGAGGACTGAAGGAGGAAGGTTGGGCTATAACCCAGGTGATGCAGGATGGTGCCAGCCACTCTTTCTCTTCCATGTTCCCTTAACCAAGATCATCTCAGCCCAGAACCCAGGGCCATTCTAGTACCCTAGAAAGCCAATCCACAAACTACACATACCTGGCACTATGCTAGACATGGTATAGGGCACAGAAAAATGGTAGAACATAAAAGGAGACTTTTTTTCCTTTAAGTAGTTTACACTTTAGTTAGAGACCCAAGAGGAGCCTACTTCAAACCATTAGAGAGCAGTACAAGACAGGGCATTCCCCCCTTCCCCCCCTACCCCAAGAATATATGGATGAAGGTGAGAAAAGAGAGAGGAGCACGCTACCAAAGGGGTGGGTGAGGCCAGCTGCATTTCTCTGTCTCCTGCATCGTCCCCACTCAGACTTCGCTTTGAAGCCTCCAAGGAGAGGGAAAGCAGCCTGGTGGGGTAGGGGAGACCAGAGGCCTCCAGTTGCTCTTCCTCCCTCCCTTCACTTTTGAGGCAGAGAACATCTGGATTCAATTTACATCAGGCCAGACCACCCTCAGACCAGCAGCTGGCTTTAGAGAGAATGGTTATAGGCTGTGGACAGGTGGCTCCACTAGGAGGTGCCCTGCAGGGAATCTCTCTCTCTCCATGACCAGCCTGACACCCAACCATGAAATAGGCAAAGTTGGCCTTTGACTAAGCCATGCTGTTATATGGAGATCAAAGCAGCCTATTGGGAGATTTTATGTCTTGTATCCACTCCAGGAATTGCCTTAATGTATGCCCCTCTCCAAATTTAGAGAACTAAACCGTAGAACAATGCTTACCTACCTCCCAATCCCAACCCCAACCCAATTCCAATGAAATGAAAATGACCCTACATTCAGTTGGTTATCAGTATTTATTGAGCACAAAGTGAGGACAGAGAATTTATTTAGTTCTGTGAGAGGGAAGAAGAGGACAGACAGGGATTGAGGGACCTACGGGAACTAGAAAGACATTATCCAGGCCCAAAGGGAGAATGTAATGGTAGTAAGAGTGGGTGGAGCTAATTCGAAAGGTCAATGGCCTTCTTACTGGGGGTTGCAGTGGGGAGGGTCATTATATGGTATAGCTGCTGTCTTTGGCTCTGCCTAGTTATGCCCTGAATTTTTATCTCCATCTAGAAAGAAGTATACTTTACTAGAGATAGCTGCCATTTTGGGGAGTTTAGGAGGAATTCAGTAATATTATGAACACTAGGAATAGAATCCAGGCTATTATCTCTGGTACACAGGTTTTAGAGCCATAGGCATAGTCCCAGCTTTGGAGAGAAAAGACCTAGGTTTGAGTCCTACTTCGGATACTAACTGTCCATGTGACCCTGGGCAAGTCACTTCATGTCCAGGAACCTCCGTTTCCTTACATATAAAATGAAAGAATTGCCCAAGGTGGTCTAGATCTATGATTCTGTGGTTCCTGATTGTTTTAACCCTTCATTTGCCAGGTTTCCAGTTACTCCTAGCATTATAGATTTAGAGCTGGAAGGGACCATAGAGGTTATCAAGTCCATACCTCTGATTTTAGAAACAAAAAAAGTACGGTCCAGAAAGGATAAATGTTTTGCCCAGAGTCAAATAAGAAGTAAATATCTGGTGAATAGAGCACTGGATCTGGAGACAGGAGGACCTGAGTTCAAATCCGGCCTCAGACCAGACACTCCACATTTACTAGCTGTGTGGCCCTGGGCAAATTACTTAACCCTAATTGCCTCACAAAAAAAAAAAGAAGAAGAAGAAGTAAATATCTGAGACAGAATTCAAACTCAGTCCATCCTGACTATTCTATCCACTATATGATGCTGCCTCTGCTACTGGCTTAGGAGGCTTCCAGCAAGTCTCACCCTCTTGTTTTTCCCTCCAGGTGTAAGTGTAATGGGCACGCTAGTGAATGTGTCCTTGATGAAGGAGGCCAGCTGGTCTGCAGCTGCCAGCACAACACCACAGGAACTGACTGTGAGAAGTGCCTCCCCTTCTACCAAGACCGGCCCTGGGCTCGGGGAACAGCAGAGGCTGCCAATGAATGTCTGCGTAGGTATCTTAGGCAGGAATTGGCCTTGGAGTTGGGAGAGGAGGACAAAGGTGGGGAAGGAAGATGGTAAGCTGACAAGTGTCTGTTTCTGCTGCTATGCATGTTGGGAGATGACATGGAGGCACAGGCAAGGTTGGGAGAATTAGCATGATACCCGAGTTCTCAATGAAGCTCCAATTGGGAGAAACACAACAGAATATCTTCCCTGGCAGCTGCCTCTTGGGTAGGCCTTAATATCATAGGATTTTGGTAGAAGAAACTTTAGAAATCAAAGGATTATAAATCTAGAGCTGGGAGGGATCTCAAAAGTCTTTGAGTTTAGTGCTCTCATTTTATTCATAAGGAAACTGAGGTCTAGAGAAGTCAAACAACTTGCCTAAAGTCACAAAGGTAGTTAATAGTAGAGGCAGAATTCAAACCTAGTTCCTCTGATTCAAAATCCAGTGGTTCCTGCTACTAAACCACGCTGCCCAGTGAAAGGCTCAAAAGACTCTCTCAGTGGTAGTTAATAGTGGCTTCTGGGCTCCCAGATCAGCTGTCTGACTTGGCCAAAACATGTCAGTCCATGCCTCAGTTTCCTCATTGGCAAAATGATCAGGGTAGATTTTTCCATCTCTGTAGGCTTCCCCTTGAGATCCCTTTCAGCTCTAATATTCTACAATTCTTTTGGCTGTGGCCTTTAAGAAACATCATATCCCCTACCTCAAGTTCAGTGAGGTCATTCACCATGAGCTCCTTTTCCCCCCTTTTCCTCATCTCATATCACTCAGATGTCTTTGCCACCATTTCCTCTTTCATCCCAATCTCACATGAGGAAATGACTTAATCTTTACAGAGGCCAATCCTTCTACCTGCACAAACAAATCCTGTTCCATCCTTTCTCCTCTAGCATATTGCCCCCTCTGTCATTTCAATTCTGTCACTTATCTTCAATCTGTCCCTGTCTATTGGCTCCTTCTCTACTGCCTGTAAACATGTCCATGTTTCCCGCATCCTGGAAAAAAAAAAGCAAACCTTCATTTGATCTTTCCATGTAGGACTATTGTCCTAAATCTCTTCTGCTCTTTGTGGCTAAACTCCTCTAAAAGGCCATCTGCAACAGATGGCCCTCCTCTCACTCTCTCCTTAAACCCTTATAATCTGACTTCTGACTTCATCATTCCACCAAAATTGCTCTCTCCGAAGTCACCAATTATCTCTTGGTTACCAAATCCAATGGCCTTTTCTCAATCCTCATTCTCCTTGACCTCTCTGCAGCCTTTGACACTGCTGATCCCTCTCTTCTCCTTAAATCCCTCTTCTCTCTAGGTTTTTTTCCATTCACTCCTGGTCTGAGACTCCTTCTCAGCCTCTTTTGCTGGTCCAGCATGAATCCCATCCCCCATCACCTTCAAGCCATGACTAAAATTTCATCTTCTACAGGAAGTCTTTTACAACCCCTCTTAATTCCAGTGCCTTCTCTCTCTTATTTCCTGTTTATCCTGTATATGGCTTGTTCGCATGTATTTGTTGGCTTGTGGGCTTCCTCTTTAGAGTGTGAGCTTCCCAGTGGCAGGAACTGTCTTTTGTCTCTTTTTGAATTCCCAGTGCCTAGCACAGTATCTGGCACACAGTAGGCGCTTAATAAATGTTTATTTACTGAATGACTGGTCTGGGAAAGACGTTTTAAAAAGGACGTTGATTCCCCATCAGTTGGAGAATGGCTTAAATTGTGGTACGTGAATGTAATGGAATGTTACCGTGCTAAGAAGGGATGAATACAGAGAGCATGACAAGATAGATAGATATGTATATGCATATATACAATGCACATATGAATGGATACAAAGTACAATAAAGAAATGAGCAGCTAGGTGGCACAGTGCTGGGCCCGGAGTCAGAAAGACTCATTTTCCTGAATTTAAATATGACCTCAGACACTTACTAGCTGTGTGACCCTGGACAAGTTGCTTAACCTTTTTTGCCTCAGTTTCCTCATCTGTAAAATGAGCTAAAGAAGGAAATGGCAAACCACTGCATCATCTTTGCCAAGAAAACCTCAGATGGGAGTCATGAAGAATCAGATACCACTGAACAACAACTCGATAAACAAAACCAGGAAAACAATATGTACAATGACTACAACAATTTAAATGAAAAGAACAACAAAATAATCAGAAATCAATGGGGAAAAATTGTAATGACAAGCTTGTTCCTAAAGAAGACATATCAGCAGACCCCTTCCATCCTTCTCTGCAGACTATGAGTGTGGAACTCTACGTATAATATTGGGTTTTTTATTAAGACACGTTGATTAGTTTTGCTGAACTATGAGTATGGAACTCTGCATGTAATGTTGGATTTTACATACATACATACATATAGGTATATATATATATATATATATATATATATATATAACCTATATATATAGCTTAGTTTTGCTGAATTGTTTTTTGCTCCCCTTTTTTATTCGTTGCTATGAGGAATAGCTCTCTGTGGGTGTGGGAGTGGGTAAAAATAAAGGATAATCAGCTAAAATTATTTTTAAAAAGAAAAAAAACATTAACAAGCCAGAGACCATCCAAAACAGAGTTATAAAGACATCGAAAGATTTGGAGACCATGCCCCATGAAGATCAAATGAAAGGAGTTGGGATATTTATCCTACTGAAGAGAAAACTTGGGAAAGAGACAATTGCTGTTTTCAAGCATTAGAAGGGCAGGAGAAGGATCAGGCTTGTTCTGTTTGGCCTCAGAGGGGAAAACATAGAGCAATAGGAAGAAGCTGCCGGGAGAAAAATCTCAGCTTGATCTAAGGAAAAACATCCTAACAACTAGAACTGCCCAGCATAGAGGAAGCTGCCTTGCAAGGTGGTAGTCCCTTCCTCCACTGAAAGGCCCTTTATTAGGCTTCCATGCATTGGAAGGGATGCCAAGTTCTAGTTTGTCCTAGCTGGCCTCTGAGGTCCTGCCCAAGTCTGAGAGTGTGTGATTCACGTCAGTGATTGACTTCACTGGGGAGAAGGAGGCAGGTCAGAAGTTAGGGAGAGGCTTTGTAGTTCTTTATTTGGATTTAACCATTCAGGTCCCAGCTGGTAATCAAACACAGACTTCCCTGGGCAGAAGGATTAAACCTCCCCACTCAATCTTTCCCAATAGGCCTGTGGCCATGCTTTGATGTCCACTCTTCACCCCCTCATTTCTGAGTCTGGGTCCGTGCTGTGGTTTTCCCAATGTAGCCTCAGAAACACAAAGAAAGCAAGGATGGCTCACTCTCCCAGAGAGACAGGGGACCAACAGGGGAAAGCACTGACCAATCAGCAGTGACTTCATCCCCATCTGCCCCAAGCATAGCGTGAGGATCCCCGCTGCCACCATCCGCCCACCTCCCCCTTTTCGGCTCTGCCCTTTTCCTCTAGCCAGACAACCATCAGTTTGTGTTTAAGCCTCTCCTGCTTATTGCCAGCTGTTGGATGCAGAGCAGAAAAGCTCCTCGGCAGACAGGACTCCTGAGTTAGGCTGTCTCCCCAGGCTTGGCTTGCAATGGACTCCAGCTCTGGGAGAAGGATGGCAGAACACTGTGTTCCCCAGCATGGTGTGACAGCCCTGTAGGACTCTGGCCTTACCCTAATGGGCTCCTGCTGGTCTCCATCGTGGGGCCTCCTTAAGGGAGTTCTCCCACCTTTCTCCTACATAGTTCTGCTCTGAATCTCGTGCTCCAACTAGGTCACTGAGCAATTGCCAGGTGGACAGGAGCTGGCCTCATCCCACAGCCATCTTTGTAAGGCCTGTTGATTCTAGGTACCCAGCACATCTCATTTCCATTCTTTTCTCTCCATTCACAGTGTTGCCTCCCTCATCTAGGCCTTTATGACCTCTTAATCAGATGATTGTAATAGCCTCCTAACTGTTCTCTCTGCCTCCATTTGCTGGTGTCTCAAGTCTACCTTTCCCATAGCTGCCAAAATCATCTTCCCAATGCAAAGTCTGACTATGCCCCTCCCCTGCTCAAAGCCTTATAGTGGCTCCCTATTGCTTCTAGGATAATATGCATCCTGGGCCATCTCCAGTCGTCCTGATCTATATCTGTCTACTGGATCCAGATGACTTCAGAGGAGAAAGTGAGGCTGATGACTTGGCACAGCCCTCCATCACTTAAATCCAGTTCACTTCCATATCATGGCACCACCTCTCTGATGTCATGGTCCTCTTCAAGAACAAAAGACAGATGACAAAGATAACATGAACACCTCAGCCTGGCTTTTAATCCTACCCTTCCTCCATCAAGTAGAATGTAAACTCCCTGAAAGTAGGCTGCGTGCTCCAGGGATCATAGAAACGTAGATCTGGACATGGAAGGAACTTCATAGTACATGTCTAGTCCAACCACTTCATTTTACAGGTGATAAAAATGAGGTGAAGTGATCTGTCCAAAGTAATATTGGAAGCATTGGAGGTAAATATGTTCATAACCGCATGGCCAAACACAATGCCTGGTGTAGAGTAGATATTTAATGAATGTTGGCTGAACTGGATCCAGATAGGACTTGTGCATCATGGCATCCATCATGGAATACCACAATCTCCAAAGAATCAAAATTTCAGGTGACCCAGGAGATACAATTTCCATCATATAAGCTACAGATTGTTATCCATTGGCAACTCGATCACAAGCAGTATCATAAAAGATAACGTATAGGAGATGTATCATGGGAAACGGAGATGGGCTGGTCACACATCAACAACTCAGCATGACAGGAAGTATAGTGCTGGTATTTGTGCAATGTTAAGAGCCTGGGAGGAAGGCCTTCCTTTGGCATTTTGGATGGATCTCCATATCCCCATGGAAGGATTCACGGGAGGATGTGGACAAAAATTGAACAGGATGAGGTGTGGATGGGATGGGATCTATAGCACAGGAGGCAATAATTGTATCAAAGAACTCATAGAACCATTGAAATTGAGTCATCAGCAAGTATTGGTAAGTACTTACTTCACGTCTGGCACTGTGTTTTGCACTGGAAATGCAAAATAATCCCTGCCCCCTTCCCCCAGTAGGGGACGACAACATATAAAAAGAAGGAGAAAGAGGGAAGGAAGAAAAAGAAGGTCGCACACAGAGGGCCTGGCGGAGAGAGAAATACGGAGAGTCAGAAGTAGAGCCTGGAGAGGAATGAACGAGTGAACGTGAGCAGCCTGGGCCTTTCCTTTAAATGGAAAAGAAGAACCCACCGATCAGAGGAAGGAGCTTCAGGGTGGAGGGATCGCTCAGCCAGAGAAGGCTCCTGGAGCCTCGTCAAAGGCATATTCCAGGAGGAGAAGTCTACAAGGAATTGTGGGGGAAAGAGTAGAGAGAGCAGGTTCCAGAGAGGAATGAAAGAGTGAAATATTGTTGTGTGACTAGTGCAAAGGTCAAATCCAGCCTCGGCACCTACCGCAGGGCAAGTCGCTTAACTTCTAGGTGAAGTGATCTGTAAAAATGGTCGGAATGATAGCACCTACTTCACCCGTTAAGAGGATCAAAAGGGATAATGTATGTAAATTGTTCTGCAAACCTTAAACCTCCACATAAATATGAGTTATTATTATTATTATCAAAGAAGAAAGAAAGGGAGGAGGCAAACGTGGAACTTGATCAGAATTTTGAAGGCCAGCCATCCCCCTCTGGTCCCCGGCTTCCTTGCTAGAAAGCAAAATGACTTGAAATCTCAAGTGCAGCCACAACCTGGGGTCAACCTGCCTCTCTAAACTTATTTCATCCGTTTTAAGTATATGAAATCGTACACCTCTTCACACATTTCAGTATCCAGCCAAACCGGCCTGCTGACTAAGCTGCTCCCACGGCTCTGCACACCATCTCCTGGCCCGCACTGTTTGTTTAGGCTGTCTGCCATGCCTGGAATGTGCTCCTTGTCTTGACTGAAGATTCCTCTTCTTCCTTTGAGTCAGCTCAAATGCCACCTCCTCCATGAAGCCTTCCAGGACTCTGTTCACCCCACCCCCAGTTGGTAGTGTTCTCTCCTCAAATTTTTCTAGGGAAGTTTGGCTGGATATCTTCTTTGTCTGTTCCACCCTACCTTGTCTTATGTTCATATCCTATCTTCCCCACATATCCCCCTAAAGTGCAGGAAATGCTCTGTTCCCTGGCCTCCAGCTAAAAATCATAAAGATAAAAGAGTGTGCCAGCAAAAGCACAGTCAATGAGTCAGTTACCTGGGTCCAAGCAGGATTGCTCACTGAAAAGTAAAGAAATTTTGTGTGTAAAGAAAATAGGGTGGAACCATCCAGAGATGATCGGGTTTGTTTTATGGCATTTCTGCAAAGGACTTCACTTATAGGACCATAGGATGTTACAGTTAGGATGGACTTGTGCAGAGGTCGATCTAATGCCCTCCTCCCTACCATTTTACAGATGAGAAAACTGAGGTCCAGAGAAGTTATACAACTTGCTTAAGACTGTACACGCAGAGAGGCCTTCTGATTCTGATGCCAGGGCTACACAATGATTCATTCATTCAGCTAATGGTTATTGGGCACTTACCATGTTAAAGGTATCACAGGGGATAGAAAGATGAATAAAATCAGATCTCTGCCTTAAAGGGGATTATAATAATCTGAGTTAGCTGCTTCTCTGTGCCTTGGTATTCCCATGTATGAAATGGGCACAGATGCTCAACTTAGGGAAACTGAGTCTGAGTGAGATAGGACCCACAAGACACCAGGGAGAGAATGTAGTCATGGAAACAGTCCCTTTAACACTGCTGGGGACCTTAGAGACCATGTGGTCCTGTTGCAACATTTAGCAGATGAGGAAATAGTCCTGGAGAGGCCAAGTAACCTACCCAAGGTCACCCAGAGCAGGACAGGTACTGGAGCCCAGGTATCTTGATGTCCAGGTCATCTTTCTATGATATCATACTGCTCTTCCCGATGAAAGGAAGATGGTCTCAGACCCTACCTACAAGAGGCCCAGGCCTCCTCCTTTCCCCCCAACCTTCTAACATCTATCTCCTTTCAAATTCCTGAATATTCTTTGCAAGAGGCAGCACGCCATAGTAGAGAGAGTGCTACCCTTATTGAGAGGAAGATCCAGGTTCAAGTCCTGCCCTCAGTATTTACTAGCTCTGAGACAATGGCCAAATCATTTAAATTCTTTGGGAACGTTTGGGAATAAAGGTGATACAAAATCAAAATATATCAATGAACATTTTTAGAAAGAGGTTTTAGCTCTGTGACAATGGGCAAGTCACTAACTTTGAGAATATTTGAGAATGAAAGTTATGTAAAAATGAAATATGTCAAAGAAAATTTTCAGGAAGAGATTTTAAAAAATAAACTCTCCAAGCTTCAGTTTCCTCATCTGTGAAATGAGGATAATCATATTTATAGTACTCATTGCCTGATGAGGTTGCTGAGAGGCTTGAAAGAGAAAATAAAGCACTCTGAACTTTGAGGGGCTACATAGAGGTCTGCTGTTTTATTATATTATTATTGATATAGTTGTAAGTAGAGACATCACCTTGCCAATGAAGGTCTATGTAGTCAAAGCTATGGTTTCTCCAGTAGCATTGTATGTCCATGAGAGTTGGACTATAAGGAAAGCTGAACACTGCAGAATCAATGCTTTCAAATCGTGTCAGAGAAGACTTTTGAGAGTCCCTTGGGCAGAAAAGAGGTCAAATCAGTCAACACTTAAAGAAATTAATTCAGACTTTTCACTGGAAGGTCAAACACTGAAGCTGAAGCTTAACTACTTTGGCCACGTAATGAGAAGACAGGACTCAGTGGAAAAGACCCTGATGTTGGGAAAGATCGAAGGCAAAAGGAGAAGGCAATGGCAGAAAATGAAATGGATAGAGAGTGTCATGAAAGCAATGAACATGGACTTAGACTTCAGGAGACAGTGGAAGATAGAAGGGCCTGGCAAGCTATGATCCATGAGGTCATGAAGGACATGACTGAACAACAACAAAATAAGATATTGTTGTATTTTAGACAACAATAAATAATGTTGTAATATTGTTATATAGCTTATAAACATATTATATATCAATATATTAAATATGTTATATATCATTATAATATAGAATATGTTATATATCTTATATATGCTATCTCATGCTATATGAAATGTTTTCTATATATATAATATCGACATTTTCCCCCCAGCCTGCAATTGCAGTGGCCTCTCTGAAGAATGTTTCTATGACTGGGAGTTGTACCGGAGCACTGGGCATGGTGGTCACTGCCAGAACTGCCGGGACCACACTGCCGGACCCCACTGCGAGCGATGCCAAGAGAACTTCTACCATTGGGACCAGCAGCAGCCATGCCAGCCCTGTGACTGCCACCCAGCAGGTACATAGGTTGGGAGTAAGAGGACAAGCCAGGAGATAATCAGACTTGTGCTATCTACCCCTAGGGCAGCTGGGAGAAGAGGGCTTAGGAACCTCCCACTCAGTCCAGGAGATGTTGAATTATCTGGTAGTGAGGTTCCCCCAGACTAGCTCAGGCCGTAGTTATAGGATCCTAGTTGGATGCTTAGTTAGAGCCAGAAGAGGCCTTTGAGGGCATCAAGTCGAACCCCAGCATTTTCCAAGTAAGGAAACAGGCTCATAAAATGAAGTGACTTGCTTAAGGTCATGTAGGTAATAATAGCAAAGTCAGGATCTGAACCCAAATTTCCTGACTCCAGATCCCACACTCTTCCCACCATGCTACACTGTCTCCCATCCCCACTGCTCTCCTACAATGACTCTTCCCTATTCTCCATCATCCCTTACTTTACCTACTTACCCTGTCCCCGACCTGCCCAGCTTCACGTTGCTTTCTCCTCATTCTGCCCCCAGGATCTCTCAGCCTGCAGTGTGACAACTCAGGCACCTGTGAGTGTAAACCCAGTGTGACTGGCTGGAAGTGTGATCACTGTCTGACAGGGTTCCATTCTCTTAGTGAAGGTGGATGCAGGTAAGTAGGGACAAGGATTTGAGTACTTGTGACGTTCAGGTGTTTTTCAGCCATGTCCCACTCTCTGTGACCCACTTTGGGGTTTTCTTGGCAGAGATACTGCAGTGGTTTGCCATTCCCTTCTCCACCTCATTTTACAGATGAGGAAACTGAGGCAAACAGGGTTAAGTGACTTTTCCAGGGCCACATAGCTAGTAAGTGCCTGTGGCCAGACTTGAACTCGTGAAGATGAGTCTTCCTGATTCCAAGCCCAGTACTCTTTCTACTGTGCCACCTAGCCACCCCTAGTATGTGTGTAATTAGTATATACATAGGTATACACAGACATGTGCATATACCTTCACCTCTTTATATTATGTGTGTATATATGTAATATATTTGCATGTGTCTAAATGGGTACAAATGGATGTGAATGAATGTGGGTACGTATATGTAAGTAAATATTAGTGTGCAGAGGTATATATGAGAAGCATACTGTATAGGTGTGAATAAATGTGCGTATTTTAAGATTTTGTATGTGTTTTTATGTGAGCAGCCTAGCGTTAGTTTGGTTGGGGGTGGGTGGGAGCTGTCCAGCTGTCCAGGTGTCCAGACTTGAGCTAACACCAGCATATGAAACACAGAATTACACTTACCCCCATGGAAACTTCCCCCTTTGGTGCAGTCCACATCTCACTTGCAATTTGGCATATTAGAGAGTTGTTGGAGAGCCACAAATGGATATATCAGTAAAACATGGCCCCGGCATTCCTTAAGCTTGGAGCCTAGCAGTATGAGCTCCTTGAGAGTAAGACTTGTTTCATTCTGTGTACTTTTATCCTCACGACCTCAAAAAGTACCTGGTACACAGTAGGTGTACAATGTACAACAAATACTTGTTGACTGCTTAATTGACAAATGCAAGTAGCTCTAACATACAATATTACATGATGCATTCATCAGAGAGGTGAATCAAACACTATGAGGTTGAGGGATGATGGGAAATAGGGAAGAGTCATTGTAGGAGAGCAGGGAACATTTCATGGAGGAGGTAACATTTGACTTGAGCTTTAGAGGATGCACTGGGATTCAACAAACAAGGATGGGAAAGGGGAGGGTGCTGTAGGAAGTTAATAACTCAGACAAAGGTGTTTGTTGATGTACGTGGGTCTGTGTTTATATGGGCAACAAGCTTTGCAGTAAAAAAAAAATTACAGATTTAGTGATAAAAGGGACCTCAGAATCCATCTAACCTAATCCCCTCATTTTACAGATGAGGAAACTGAGTCTCAGAGAGGGTAAGTGACTAGTCCAAGGTCACACAGATAATAACCATTAGATGTCATACTTGAACCCACATCCTCTCACTCCAGGATTCTTTTAAATGAATTTTTTCAATTAACAGAAATTTATTTTCTTTTCCATTCCACTAAACAAAAATAGAAAGAAAAACAAAATCCTTATAATAAATATTGGATGGTCAAGAAAAAGAAAACAAATTCCCTCACTGACCATGTCCAAAAAAATTTATGTCTCACTCTGTACCCTATATCCATCTCCTCTCTGTCATAGAAAGCATGTTTCATCATTTATCCTCAGGGAAAACAGACAGTCATTGCATTGATCAGAATTCTTAAGACTTTCAAAGTGGTTTTTTTTTTTACTATATTATCGTTATCATATAAATTGTTCTCCTAGTTCTGCTCATTTCATTCTTTAGCAGTTTATCTAAATCTTCAAAATTGCTCATTCATGAACCAAAAAAAAAAAAAGCCAGCCTGTAACTAGCTGGAGCAGTTCTGTTCACCTCTTGTTGTGTCTGACCTTGCCTACTTCTACCTGCAGTTGAGTGGCCGACTAGCTAGGGATGCTTCTATACAGGAGCCATGAGAACAGGAAACAAAAGGGAGGGGACATTGGTGAGCTGAGACCCAGATCCCTGAAACAGTAAGCCTTCTGGTGCTCACAGAGGCAAGAGGAGAAGGCTTGTTTGAATCTGGCTGTAGAGGGGCTCACAGAAGATTCTCTGTCTTTCCCCTTTCTTGGCAGACCCTGTACCTGCAATGCTGCTGGCAGCTTAGGATCTTGTGATCCCGGAAACGGACGGTGCCCCTGCAAGGACAAGGTGGAAGGCTACTTATGTGATAGGTGAGGGAGCTGCAGCCGACGTAAGCCTATCAGTGATACCCAGGGTCAGCCCTTCCTATTTGTCCTTCTAGCCCAAGGTCATCTCACTTCTAGAATTAAACAGAAACTCCTCTGTTGGGCATTTAAAGCTCTTTGCAACCTGTCCCCACCCACTTCCTACCTTTCTGTACTGCTTGCGCATTACTTTCCTCATCCTCTTCTTCAATCTAGCCGTACTCACCTACTGGTTGCTCTACACACATGACCCTTAATCTCCGGCCTCCTCATCTTTGCCCTGGCTGTCCTCCATGCCCAGAATATACTTCTTTTCACCCCAACTTCTCAGAATCTCTAGTTTCCTTCAAGTCTAAGCTCAGGTACCACCTTCTACATGAAGCCTTTCCCGATCCCTATCTTGTGACCTGCTCTCGGTATCCTCCCTCCCATAAACAATTTGTGTGCTTGATGTACATATTTATATGCACTCATGTTGGTTCTTCCATTAGAATGTAAGCTTCTTGAAGGCAAGAACTGTTTCATTTTTGTGTTTACACCCTCAACCCTTAGTTCAGTGCCTGGCACATAGTAAGTGCTTTGTAAATGCTTATTGGTTGATTGATGGTGTAAGGGAAATAGAAGAGATGAAATGAGAAGGGGTGAGACCCAAAGCTTCCCTTCCCTCCCTCATCTGGTTAATCATTACTTGCTTGTCTTGTCTTCTCTGTGTTCTAGATGCCAACCTGGGACATTTAACCTGCAGCCCCATAATCCTTCTGGTTGTACCAGCTGCTTCTGTTATGGCCACTCCATGGTGTGTGGAGCTTCTGCCCATTATGGCGTGCACCATATCATCTCTGACTTCCACCAGGGTAAGGGGTTCCTTTCCTTTTGTGACAGATTTCCCCTAGCCTTCCGTGTCCCTCCATACTCTGCTAGTCCTGGGATGGGGGAAGACACAGGCTTGAGAGGATGAATATAGTTGTATGCCCATATTCGAGTTTATATGCTAATGCTTACTAAGGATAACAACATTAATGATAGCTGTAGTATACAAAAATCATTAAAGTTTACAAAGCACTTTCTTTACCATAGCTCTGCAAGCTACATAGCATAAGCACGGTCATTCCCAGTTTACAGATAAGAAAAGTGAGTCTAAGTAACTTGTACTCAAACCTGATCCAAATTCAGGGTGCTTTCCCTAGCTGGCTAGGTGCAATAGCTCCCAATCTATTCCCTAGAAGATTAACATACTCATCTCCCTACTGGGTGCTGGGTGGATACGTGTTAATGTTACTCTTGAAAATTTCCAAGGCAAAAGATCATTGTATCACAGACCTGTAGCTAGAAAGGATATAAGAGGCCGTCTTATTTTCAAATGAGAAAACGAGGGCCAACTGAGGTTAAGTGACTTGCCCAAAGCCACACAGGCAGTAAACATCAGAGACAGGATTTCAATCCAGGTCTTCTAACTTGGGAAAATGGGGAATAATTAACCTGGTACAACGGGAAGGGTGCTGTATTTGGAGTCAGAAGACCTGGGTTCAAATTCTGTCTCTGACATTTACTGCCTGTGTGGCTTTGGGCGAGTCATTTAACAGCCCTCTGCCTCAGTGTCTTCAATTTTTCAATTCAATTTTCAATTCAATTCAATTTTCAATTTCAAAATGATAGAATTGAACAATATAGCCTCTGAGGGTTAGAGGGGGCCAGGGTGAGGACAGATATCTGAGAGGAAATAGTTTTAGATTGTCATCTTAAGATTGTCATAGATTTCAAGCTGCAGTGGCAAGATTCCCTGCAGGTCCCTTTGCTTCCTCAAGTTAATCAGGTGAGGAGGGATGTGGGACTCAGCTCCGTGAGACATTCAGTGTCCTGAGTCGCCCTTTGAAGGCATCTGTCTCTCTTCCTCTGCATAAGCTCTACAGTTAGCTCTAAAGAGCCCTGAGCTATCCTTACCTTCCGCATTTGTCTGCTGTCCTCTTTCTTACCACCTCATTCCCAGCCAAGCTTACATCTTCATGACCTTTGCCTCTCTAGCCGGGAACTGTTTCCCTCAAGGCAATAGTCAACTCTGCACGTCAACTCTGGGGGATGTAGCAGGGATCCTCATTGGAATCCAAAGACCTAGCTGCTCCTTCCCTCTTGACTTTTGTATTCTGTCAAGAAAATTTCCTTGAGAGTGAAGCCTTAGGCTGACCCTACCACCCACCAAGGAACGAGAACATTCAGTCCTGGAAAGCCGCTCTGAAGTTGAAGCTGAGAGCTTCCAAATGTGGGGAAATGCTACCCTCTGCTGGACATCCTGAGTAGCAGGTGTCCTATAGAAGGCTCCCTATCTGGCATCTTAGAACCTCTACCTCCCTTCAAAACTCAGCTCTGATGCTGCTGTTTAACATAGGCAGCCTTTCCTGAGGCCATCATTGCCCCTATTTCTAATTACTTTGCCCCGAATCAAGTCTCTGGGACTAGAAGCTGCAGAAGCAGGTGTTGATCTGCGTTGGTAGAGAAAGTTTCCTCAAGTGGCTATTCCCTGTTCTTCACGTTATTTCAAATCTAATGAAAAAATCATGGGTTGGGATCAGAAAATGTGTTTTATATGGATTGATAACTGTACATATTGTTTCCCCAAACAGAGTGTAAGCTTCTTGAGGTCAGGGATTGCTTCCTTTTTGTCTTCATGTCCCCAGTGCCTATCATAGTGCCTGGCACGTAGTAGTCCCTTACGGGTTGCTTCATTGGTGAGATGGAAGAAGCTTTGGACTAGAAGTTAAAAGACTCGATTGGATTCTAGTCCTGGTCCTATTCTTGTAAGAGATGGCGATAAGTTTTCATCTCTTACAGAAAAAGGTTTTCTTGTGGATTTACACCAAGTCCTTGGGTTCCCAGGAGTCTGTTACCCACAGGTTGGAACCACTGATCTAGAATTCTCCAACCTGCCTTAAACCTAGGCTTCTCAGGGATGCACAGATTTCAGATTGTTCCCAGCTCAATAATTTAAGTCTCTTTGAGGCCTGACAGTATAGTGAAAGGGTACTGTGCCTGGAGTCAAGAAACCTGGGTTCCATTTCCAGCTGCAGAGCTTCCTGGAGACGTTTGACCATGGGCAAGTCACTTTATTGCTCTGAAACTCAGTTTCCTCATCTGTAAATTAGAGATAATAATACTTATACTATCTACTTCATATGGCTTTGGTGATGAAAGCTCTTTGTGAACTGCTTTGGGCAGCTAGATGGTACAGTGCTGGATGTGGATTCAGGAAGACCTGAGTTCAAATTGTACTTCAGACATTTACCAATTGTGTGACCCTAAGCAAATTGCTTAACTTCTGCCTGCCTCAGTTACCTCATCTATAAAATGGGGATAATAATTCCAGGAGTGGTTGTGAGGATAAAACGAGATAAGATTTGTAAAGCACTTTGCAAACCTTAAAGCACTTCGATAAATAATATTGTTATTAAATTGTCAAAAGCTACATGTACGTAAGAGCTACATGTATGAAAGATTATTCCAGCACCTGTACAGTCAGCTCTGTGCATAGTAGGCACAGTAGGTGTTTACTGAGAATGAGTGAAAGAATGAAGGAGCTAATAATAACTATGATTTGTGTATGGAAAAAAAAAACAGATCCAGGGTATGTACAAATCCAAAGAGGTCCATGGAGCATTCCTGCTCATTTTTCTTCTCTCCAGGCCAGTGTTCTAGGGAGTTGTCTCCATTGTTAGAAATAAAACCATTGTCTTCTATTGATTCAATGTGTTCCAATTAACTGCTGTAGGTCTGCCTGGGGTGATACGTATTTAGGCATGGGGAATCAGGCCCATCTTCCCACACAGAGACTGTGTCTGTGCTATTCCAGGGACTAAAGAGAGAGTGTGGATGCCCGGAGACAAGCCGGAATCTATGCCCTTTGATGGATCCTAGGATGAGTGCCCTGCATAGAGGAGGAATTTAACATATATTTAATTTACCAAAATATTTAGAGCTGGAAGGGAAGATCATCTAGTACGATCTCATCATTTTACAGATAAGGAAACTGAAGCTTGGAGAGGATAAGTGACTTGTCCAAAGTCACATAGATAGAAAGATACAGAGATAGAGTTTAAACCCAATTCTTTTTTTTAATTAATTTATTTCAAATTATCAACAATCACTTCCATAAGCTTTTGAGTTTTAAATTTTTCTCTCCCTCCCTCCCCACCTGCCTCCCCAAGATGGCCCGAAATCTGATATAGGCTATACATATACATTCCTATTAAACATATAAACCCAATTCTAAATCTTGTGATCTTTCCATCACACCATAGGATCTAGATTTAGAGCTGAAAGGTTCCTTAGAGGCCATCAAGACCAACCATCTCATCTTACGGATGAGGAGACTAAGGCATAGAGAGATCAAGTGACTTGCCCAGGGTCACACAGTTAGTAAGTGTCCAAATAGAATTTGAGCTCAGGTCTCCCCCAACCCACCACTGTGCCCTCTAGTGGCCTCTAACATCATCCATGCTTCCCTGACAGTCCCCCACAGCGCCTTTCTTTCTCTGAGTTTGTTTGTGTGCTTGGTGTAAAGGGGCTGAGGGCTGGCGAGCCAGAGGTCCAGGGGGCAGAGAGGAGCCTGCGCAGTGGAGCCAGACTGGAATCTTCCTGAAGCCAAAGAGCGAGGAGCTGTGGGACTTCATTGCACCAGGTATTCCATAGGCAACAAGTAGAGGTGGCCCCACAGTTTGCTGCCAAGACTTCCTCATTTGATATCCCCTTTCCAGGGATTCCCACCTAGCAGGAATCTCAGACAGTCAGGAATCTCATCACCATCCTTTCCAACTTCTCAAACACCCCAGAGCAGGAACAACAGGTTGCTGGGTCATCCGTCCATCTATTCATTCCTGCTGCACTTCCCTTTCTTCTCCCTCTTCCTTAGAGAGATTCCTGGGAGACCAGCGCTTCAGCTATGGGCAGCCCCTCTCTCTGACCTTCCGGGTACCGCCTGGGGGCTCTCTCCTCCCTGTCTGGCTGAAATTGGAAGGGGCAGGACTAGCCCTGTCTCTGAAACCCTCCAACCCGACAGGTACCCAACAGCCTGGACGGCCTGAGGAATACCTGCTGGCGTTCAGGTAAGTGGGGGTGACTGAATGGCGCACCAAACCACTGGTCTGAGAAGGTTGGCCCCAGAGGGCAGAACCAAGAGCAGTGGTCCAGAATTACAAAGAGGAACATTTAGGTTCTGCTCTAAGAAAATCTTCCTAAAACTGTCCAAAAGTGGAATGGCTAGAGTATGTCTAAAAGTGGTGAGTCTCTCCTCCTTGGAGGTCTTTGAGTAGAAACTGGATGACCAATTATTCCATAGTCAGTCAACAAGTATTAGGGGCTTGCTATGTTCCAGGCACTGGTCAGCTCACTACGATAAGCATTTATTAAGCACCTACTAGGTGCCAGGCACCATGCTAAGCACCAGGCATACTCTAGTGGTTCCCAGCAAAGAACTACCGAAGAAGGTATACTTGGACTTTCTTTCTGGGACTCTGCTGTTTATAAACAAACAGGGGATGACCCTCCTACCTCTTCAAAAAGGCCACTGTGTTTTCTCATCCCCTATCTGACCAAAGTCAATGTGAGGTAATACTAATAAGAATATGCAATAATAATGCATAACTAAAATTTATATAATGCTCTAAGGTTTGCAAAAGACTTTACAAATTTTATCTTACACCTTATGAGAGAAAGATATGCTATTTTATCCCCATTTTGCAGATGAGAAAACTGAGGCCAAGAAAGGTTAAGTTCCTTGCCCAGAGTCACACAGCTAGCCAATAGGATAATCCTGTTCCGAGCAGGATTTGAACTCAGGTCTTCCTGATGTCAAATCCTATGCTCTAGATTAGAACACTGAATGGGGAATCAGGAGACCTGGGTTTGAATGCCATCTCTGCCATAACCTGCTGTATAACCATAGGTGAGTCACTTATTCATTTGTGACTCAATTTCCTCATCTGTAAAATAAGAGGATTCAAAGTTCCCCTCCAACTCTGTTATCCCAAGGTAGTCTAGTCCAATCCAGTCTTATCTATTCTGAAAGACAGGGGGATCCCAGTGCCATATTCCTACATCCTATCAGAAAGCTCTAAAAAGTCTTCTCACCTTTTCCTGAAGAAATCTCCTGGGCTCCCTCTTGTCTCAATGGGAGCAAGGAAACAACCCAGCCCATTTTCCGCTCCGGCCCACACAGCTAGAGGTGAAATGAGACAGGGTGCCAACCCTCCCCTCATTTGTTCCATTCACCCTGACAGCTTGCAGGAGACCTCAGAGGATGCAAAACTCCTGCTCCCCGCCTTCCACTTCCAGAGGCTCTTGGCCAACCTGACGGCACTCCAGATCCAGGTCGCAGGTCCCAGAGGCAGACACCCCACAGGTGAGGGGCAGGAGGGGAAATGTGGGGTCTAAGGAAGGGAAGCTGAATGGTACCTAAGGAACTGCTCTGTACCCAAAGAAACACTCTAAAACAGATTTATGGATGAACTCTGGCATTCAGGGCTAGAAAGGTCTTTGGGGATTCCTCTGGTCCATTGGCTTCGGTCCAGAATCACCCTAAACAGATAAATCTGATCTTTAACTTTTCCAAACAAGCAAATTCCACAGGGCTTAAAAAAAATTTGTCAGAGGTATTTGCATATTTTCCCACCACCAAGTTTAATCATATATCAATTTCTTGCCAACACAATTAGCTCTTTTTTCCCTACAATGGGCTTTACCTCCTAGCCTAGGTCTTCTGTTACTTTCAGTATCTCTCCATTTCGGCATGCCTGCTGCTCCAGAGTCTCTATGCCCAAGATTACAGTTCTTTACCTTGCTTGCTCCTCTTTCCTTTCAACAACTCCTTAGAAGCACTTTCTTCATAGTCAGATACTACCCCACTCTCTCTTTCCTGACTTTGCAAACTGTCTGCCAAAGTCTTTTGCTCCAGCCAAACAGCCTCTAACCCTTTGTTCATCCATCCATCCATCCATCCATAAACAAGCACTTTTTAAGTGCCTACGACATGTGAGGCTCTTTGCTAATAGCTAGGGATACAAAGAAAGGCAAAAATAGTCCTGCCCTCAAAGAGTTAGCATTCTAATGGAGAAGACCATGTGTTAATAACTAGCTACATACAGAGTTGATGGAAGTTAATTTTAGAGGGGAGGGTTTTAGCAGATAGGGGAGGACTAGGAAAGGTCTCTCTGCAGAAGGTGATGTTTGAGCTGAGACTTGAAGAAAGCCAAGATTCTAGGAGACAGAGAAGGGAGAAGGGAGAGGCTTCCAATGGGGTAAGATGTCTTCTTTGCCACCCCTTGCCTTTTGACTTCCTGCGAATGCTTTAAACAAATCAATTACCACCTTGTCCATGAAGCCTTCCCGGATCTCCTTAATGCACTCATTATGTAATACAATATCTTGTAATACGTTTTTGTTTCTTATTCCCCTATTCCATGAGGACAGGGTCCATATCAAATCTAAAATTGGGATCTCCTACTAGGATCTTTTGTTGTTGTTCAGTCATATCCAACTCTTCATGACCCCATTTAGGGTTTTCTTGGTAAAGATACTGGAGTAGTTTGCCATTTCCTTCTCCAGCTCATTTTGCAAGTGAGAAACTGAGACAGACAGGGTTAAGTGACTTGCCCAGGGTCATACAGCCGGTAAGTGTCCGAGACCAGATTTGAACTCAGGAAGAGTCTTCCTGATTCAAGGCCCACCCAGTGCTCTATCCACTGCTCTGCCTAGCTACCCCTTGCTAGGGTTTAGCAGGTGTCTTATAGATGTGGGAGGAAAGAAGGGAGAAAGGGAAGAAGGGAGGAAGATAAAGAAGGAAGGGATGGGAGAAGGGGAGGAAGGGACATAGATAAGGAAGGGAGGATTGGGAGGGAAGGGAGGAGGGGAGGGAAAAGAGGAAAGAAAGAAATGGCAGCTCCGAGTAGTGGTTAGAGAGCCAGCTTTGAAACCCCACTAGCTTGTAGCCTTCAGGATTCTAGCCTTGCCTCTGAGCACCAATCACTCAGTTTCTTTGTGCTCTCAGAAACTCTCTAAAACTATACATTGTAGAAAAGGCGCTCTTCCCCCAGGAATTCCCTGATTCCAGTGAACTCACAGGCCTGGTCTCTATCCATTGAGTAAAGGCTGCCTTTGAGACCATGGTCGCAATGTGTCTTCCTCACTTCAGCCCGCCCCCTGCAATCTCTCTTGGGCAGGTCCTTTCCATCCTATTCATGACATTTCTACCTGCTTTTAGCAGCTCCCTCTGCCATCCAGTCCAGAGTGCTAAATCCTTCTCTATTAAAGATGGTTCTCATGGTGAAAAACATTCACTGAGCAAGAGCATTCTGCCAGCAGCAGAGGAAAAGGGAAATAAGGGCAGTTCCCTCTCTATTAGGCTTAAGATTGAAAACAGCTAGACAGCCAGGACACAAGAGATAAGCTCCTGGAGGAAATAAAGCACTTTTCTGTTGCAGGAAGATACAAATGGAAAAATCTTGCAAATGTCCTCTCTAAAACCAACCACTTTTACAAAGGTGGAGGAAGTATAGATTATCAAGGGAGGGGTATGCAGAGGGAGAGGTGTGGGATGAGGGGAGGGGACCCCCAAGGCTTCACCAAAGGAGTCTGCTTAGTCCTAAAGGGACAAAGAGGAGGCAGCTTGCTTAGTGGCCAGGATAGAAGGCTGCAGGGAATGGGTCTCTCCAAAGGAGTAGGTTCCCTTTCCACAAAGAACCTCCCCTCCCACTCCACCCCCCAGAGTGATCTGCTGCCTGAGAGGAGAGTGTTCTCAGGTAGGAGATGGCTTGGTCCAGTGGATGTGTTTGGAGCCAGAGAACCTGAGTTCAAATCCTGGTTCTGCTACTTACTACCTGTGTGACCTTGGACGAGTCACTTCATCTCTATGAACCTCAGTTTCCTCATTTGCAAAATGAGGGGAGATGGACTAGTTCAGAGGCATCAAACACATAGTAGGGCCACATGCGGCCTGTAACACTCCCAAGTATATGAGATTAAAATGTAATTGGGAAATATTTAACAAAATAAATAAAAATACAATAAAACCTAGATAATATTGATATATGGTTTTCTAAGTCAATCCAGTGTATTGTTTTTCCAGTTTAGTGGCCCCTATTTCTGTTTGCTTTTGACACCACTGACGACCTCTGAGGTCCCTTTTGGCTCTCCATCTATGAACCTCTGATGCTTTGAGTATTGACTATCTCTCACCTGGAAGTGTCAGAGTCCAAAAGAATGATCTTATGGGGTAAGGATGTGTGTGAACTCATCTTCTGTCTCTGTTTTCTCCCCCTCTACAGGTCAAATGACCCTGACTGAGGTCCAGCTCACTTCAGCAGGCCCTGGTCTGTCCCCTCTAGCCCCTTGGGTAGAGGAGTGCACATGTCCCAAGGGGTACATGGGGCAGTTCTGTGAATCCTGCTCTCCAGGGTACAAGAGGGAGACACCATTGGGCGGGCCTTACGCCAGTTGTGTCCCCTGTACCTGTAATCAACATGGCACCTGTGACCCTGAAACAGGTCAGAATTTGTCCATAGCCCTTGCCTGCTAGCATTCTACCTTCATGTGAGCCTGGATTGTTAGCTATTGGGTACGTGGTCAGAGTAGATCCCTCTCTTCACCATCTTCCCTTCCGCAGTGACCCAAGTCACCCCAGAGTCATATACTCTGGACTTCCTACCAGCAGGTATTATAACCTGAGGGATCAGGTAGTCTAAAAGTGTTTCATAGATAAAAATGGGAAAATCCACCAATCACATTTATAAAAGGAGACAGAATGTGGGCTGACATCACCCTTATGGGGGTGAAATTCACCCACAGGACATTCTGGGTTTGTGGGAAACACAAACATGCTCACATGCCTACTATACTGAGTCCTGATGTCCTTCCCAACTCCCTAGTCTCTGCAGCCCAAAGGAAGCCCCATAGCATGAATAACTCAGAGCTCACCACTGAAGGTCTCCTTCTAAGGCTGCATCTCCCTTTGTTCACCCCCTGGGCTCTTTCTCCACATTACTGTCAATCCCAGACCCCAGGTGTGTGATGTCTGGGAGCTCTAGGCAACCCCAGGATTTTTGCATCAGATGTGAAAATGCATCTTACCCCTTCTTGGCCAGGCCCATCTTGACTATCTACTCTGGGCCTCAGGACAAGTTCCATTTTGTCAGGTGCAATGTCTTGCCTTGCTCCCCTAGATTTGTGTGTGGTACAGACTTAAATCTTAGTGCTGATTCCTGGGGAAAAAAGTTAAAAAATCCCTGCTCCCTCCTCCTCCTGCTGCCATGGGAAACTGAGTATTTGGGAAAGAGCTGGTTCTGGGTAATCTTTACATGTTCACTAACTTAGCATCACCTCCCACTCAGCATGAAGGTATGGGGAGTAAGATTCCTGCGTTCTATTATACCTTGGGGCAAACCATAAGTTACTGTGCTTTTGTTTCACAAAATATGAGAGTAGTTACCCGGCTGAAACTACCTGTGAAAAAGAAAGAAAAGGAGTATCATAAGAAATATTAAATAAATAAATAATAAATAATAAAGTCATATGCTTTGGTTAGATTTACAGCACAATTCTATCATCATCTGGCCACAGAAGGCTGTGTGTCTTTTAATCACTTCATGCCCTTCTCTGGACCTCTTTTTCTCCCCTCTAAACTGAGAATGTCCTGTTTCCATCTTTTCTTACAAGAGAGATAAGGAGACCTCATCACTAAAGTGCTCTGGACTCCCCAGAGCCCAGGAACCCAAGGTATGACACGATGATTATTATCCCCCCTCAGGAATCTGTCAGTGCCTGCACAACACAGAGGGCACCTACTGTGAGCGATGCACCCCCGGTTTCTACGGCAACTCCTTTTTGGGTCGGGAGAACGACTGCAAGCCATGTCCCTGTCCTGGTCAATCAGCATGTACAACCATCCCAGAGAGCGGGGAAGTGGTGTGTACCCACTGCCCCAAGGGCCAGAGAGGTAAGACACCAGACCCGGGCAGGACTCCTGCTTGTTGGTTCTGACTTCACGAGAGGAACGTGAAGGTCAGCTGAGGTGTCGGGAGGAAAGGGTGGAGCCACTATGACTCAAAAGGATAGACAGATTCCGAGGATGCCATGCCATCGGGGGAGGAGAGGAATGCCACTGGAGGAGTGTGGTGACGGGAGGGACAAGGGAGTATGCCAGCAGCTGATAGCTATTTTCCCCTCCTATTTCCCAGAGAGAGAGAGAGAGAGCAAGTGAGCACATTTATTAAGTGTTTACTGTGTGCCAGGTACTGTAGTAAGGGTCAGGCATACAAATAAAAGCAAACAAGGCAAACAAATAAAACAAAGCAAACAAGCCCTCCAGGAGCTTATGTTCTAACTGAGGAAGAAAACACATAAAGGGGACTTTTAAAGTTTGGGGGTATCTACATAGGAAAGGCAGCTCACAAGGAGGTGGTATAGAGAATAAGTAGAGAGAGAGGAATTAATTTAGCTGGGTTCCCTCATCAAATGGCATTCTAGGCTAGTCCTAATCCTGAGAATGGGCCTGGGGGTAGAGATATCTCCGGGATGGAAAGGTTGCTTTGAAATACAAGTTATGCTACAGAAAAGGACAGCTAGGTGGCATGGTGGACAGAGCTCCAGGACTGGAGTCCAGAAGACTCCTCTTCCTGGGTTGAAATCTGGCCTCAGACACTTACTAGCTATGTGACTCTGGGCATCTCACTTAACCTCTATTTGCCTCAGCTTCTTCATCTGTAAAATAAGCTGGAGAAGGAAATGGCAAACTAGTCCAGTATCTTTGCCAAGAAAATCCCAAGCAGGGTCACAGAGAGTTAGATGTGACTACTAAAGAGTGAAGCAACAAAAAAAAATGGGTATTACAATAGCACCTATCTCCCAAACTTCTTGTGAGGGTCAAATGAGATGGTATTTGTAAAGTGCTTACCACAGAGCCTGGCACATAGTAGGCATTTAATGTAACATGTTTATTCTCCTCTCTTCTTCTTTTCCTTGAGAAGTGCATGGAGAATAATATATAAGAAAAATAGAAAGGTAAAAAGGGGCCAAGTTGTAAAGAGCTTTAAAAGCCCAACAGATGGGCTTGTATCTGACCCTGGAGGTAATAGGCAGCCACTGGAGTTTATTGAGCAGAGAGATGACATGGTCAAACCTGTCCTTTACGGGAATATCTCTGGCAGATTATGGAAGCTAATTTGGAGCAGGGAGAGATTTGAGAGAGGCAAAAGACATCAATGCGAGTTTCTTGTAGGATTCCAGGTGGGAGACAGTGAGAGCCTAAACTGGGGGGGGGGGGCAGGGGGAGGGTTGGTACAGGGGATGTTGTGGAGAAAGAAATGACAAGATTTGCAAATGGATTTGATATGTGGGTGAGTGACAGTGAGGAGTTGTGTGGATAGTAATAATGGCTGCTACTTATAGAGCCCTTGAAGATTGATTGTTATAAGATTCAAATGAGATCATGTGTGGAAAGCACTAGGTAAGCCTTAAATAAAGGTAGGATATTATCAAGAATTTGAACTTAAAGTGACTAGGATTTGAATTCAAGTCTTCCTGAATCCAGGTTCAGCGTTCTATCCATTATGCCATCTAGCTTCCTGACAGCAGTCTCATAGTTGAAAATCCTTGACAGTTATGGAAGTTTGGAAAGGAAATTTGGAAGAAGAGTGGATTGGGAGAATGAAGGAATAATGAATTCTGTTTTGGATATGTTGACTTTGAGATGCCTATGGAATATCCTATTCAAAATGTCCAATAGGCAATTTGTCAGATGGGAGAGATATTAGGGCTGGATATATAGATTTGGGAGTCATCTGCAAATTGAATCCATGGGAACTGTTGAGAACAGCAAATGAGACAGAGTAGAGAGAAGAAAGGACCAAGGACAGAGCCTTGGGGGACACTCATGGTGAATGAGAGGCACACTGATGAAGTTACATCTAAGAAGACTGAGAAAGGGTCAAGTGGACAGAAGTGAGAAACAGTAGGGTCACAAAGACCCAGAGAGTAGTCAGTGTCAAATGCTGCAGAAAGGTCAAGAGGGATGAGCATCAAGGAAAGATCATTCGATTTGGAGAAAGAGGTTTCATTTGAATCATGAGACTGGAAGCCAGACTGCAGAGGGTTTAGAAGACAGTAACAGGAGAGGAAGTGGAGGCACTTGTGTAGACAGCTTTGTAAAGGATTTTAGCTGAGAAGGGAAGGAGAGAGACAGGATGACAGCTCCACAGTGCCTAACCAGAATGCATAGACATTAGACCAGTTGGTTTCTGAAGCCCTTTCCAAGTCTAAGATTTTCTGACTCTGTTAGTTCTGAAACCATTTTCCTTAGGACACAAGAGGATGATGAACATAGCTTCAAAGCAATTTCCCTTAAAAGAAAACAAAACAAAGATACTTCCCTTGAGAACCAGCCTGGACTGGGAGGGAGTATCTTCTAGAATAAAGAAGAGACACATTGTTTGGAAAAGTCTGTTGACTTGAAAATGGGGAGAACTCTCAGGGGAGACTCAGGGGAAAATATGGAGATTGTCCTTTTCCCTACAGCTCTGGGTTCCCCCAGAAAGTCTGTCCCATTATTCCCTACTTTTTCTGACTCCCCAAGTTGCTTTTTAAAGACCTCAGTCTCATAGGCACAGGGGTATTTCAATCCATCAATAACTAGTTAATAAGCGTTGACTATATACACCTTGCTAGGCACTAAGGGTACAAACACAAAAGGGCAGGCCCTGACCTCAAGGAGCTTACTTTCTATTAAGGGGATACGACACGTTTAAACATAAGTAAATACAGGATGTGTACAAAATAAAAACCCATTAATTTGGGGATGGGCACTACTGTCTAGAGGAATCAGAAATACCTCATGTCACTTGAACTGAACCTTGAGGGGAATGAGGTAGACGTGAGGAAGAAGAACATTTCTAGAGATGGAGGACAACCTGTACAAAGACATGGAGGTGGGAGATGGCTTGTCATGTGTACGGAACAGGAAGTAGGCCTGAACTCTTTATTATGGGATAAATAGAGAAAACAGACCAGAGGAGCGGGTTCATGGCATGTGGGACTGGGAAGGAAGGCGCTCTTCACAGGAATCTAGATAATACTCAACACCCTCTAGGAGTAATAAAGTGGATTCTGTCACGTATTTTTTCTAATCAGAATTAGACCTTTTCTTTGTTCCAACCTTCTTTTGGCCCTTACTACAGTTTTTCAAAATGTCATTTCTAAAGCCTAGATTTCTTCTTCTTCTTAAACTAGTTAGACTAGATAATGTCTAAGGTCTTTTCTGGGGCAGCTAGGTGGAGTATTGGATAGTGTGCCAGACCTAGAATCAGGAATGCTCATCTTCCTGAGTTCAAATCTGTCCTCAGACACTTAATAGCTATGTGAACCTGGATAAGTCACTTAACCCTGTTTGCCTCTGTTTCTTCATCTGTAAAATGAGCTGGAGAAGAAAATGGCAAACCACTCCAGTGTCTTTACCAAGAAAAGAAGTTCTACTGAGTATTTTCTATCCAATTGAATTCAATTCAACTCAATAAATATTTATTAAGTGCCTACTGTGTGCAAGACCCTGGTCCAGGTACTAGGAATACACAGACAATAAAAAAGTCTCTGCCCTCAGGAATCTTATATTCTACTGGGGGGACACAACATAACCACAGATAAGTAAATGCAAAGTAGCAAAGTAATTTCAAGAGGGAGAAAGTATTAACAACTGGGAAATCAGTAAAAGCCTCACATAGGAGGTGGTACCTGAACTGTGTCATTTAAATGAATTTCAGGATTTCAAGAGGCCAAGGGAAAGAAGAATGCAGTAAAGATTTGGTATCCACCTATACAAAGTCACAGAGGTGGCAGATGGAGCGGGAAACAGCTACTCAACTTTTAAAAAGTATTTATCAAGCACCTACTATGTTCCAGGCACATAGTGGACACAAAAGGAGGCAGAAGAGTTTCTCCCCTCAAGGAGCTTACAATCTAACAGGAGACAACAAAGATTTACAAACTAAATATGGAATAAATAGGAAATAATTAAGAGAGAGAAGCACTAGAATTAGGAGAGATTGGAGAAAGCTTCCTGTAAAAGGTAGAATTTTATTTGGACCTAGTAGGTCAGCCTGGATGGAACAGAATAAATGAATTGGAATAGTATGAAATTATCCTGGAAAGGTTAGGAGGCTCAAGCTGAGGATTTTGTATTTAACCTAGTTTTAGGAATATCAATTTGGCAGCTATGTGGAGGATGGATCTGAGAGAGTAGAGACTGGAAGCAGGAAAACCAATTTGGGAATCATTTTAATAATCCATAGGGTCAGCCTGAGGGTTTTGCACTTTATTCTAGAGGTAAAGGGAGCCATTAAAGATATTTAAAGATAGGGAGGGGTAGACATTGTCAATCTGTGTTTTAGGAATATTAGCTAAGCAACTATTTGGAGGATGGATTACAGTGGTGGATACTGGAAGGAGGCATGCCAATCTGGAAGTTATTCAATAGTCCATGCAAGAGACTATGAGAGCTTGAACTTGGATACCATGAGTGTGAGTGGAAAAAGGAGAGATACAAGAGAAATTGTAGAGGCAGAATTGATAAGCTTCAATGACTAAACTGATCATGAAAGTGACGAGAAAAGGGCCAAGAATGACGCATGTTCTAAACCTGGACGATTAGAAGAATGATGATGCCAACAACAGAACTGGGAAACATTGGAGGAAGAATGATTTTTAGAGAGGGAGAAATGAAGTAGATTTAAAAAAAATTTTATAACAAAGCGTACCCTTTCCCTTTTGAGCTTCAGAAGTTTTTTTTTTCATTTGTTTTTGTTTGTTTGCTTTTTGTTTTGTTTTGTTTTTTCCCAACTGAGCTAAGTAAAGTTGACAACATTGCCCTGAGGAACCACCAACTCTGGGAAAATAATGGACCCCCTTGGCTCTATGTGGGTAGTCTATAAGTAAAATATGGAGAGAGAAATAGGAAGTGTTCTAGTAGAAGAGGTCACAAGACTGAAAAGCAGATGACCTGGATTCCAGATCCAACACTTATTGGCTATATGACCTCGGGCAAGTCACTTCTCAACCTTTGTTAAGTGAAGAAGGAAAGTAGAGAAACTCATCCTACCTCACAGCTGAGTACGAGACAGATGCTGCAGATACAATAGGAAGCAAGCTATCAATAGAAATAGTTATATATCTCCTCTATGTGTCACTTAAATGCCAGAGCCAGAATAAGAACCCAAGTTTTCCAGCTCCCAGGCCTATGTTCTTTCCACCTCCCCACACTACTAGGGGATTTCCTATGTAGACAGGGTAAGGTCCTATCCTCTGTAAATGCCTTTCTGATGTTCTTCTCTCCACCACCCCCATTCAGGACGTCTGTGTGAGATATGTGATGACGGCTTTTTTGGGGACCCCTTGGGAAGATCCGGCCCTCTCCAGCCTTGCCAGCAATGCCAGTGCAATGGGAATGTGGACCCCAATGCTGTGGGCAACTGTGACCCCACAACAGGCCACTGTCTGCGCTGTCTCTACAACACAACAGGTGCCCACTGCGAGCAGTGCCAGGAGGGTTTCTATGGGAGCGCCCTGGCCCCGCGTCCTCTAGACAAATGCACTCGTGAGTATGGAGGGCCCTGGGAGATCCTGTGAGGAAAGAGGGAGGGGAATGCAAAGGATGGGACCAGGGCTCTGTCTTCTTCCCTACTGGGCACTCCCACAGTATATTCCATTGCATGATGCCCTCTGCTGCCAGAGGGGAAGATCCTGGGAGGAAAATCCGAGAAGAAAGCCACAGTAACTGCCCTTCTCTGCCTTTGGCCCATGAACCCAAACGTTTCATGTCTTCCTCCTTTCTCCCTCCCATCTCCCAGCCTGCAGCTGTAACCCGTCAGGCTCAGCACGAGAGCAGGGGGCCTGTGATCCGGGGACAGGCCAGTGTTCTTGCCTCCCTCACGTGACCGGACGAGACTGCCATCGCTGCAGCCCTGGCTTCTATGACCTCCAGCCAGAAAGGGGCTGCCGGAGGTGGGTAGGGCCAGGGCAAGCTCCTTCTAGAGTCTGTGTCATCCATTCCCTGCTAGTCCTTGTTGGCCGTGGGTGGGGGGAGGCAATTGGAGGCCCCGTCTGGGAGGGCGTGGTCATCCAGAAAAGGGAGCTGTGGTTGTGAATAAATCCGTCCCAGCTGCATTGGGCCAACTGCCTGGCAGGCAGGTGTCACTTACTGAATAGGAACATGAGAATTGCCACACTGAGTCAGACCCCTGGTCTAGCTGGCTAACAGAGGCGCCCAGGGGTCTGTGCGTGGGTTGGTGGGGCTGTTCTCCCTGACAGCAGGCTTCCTGGTTGGGTCTGTCCCCAGTTTTTGTCAGTAGCCCACGTGTGGCTCTGTCATTCAGAAATACGTCCAAGCCTTCCTCAGTTCCATTTATCTCGGCTTGTTCTATAACATCCTGGTTGGCTGATGAAGTTTTTAAAAATATGTATTTATTTTTATTCTCAACTTAACAAACACTAAGTAAAAACAATCATTTCCATATAAATGGCAGAGGGGTTCTTAACCTGGGAACCTTGGGCAGATTTCAAAGGGGTCCGTCAACTTGGATGGGAAAACAATTACATCTCTATTTTCACTAACCTCTAGCTGAAATTTAGCATTTTTCTTCAATTATGCATTTTTTAAAGCATATGTAATCAGAGAAGGTGCATAGGTTTCACCAGATTGTCAGATGGGCACATCTCACACACACACACACACAAGCATACACACACATACAAAAAGAACCCCTGACATGATGGAATAGGGGGAAAAAAAAGCATTATACTTGAAGCTGTGAATCTCTATCATATAGAGCTTATTCTTCTTTTAAATTAAATAATAAATTTGACATGTAGTTTTCAAAACTGTCTTGTTTATGATTCTTTCTGGTCTTTCTGTTCTCTTCTGTTGATATTGTTTTTTAAAAAAAGATGCTCAACAATTCTCTCTCTCTCTCTGTCTCTCTGTCTCTCTCTCTCCCCCCTCCCTCCCTCCCTTCCTCCTTTCTTCTCTCTGTGTCTCTATCACTCTATTTCCCTCTTCCTCCCACCTATCCCCACTAGGAAGAAAAATAAAGAAAGCCTATACAATAAATATGCATAATCAAGCATCTTAAATTCTCATGTTGGCCTAATTCAAAGATGTATGTCTTATTCTGCATCTTGAGTCCTTCCCCTCTGTCTCAAGAGATGAGCAGGATCTCCTTCATCAGGCCTCTAGAACTGTGGTCATTCATTGTGTCAATCACAGCTCTTGAGTCTTTCATAGTTGTTCTCCCAAGTGATATTGTTGTCTCAGGAGTGGTTAACCCAGTTCTGCTCACTCTGATCAGTCCATCCCAGCTTTCTCTGAAACCATCCCTTTCCTCATTTCTTGCAGTGCAATAATATTCCATTACATTCATATGCCACAATTTGTTCAACCATTCCCCAGCTAACTGGCATCCTCCTATCTCCCAGTTCTCTGCCACCGCAAAAAGAGCTACTACAAATATTTTTGTACTTATGATCCTTTTCCTTTTTCTTTGAACTTCCCAGCGTATAGGCCTAGAAGTGGTATTGTAGGCTGAGGAATGCATTTTGTGATTTTATTATGCACTGTGAAAAAGAGGACTTGCATTTATCTGTCGCAGATTTACCATATCCTAGTTTATTTTTCTAATCATATTTTTATTGCTCCCTTTTGGTTTTACATCATCTTCTTTTCTAAATATAGCCCTTCCTCCCTTCTCTTGTAACAAAACAAAAAAAGAAAGAAAAAAAGAGGAGAAAAGTAACACAAAGCCAGCCATCACATCAACCACGTCTGACAGTACATACGATATTCCACACCCTTTGTCCCTCACTTAGGCAAAGAAAGAAAGCAGGTCAGGCTCTAGTTTCAACGGTGGCACCTCATCCTAGTATTTGCTCAACAAATATGTCTCCATATCATACTAATTCATAAAACAATATGTCTAAGCCTGTTTGGCTTTCTTTTTTAGTTGCCTAACCCTGCTCCTGACTTTGTATGCCTCGCTTATATTCTTTCTCAGCCTGAGCACAGAAAAAGCCCAGGCTTAACTTCTGTGCCCCCTACATGCTGGACTAAATAAGAGGGGTATGGTGCTTAACTCTGATGTTTGGTACTCTCCTTTATCTCAGCTGCAAGTGCCATCCTGTAGGTTCTCGGGAGAACCAGTGCCACCCTGTGACTGGGCAGTGCCCTTGCCTTCCTGGGGTTGGTGGAGTGGCATGCACTCACTGCCAACCTGATTTCTTTGGCTTCTCTGCCAAGGGCTGCCGAGGTAAGGAAAGATCCCAGAGTTAGAGGATTGGGGTAGGCAGTTTTCAAAGCTGTCCCACCAGGGCAGAGGAGGGGCAGCTCTGCTTGGACAGTGGGGATCCTTGGGCAGAGTGACCCTACAGCAATAGAGAATTCAGGTAAATCTTCCTTCCAAGAATGGGTACAAGAAACTGCAGGTGAACACAAGAGATGGTGAAGATCTCTGACACTCAGTCATCTGCCTGAGCATGAAATCAGGTGGTTTCTTTCACTAACTAACTGGGCAACCTTGGGGCAAGAAACCTTGGGCCTCAGTCTCCTCATCTGCAACATGATGAGTCTGGATTATATGATGCTCAAGCCCTTCCAGATCTGACATTCTATGACCTAGTGGGATGGTGTGAGAAGCAACGTCATATAGTGGTTAAAAGGCTAGTCATAGAGTTGAGAAGACCAGGGTTCAAGTCGTACCCCTGATATGGACTAGCTATGAGACCATGTATAAGTAACTTCGTTTCCCAAACAACTCCCAGGCAACTGTCTTAAAACTATAAGTTATAGATGAATTGCTGGGCTGCATCAGTGGAGGGAGTTTTCCATGCTGGGAATTCCCCATACCAATGAAGTTATAATTCGGGGAAAGGAGGAAAGAAAGAAAGAAAGAAAGAAAGAAAGAAAGAAAGAAAGAAAGAAAGAAAGAAAGAAAGAAAGAAAGAAAGAAAGAAAGAAAGAAAGAAAGAAAGAAAGAAAGAAAGAAAGAAAGAAAGAAAGAAAGAAAGAGAGAGAGAAAGAAAGAGAGAAAGAGAGAAAGAGAGAGAGAAAGAAAGAAAGAGAGAAAGAAAGAGAGAAAGAGAGAAAGAAAGAGAGAGAGGAGGAAGAGAAGAAAGAAGAGTGGGAGGAAAAGAGGAAGGGAGTGAGGAAAGAAAGGAAAATGGCTTTAGTATGGCCCAGCACAGAGACAGAAGGCTACACTTGGTGACCTCTAAAGGGCCTACCCAGACCTAAAATTCCAAGAGCATCAGGTTCTTTTTATTCCAAGGAGGCTTTTAAAATACTGGCTGTGACTGAGAAGCCTCCCCCAGCACTGCCTCATGAACTGCCATAATAGGATACAGCACAAGAAGGCATCTTAGAGATCATTTAATCCATCATCTTCATTTTAAATGATGAGGAAACTGAGGTCTTACACAAGTTGAGTGACTTGGCAAAGGTCACACAGTGAGTTCATAGGACAACCCACATTGCAACCCAGACTGAGTGCTCCTTCTACTTCAACCTTAACGTAAAAATCAGTAGCTGACGGGGCATCTCCTAACAAGCTATCCTTTGTCTCTAGCCTGTAACTGTTCCCCACTGGGCTCTGTCACCACCCAATGCCATGAGAACAGCACATGTGTGTGTAAGCCAGGCTTTGTGGGCTACAAGTGTGATCGCTGCCAGGAGAACTTTTTCCTCACTGCTGAGGGCTCTCAGTGCCAGGAGTGCCCAATTTGCTTCTCCCTAGTGAAGAAAGAGGTAATTCACTCTCTGGACTCCCCATTTCCCCACTCCTACCTCCCCCTTCCCCCAGCCCGACTGACTCATCTCCCTCTTCTTCTCCCTGACAATTTCCTATCACCCTAGTTCCCATTTCATTCCACCCCAACCCCATCCCATCACACCCTGCCTTACCCTTCAGGTGAAAGTCATAAAAAATATGTGACCCTCATTCTTCTAACTTCAACAACATGGAAGTTAGGCCACATATTTTTTAGCTGAATACAGTTTAATTGAATAAGCGTTTGTTATGCACATACAGTGTGCCAGTCACTGTACTATGTACACTGCTAGGCACTGAGGATATAAAGGCAAAAATTAATAATTCCTGCTCTCAAGGAGTTTACATTTTACTGGGGAAAAAAGCCTATATACAAATAATAAAATACAAAACAAAAGCAAAGTAATTTCAGAGTGGGGTGCTAACACCTAGAGTGATGAGGAAAGGCCTTGGGTAGGAGGTGAAATTTGAGCCGAGTCTTGAAGGGATCTAGGGATTCCAGGTGGTAGAGGTGAGGAGGGAGAGCATTCTAGGCCTGTGCAAAGATACAGAGTAAGGCATCCATTTCTCCACTTGGTATTGATTAGTAGAGGGCAGTACTCATATGCAAGGAAAAGAATGACCTCTGCAGATTAGAGTGGGCTGAGGGACTTGAGCAGGGCCTGCAAGAATGGGTAGCCCCCTAAATCACTATTGATTAGAGAAATGCAGATTAAAACAACTCACACCTATCAGATTGGCTAACATGACAGAAAAGGAAAATGATCAGTGTTGGAGAAGATGTGGGAAAATTGGAACACATGCATTATTGGTGGAGTTGTGAATGGATCCAACCATTCTGGAGAGCAATTTGGAACTATGCCCAAGGGCTATAAAATTGTGCAAACCTTTGATCCAGAAATACCACTTATTAGGTCTGTATCCCAAAAAGAGCATAAAAAAGGGGAAAGGATCCACATGTACAAAAATATTTATAGCAGCTCTTTCTGTGGTGACAAAGAATTGGAAATTGAGGGGATACCCATCAGTTGAGGAATGGCTGAACAAGTTGTGATATGAATGTAATGGAATACTATTATGAAAAAGAAATGATGAGCAGGTGGACTTCAGAAAGATTTACATGAACTGATGTTGAGTGAAGTGAGCAGAACCAGGAGAACATTGTTTACAATAACAGCAACATTGTACGAGGATCAGCTGTGAATGCCTTAGCAATTCTCAGCAATACAATGCTCTAGGACAATTCCAAAAGACTCATGATGGAAAATGCTGTCCACATCCAGAGAAAGAACTATGAAGTCTGAATGTAGATCAAAACATTCTATTTTCACTTTTGTTGCTATTTTTTTTTGTATGTTTTTTTCTTTCTCATGGTTTTTCCCTGATAGGTAGAGCAGGATGGGAGTGTCTCATTGCCTGAGAAAGTGGTGAAGGGACCCAAATTACAGGACATTTCATTTCCAACTCATAAAACTTCTTTAAGCCTTTGGTTATCGGCCACCCAGGCACCAGAGAAGCCTTCCTGGAGCAAATGGAAGAGTTGGAGAGTTCCCCTGATTCTTCTTTCACAATATGACTAATATAGAAATATAATTAATATGATCGTACATGTATCACCTCTATCAGATTGCTTGCTATCTGGTGGAGGGGAGGAAAGGAGGGAGAAAAATTTGGAACTAAGAATTTATAAAAGTGAATATTGAAAACTAAAAAAAAAATACTAGCCCCAGATAGGCAAATCTATCAATCAACAAGTATTTATCAAGCCTTTACTAAGTACAAGGTACTGTGCTAATTACTGGGCATACAAAGAAAAGCAAAAACACACCCCCACATTAGATTTAGCTTAAAATCTAATGAGGTAGCCAACCTGTAAATAGGTACAAACAAGATACATCCAGAATAAATGGAATGTAAAGATAAAGGGTTGGGGGCATTTCAGGGAAGGGATTAATATGAGCCAAGGCAAACTTCTTCTGGGCACCAATTTTTAAGTTTCATCCCTTACTGGAATGCTTTTTCCATGTTGCCCCTAGGCCACCGACCTCAAGGCCAAGCTAACAGTGATGGAGCGATGGCTGCAGAAGTCTGACTGTGACAGCCCCTGGAGGGACTATATCTTGCAGGGAGAGTCACCAAGAGGAGACACCTACCAGAGTCATTCTCTGCTTCAAGGTACAGCAGGAGAACTGGGTCACAAAGCAAAGGAGGCCAGGGAATCCTTAGGAAAGCTACTAGGTCAGGGCCAGATTACTTCCTTGGAGAGAAAGCCTCTCTGGTCTTTTCATGGTGCCTAGAGTTCATTAGAGGCTGATCGTCATGACAGCAATAACAAGAACTCTGAGGCAGCTTACTGTGATGGCTAGAGAACCAACCTTAGAGGGAGAAGGTCCTGGGTTCAAGTCCTGCAACTGTCAAATACCGGCTGTAACCCAGGCAATTCTGTAAGACCTTAAGTTGCAGATCAGCATTGATGGAGATAGTCTCTTCTCCAGGACATTCCTATACCAATGAAATCACATTTGGACAAAAAAAAATTTAAATACCATTTCTATAATAATATTAGCTAGCATTTGTACAGTCCTTTCAGATTTATAAAGAGTTTTATAAATATTTTATTATTTGTTCCTCACAACAACTGTAGAAAGGTAGGTGCTATTATTAGCCCCATTTTCCAGACAAGGAAACTAAGGCAAATGGAGGCTAAGTGACTTGCCTAGTATCAAAAGCTAGTAAATGTCTGAGATCAGATTTGAATTCAGGTCTTCCTGACTCCAGACCCAGTGCTCTAACCACTGAGGTACCTAGGTGCCTTCACTTAGGCTGTAAACCAATGGATAAGTGGGAAGGCCTGATAGGTAGAGCAAGATGGGAGTGTCTCATTGCCTGAGAAAGTGGTGAAGGGACCCAAGTTACAGGATTTTTCATTTCCAATTCATAAGACTTCTTTAATCCTTTGATTATTGGCCACCCAGGCACCAGAGAAGTCTTCCTGGAGCAAATGGAAGAGTTGGAGAGTTCCATGAGGGCTACCCGGCACCAGCTGCAAGCAGCAAGCAAGAGTGTCAGGTGCACCAGGAGTAGTCTGGAGAAGACCTGCATCCAAATGGTGGACATCGAGGCTCTGCTGCTATCAACAGAGCTGGAGATTCAGCAGGCGTTGGGAGCCCTCACGACAATGGTACCTCTGGGACCCTTAAGCTGCTAAGTTAAAGAGCAGTACACGGCATAGTAGAAAAGATGTTGAACTGGGGACCAGGAAGATATGGGTTCTAGTCCAAGCTATGTGACTGGGGGCAAGTCTCTTCTCTTTGAAGCTCAGTTTTCCTACCTGGAACAGAAAGGTACCTGGACTAGATGGTCTGTAAGGTTCCTTCCATTTCCAACATTCTGTATTCCAAGGCTCCCCTAGCTCTGACATTCTGTGTTCTAAAGCCACTTCCAGCTCTGATATACTCTGTCCTAAGGCTCCTTCTAGCTTTGACATTCTGTGTTCTAAGACCCCTTCTAGCTCTGATATTCTATGATCTAAGTTCTCTTCTAGTTCTGACATTCTGTGTTCTAAGGCCCCTTCCAGAGAAGATAGTTTGTGTTCAAGGTCCCTCCCAGATCTGACATTCTGTGTTCCAAGGTCCCTTCTGGCTCTGCGTTCTACGTCCTAAGGTTCCTCCCAGATCTGAAATTCTGTGTTCTAAGACCCCTTCCAATTCTGACATTATATGATTCATTCAACACTTAGCGCTTCTAAGTGCTAGAATGCTAGTTCTAGAGTGACTTGGACAAAAGTGAAGCCTTCAGGGATGTGCAATTTATTTCTTCCTTCCTTCCTTTTCTTTTTCTTTTTATTAAAAGGTGATCCCTCAGGAAGTGCCCAACCAACTCACCAACTGGAGTCGTCTAGCCACTGAGTCTCAGGCCCTGGCCAAGAGGTAAGTCACAGCACCAGTAAGGCAGATACTGCCTGCCATTGCTCTTCCTGGCACATTGTATGTAAACTCCTAGCTCCCAGCTAGATTGTCCCCTTAGGAGGAATGTAGGCTGCTGGGGTGGATCATATCATGTATGTATTGGGGGACAAGAAATAGGTGGAGTGAGGTGGAAACCACACTTGTATTCTGGCAAAATCCATTTCCAATGAACACTAATTAAGCCCGACATTGACTGGGTGTGTGTAGATAAGAAGAGAGAGATATTGTCAAGCTGTGGTGGCCCAAGGTCTTTGGAGGCATGAGGGTGGGCGATTGTGGACTGATTGGATGTATATAAGAACCTCAGGGATTTAAAGTACTATTTGGTAGGAGAGGGGCAGGTTGGCAAAATATAGGAGACATTGATGGCTCCAAAATCAGCCCTTGGAGCCATTCCCCAATTGATAAATGATCAAAAGATATGAACAGTTTTCAGATGAAGTAATCAAAGCTAGGCCATATGAAAAAATGCTCTAACTCACTACTGATTGGAGAAATGCAAATTAAAATAATTCTGAGGTATTACCTCATACCTTTTGGATTGGCTAATAGGAAAAAAAAGGAAAATGACCAATATTGAAGGGGATGTCGGGAAAAAATGAGACATTAATGTACTGTTGGTGGAGTTGTGAACTGATTCAACCATTCTGTAGAACAATTTGGAACTACACCCAAAGGGCTATAAAATCATGCATACGCTTTGATCTAGCAATAATACCACTACTAGATCTGTATCCCAAAAGAGATAAAAAAGCAAAAAGGAAAAGGACCTATATGTACAAAAATATTTATAGCAACTCTTTTTTGGTGGCAAAAAACTGGAAATTGAGGGGATGCCCATCAATTGGGGTATGGCTGAATAAATTGTGCTATGAGATTATGATGGAATATTACTGTGCTATAGGAAATGATGAGCAAGATGCTCTCAGAAAAACCTGGAAAGACTTGCATGAGCTGATGCAAAGTGAAATGCACTGTGTACAAAGTAACAGCAGTGTTGTAAGATGACCAGCTGTGAATGACTTAGCTATTCTCAGCAACGCAATGATCCAAGACAACTCTGAAGCACTTGTGATGAAAAATACTATCCATCCCCAGAAAAAGAACTGATGGTGTCTAAATACTGATTGAAACATACTTTTAAAAAATATTAAATTAATTTATTTTTAGTTTTCAACATTCATTTCCATAAGATTTTAAGTTCCAAATTTTCTTCCCTTCCCTCCCTTCCCTCCACCCCAAAACAGCATACAATCTGATATGGGTTCTATATATGTATATTCATATTAAACATATTTTCATATTAGAAACATACTTTTTTACTTTCAAAAAACAAACAATGGGGGCAGCTAGGTGGCGCAGTGCATAGAGCACCAGCCCTGGATTCAGGAGGACCTGAGTTCAAATCCGACCTCAGACACATAACACTTACTAGCTGTGTGACCCTGGGCAAGTCACTTAACCCCATTGCCTAACCAAAAAAACAAAAAACAAAAAAAATCAGCCCTTGAAAAGATCTGCCCATGTCAAATACATACTTCAATTCCCACCCCTCCCCCAGCCCACACCTAGAGGTGTCACTAGAGCATTAAGTAGTCTGGGGCCCCTGTGGCAGATGGAAGTGGGTGTGTGTGTGTAACCTTTCTGAGCCACGGTTTGTACAATGAGGCGCCAGACTTGGTGATGTCTAATGTCCTTTCCAACTCTAAATCTAGGTGCCTATAAGGATTTTAGAACTTGGAGAAATCTTGGGGACCCTCGAGACCCCTCATTTTACAGATAAGGAAACCAAGGCTCAGGGCGAACTGACCCGCTTTAAGTTACCTATGTTGGGCTCTGGTGGTGGTTCCAAAGAAATATCCAGCCTGGTCCCAACCTTCGCAGAGCTTACAGTTTAGCTGGGGAGACCAGAGGAACATGTGGCTTTGGGGGTCCATCTTGGCGATGTGGATTGAATGGAGTGTTTCCTTCTCACAGTTGTAGAAATACAGCCTCTAAGATAGTGGCAGCAGCACAGAGGGCCCTGCTTGCTTCCAATACCAGTTACACTCTTCTGTGGAGTGTCGTTGAGGGCACAGATGCCCAGAAGATACAGCATGAACTAGAGGACAGGTAAGTCTTCTCCAAGGAGGTTGTGGATTTAATGGGAAGAGAGAAAAAGTGGGAATCATTGGCTAAAGATTTTATCTACCTCCAGACTATTTTCCCAACCAGTAGCCATGATGACACCCTACTGCAAAGACATCCTTGGTATTTCATGGTATTCTGAAATATCTTGATTTCCTATACTTCTTGGAAACAAGAAGACCTAGAGTGAGGTGAGGATGGCCATAAAGAGAGAAAAGTGCATATGTAGAATGTGGTTAGGGGTTATGGGCGTGAAAGGACAAAGAGCTAAGCCAGTGAATGGCTGGACAGCATGTGGCGGCATGTAGAATCATGGAATTTCAGACCTGAAATGGACTTTAGAACTCATCTAGCTATGCAACTGTCAAGTAACCCAACCAAAATGCCATCTACTCCATGAAGCCCTCACTCATCCCTTAGGTTGGTAAGCATACTCTACCTTGGCCCTCCCATGGCATTTTGTTTTGTACAACTCTGATGTTACATCTAAAAAAAAATAACATGAGTGACTCCATCTTGCCTTTATCCACAGTTTTGTGAAGCTGTTTCAGCTACTTATAAGTCACCTGATTTTAGAGAAGTCACAAGATTACTCCCCCTCCCAAAGGTCATCCAACTTAAGGAATGTCACAAAACTACCTCTCTCCCTCAAACCTCAGTGTCTCCCAATACCTTGCACCAATGAGAAACCAGGTGTCTCAAGTCCTATAATCCTGTTTTTTTCACTCCCTTCAAATTGTATATTATCTATGTAGAAATCATGCTTTGGAGTCCTTGGCTACCAACAGCCTTGGACTTGATTTGCTTTGCAACCACATGCATTGCTAAATAAATTGCTTGCCTGGATGAAACTCGTTTATTTTCCCCCAAAGTAATACTAATGCATTTATATCATGCAATAGAGTTTATGTTTCAGTTAGTGTCAAGGCTCTCTGCTAGACCGTGAGCTCCTTGAGAACAGGGTCTGTATCTTATCTAAACCTTTTCATTTTGACAAGCACAAATAATAAGTGCTTAATAAAGATCTTTTATGAGTGCTCTGCCCTCTCTTCATTTATCTAGTTTTTCTCTTTCTGAAAATGGAGAAATTGAGGCTTATGGAAGTGAAGGGTTTACTAGCCTGTAAAAAGAAGAGGTTGAACTGGATGATCTCCAAAATCTTTTCCAGTTCTAAAATCTGTGGTCATGTGATCTTAAGTAATTTGTCCAAGGTGATTCGGGTAATTAGTGTCCCAGACAAGTTCACTTGACCTAAAATCAGTCAGTCAGTCAACAAGTCAACAAGTTAAGAGCTTACCAAGTGCCAGGCATTGTGCTAGGAGACAGAGAAAGGCAAAAACACTGTCTCTGCCCTCAAGGAGCTCCCAGTCTAAAGGAGTAGACAACATGCAAACAGTTATGTATATACAAGATTTATATAGGGTAAATTGGAGGTAATCTCATATAGGAGATTCTAGCATTGAGGGAGGAAGCCAGGACAGGGAGATGAGAAAAGAGATCATTCAAGGAAGGGAGGCAGACTAGACCTTCCAGACACAAGATCAAAGAATCCCAAAATGTTAGAGCTAGAAAGGACCGTAGAAGATGGAGATCTGGGGAGGGGAATCCCACATCCATGACTTGTCTTGGCTCCATTCTCAGGTACCAGGAGGTGCAGAAGGCCCAGGAGGAGCTCAGAACATCTACAGCCCAGGCAGCCACAGAAGCCAAGGGCACCTTAGCATCTGTTCAGCGCATCAGCTCAGAAGGGGCTCAGCGCCTGGCAAAGCTCTCCCCTCCTGAAATATTGGTCAGAGCAGGTTTTCTTCCTGGCTCTGGTGGGGAGGAGTCAGATATTGGGTTCCCTTTAAAGAGGGAATATGCAAGAGCCCAGCTAAAAGCAGAAGGTTTTGTCCCAACCCTCTTTATCCCTGTATTCCATGTGTGTCTGTTTGCTTTGCACAACCCCCGCAGGATTATTTTCCTTGGGTTTTCTGGGGAGGCTCTGGATTGGATGCCAGGTTAGGAGTTGAAAGGTTAATCCTTAGCCTCAAAGGATTATCCCCACCGCTCCCCAACTCACCATCCAGAGGGACTCTTCTTACCCTTACCCTTACTCTTACTCTTATTTTTACCCTTCCTTGGAGATCCTTGCCAAGGAACTGAGTTCTTGTCCATCCTCCTCCAGCCTCTCACACACCTTGCCAGAGACCTGGACAGAAAACTACAGGATCTAGAGAAGACAGTGGCTGCTAAGGAGCATGTGTTCACCGAAGCAGCCCAAGGCCTCTTGGCCACTTCCCAGGAAGAGCTCCAGAAGATCCAGCCCTTTGAGCAGGTGAGGTCCTTTCCACCCCATTCACCCTGGCCCTGGAAGCCAAGGGACCTTGCCTCACTCCAGGGAGCTGCGAGGGAAAGAGATGGGATGGCATCATGTTCATTCTCCGCTCTTCCAAGGAGTCATTATCTTTACAGAATCTTTAAAAAGTTAAAGTATAAAAAAAGTTTTTTTAATTAAAGTTGGTAGAACACAGAATGTTAAACGGAGAGGCCCTTAGGGGACCTCTAATTCAACACCTTCATTTTACAATTGAGGAAACTGAGGCTCACTGTAGGGCAGTGACTTGCCCAAGGTCACACAGAGAATTAGTGCTAGAATTAGTACTAATTGGTACCAAGGTTGCCTGACTCCACGACTATTTCTTTTTCATTTTTTTTACTGTTTTTATCATTCCTATTTTTTACACTGTCATCACTTCATAATACCCCTACAACTCCCATAGAGCCTTCCTTTGTAATTAAAAAAAAAATAAGGTAAGTGGAACAAACACACAGTCACACACACACACACACACACACACACACACACACACACACACACACACGATATGCTTCCCTCATTCTTTGCCCATAGGCTACCACCTCTATCTCTAACAAGAGGAGTATGGATGTTCTGGAACTGAGACTGGTTGTTACATTTTCCTGTCTTTTACAGGGCCTTCAAAGTTTTCCCCTGGCACAATGCTGCTTCTTTCCAGGAGAAGATCTGGGGTTCCTCTTGGTTGTCTCTCTGCCTGTGGTCTGATATCAGACAGCAGTTCCATGAGATGTGGTTCCATGAAATGTCCTTACCCTTTCCCTCCTCTCTCCACAGCTGCTTGATGGAGCTGATTCTGCCCTCACCCTGGCCACCTCATCCATTACCAAAGCCAGAGAAACAGTCAGTGATTCCAGGACTTTGCTGACTGATCTGGAAGGTACAGCTACCCTCTGAGATAGGAGCTCCTTCGCTAGGGGACAGCGAGTTCTTTCGTCTAAGTTGTTATCCATTCTGGTCTTTATCCAAGCTGCTCCCTCTGACTTTGGGCACATTAAGAGTAGAATCCCAGATCTGCAGGTGAGAAAAATGAGCTGTAAACAGGAAAGGACCTGATATATGAGCACAGGGCCACAATAGAGCTGGAATAAGAAGCCAAGCAACCTGTACCTATTAGAAGTAGGCAACTGGTTCCACTTCTTCTTGGGGAAGAGGTTTCCTGAGAAAACCTCTCCTCCAGGGAGAATCTCTACTTCCTTTGTGGTTATGTATTAAGAATACAGCATGCTAGGGCACCACTTCCTACCCTACTTGCCTAAAGAATCCCCCAAAGAGGGCTACCTTGGGTCCATGACATCCTACAGATCCATAGCAGCTCAAAACCATACCTTTTCTAGTCAACCAAAGGACACGATTAACTCTAAGTAAAGACATTTAATGAACTAGCGTAACAAGGAGAGTAGCAATAAAACATTTTCTCTACAAACCTGGGACACTCTACAACAAATACATTTAACCATCAGGGAGAAGAGTGGATACACATTAGGAGTATATATGGAGAGGGACACACATAGGGAAGGTGTGTGTATAGGACACACACAATGAGGAGCATACATATGAGGAACACATGTGGCCGGGGCAGCCTTGTAAAGGGATCTGTGACACTGCTGAATCCCCCCACACCTCCTGCATCTTCTGGTGATATCACTGTATGGCTTCCTCTGATTTTGTTCCCTGGGTATCATCTTCACAGAAAATGTCATCACTACCCAACTTGTCATCTCTGCTAGTCTCTGATCAATTTATAGTGTCTGCTAGGCATTGCTCCCTGCTGGTCACACATGGATACTGTTCAGAGCTATTCCAAAAGTTCTGTGGTTCCTGCTGGCCGCTGCCAAGCAAGATTTCCTGGCCATAAGGTTCTTGATATCTCTTCCTTGTAGGGAGAATGGCTCCACCATGTCTCTTTTAGCTTAAAGACTAAGACTTCTGCTATAATTTTTTTTAATTTCTTTTTTTAATTGCTTTTTTCCAATAAAAAAAAATCCTCCTTTCCCTCCCATTTTCTCCCCCAATTTCCCCTCCAACACTGAGAAAGAAAGAAAAACAAAACCCCTGTTAGAAACACATATAGTCAAGCAAACAAATTTCCACATTGGCCATGTTAAAAAAAAAAAAAGGCTTCTCAAACTGTACTCTGACTCCTTTACCTCTCTATTAGGAGTTAGGCAGCATGTTTCATCATGAGTCCTCTGGAATTATGGCTGGTCATTGTGTTAATAACAGTTCCTAAGTCTTTCAAATTTGTTTGTCTTTACAATATTGTTGTCGTATATATTGTTCTCTTGGTGCTGCTTGCTTCACCCTGTATCAGTTCAAACAAATCTTCCCAGGTTTCTCTGATACCATCACCTTCACCATTTCTTATAACACAATAATACATTATTCAGCCATTACCCAATTGACGGATACACCCTCAGTTTCTAATTCTCTGTCACCACAAAAAAAGAGCAGCTGTAAATATTTTTGTGCAAGCTCTTTGAGGGCAGGACCTGTCTTTTGCCTCTCTTTGTCTCCCAGTGCTTTGCACAGTGTCTGGCCCATTCATTGTTGTTGTTGAGTCATTTTTCGGTCATGTCTGATTCTTGGTGACCTCATCTGGGGTTCTCTTGGCAAAGAAAACTGGAGTGGTTTGCCATTTCCTTTTCCAGCTCATTTTACAGTTGAGGAAACTGAGACAAACAGTGTGAACTGATTTGCCCCCAGGATCACAAAGCTAGTAAGTGTCTGAGGCCAGATTTGAACTTGGGAAGATAAGTCTTCCTAACTCCAGGCCTGGCACTCTGTCCACTTCACCACCTAGCTGCTCATGCCCAGCACGTAGTAGGCATTTAATATTTATTGATTGATTGCACATCTATGCTTAAGGATTATTTTGCCTAAAACTAGCACCTCCCTTACCCTTCCTCTTATTGCCTCGTCTCCATTCTCCCCTCCCTCTTATTTCCCTGTTGAGTGAAATGTATTTCTGTACCAAACCGTATATATGTGTATATATTCTACTAGTTCATGTGACAGTGAGTTTTAAGTGTTGCCCACTCCCCCTAACCCCTTCCTCCTTGGGCATCCTGATTACATGAGATAATTTTTCCCATCATTTCTCTTCATTTTCCCTCCTAGTGTATTCCTCTTCTCTGTGGTATGAGTGGTAAATGTTTAACAACTGGGTCTCTAAGAAAAAATGTACCCACAACACACTTTTAAGTTTAATATGAATTATTAACATTTCACCATCACTTTCTTAATTCTGGAAATCAACAAAACAATATATCAACCCCTGATTTATAGCATTTACTTATTCCCAAGCTGCAGCTGTTCACTTTGAAAATTTAACAATCAGCTCTCATGATCTAGTTAGAACTGGTTCTATACCGCTTACCTTTTCCCCTCCCTTTCCATTCTTCTTTTAAGATCATCAAAGCATAACAGAACTACTCTGAGGTCATCTGTTTAATTAGACTCCTCCTTTGACCCCTAATGATGATAGGGTTTGGAGGGGACATATCATGTATCATCTCCCCATATTAGAATGAGAACAATTTATCTGTGTTTAGTCCCTTATGATTGCTGGTTCATGTTTACTTTTTTCATATTTCTCTTGATTCCTGTATTTGACTCTAGATTTTCTACTCAGCTCTGATCTTTTCATCAAAAGTGCTTGGAAGTCCTCTGTTTCATTAAAAATTTATTTTTTCCTCTGTAGGATTATACTGTTTTTCTGGGTAAGTTATTCTTGGCTATAAGTCTATATCCTTTGACTTCAATAATATCATATTCCAAGCTCTCTGCTCCTTTATAGGGGTGATTGCTAAATCATGTATGATCCTGACTGTGGCTCCTAGAAACTTGAATTCTTTCTTTCTAGTTGCTTGCAGTATTTTTTTCTTTGACCTTGAAGCTACAAATTTTGACTATAGTATTTGTGGGAATTTTCATTTTGGGGTTTCATTTTGGGAAATGGCCAGTGGAGTCTTTCCATTTCCACTCCACTCCCTGGTTCTAAGAGATCTGGGCAGGTTTTTTTCACAGTTTCTTGAAATAGGATGTCTGGGCTTTTTTTCTTCTTGTCATGACTTTCCAGTAACCCAATGATTCTTGAATTCTCTCTCCTTAATCTGTTTTCCAAGTCTGTTCTTTTATTATGTGATAGCTTGCATTTTTTCCTATTTTTTTTTAGTCTTTTGACTTTAATATTTTTTTCTTGTCTCATGGAGCCCTTAGCTTCTGTTTGGTCCATTCTAATTTTCCTAGAGTTTGTTGCCTGGGTTTGGTTTTGTACCTCTCGTGCCAAACTGTAATTCCCTTTCCAATTCTTTCTTCTGTAACACTAATTTCTTTTCCAATTTTTTCCTACAGCATTCTCATTTCTTTGTAAAAAATTTAAAACTCTTTTTCTTAACTCTTGATTCGTCTCCAAGAATTGAAGTTGAACTTATGCCCAAACTGTGCTTTTCTTCAAGGCTTTGCTTGTAGATGTTTTAGAGTCATTCTCTTCTCCTGAGTTTAAGTCTGGAGCACCTCCCTCACCATACTAGCTTTTTATGGTAAGATTCTTTTTTTATTTCTTTATTCTGCCAGATTACTTCCTGACTTTGGGATTTATGTTAGAGCTGGCCTATACAAACTTCTGGAGGGAATTTCTAGGCTGAGCTTGTATCTTCTAGGGTCCTGCTGCTGCTTTCTTGGGATATTGAGTGTTGTGTTATTCTAGAATTTCAGGGATGGTTCAGAACCGGGTGGTGAGCAACAGAACTGCCAGTGGGCACCTATCTCTGCATTCTACGTAAGGTCAGGCCTTTCTTTGCTGGATCTGAGACCTCTTCTTCTCCTGGAGCCCAACTCTCCCCCTGAAATATTCCGCAAGGCCATTCCTTCATCCTCAATGTACACAGACCACTCTCCCTTTGCTGACCTGGGGTGGGAAAACAATTGCGATTTTTTTTTTCACTGAGTCCAATCAGAACTCAATCTGTGGCATTTTCTAGAATTTTATGGCAATGTTGTAGGATAACTATATTTCTTCCTGCTACATCTTGACTCTGCCTGCTACAGCTTTTTTTGTAAAGACAAAAACCCTAACAACCCAATCACTGGACTAGGAAAAAACCTCCAGTGCCTTTGTCCCTTCTAGTTCTTAATGATTTTATGATCCTCTGACCCTCTCCATAAAATGCTGTGTTTCCTCAGTGTTGGCTTGCTTACCAGGAAGATTGTTCTCTCTCCAGAAGGTTATTCCTTGCCCCAGTTGCCAAGGTCTCCCTAGTACCTTCAGTCTTCAATCTGCTCTTTGAACTGTATTTCCCAGATTGTAAAAGCCACACACCATCTTACTTAGAGTCAATCAAACAAAAAGTATTTATTAGGCCCCTCCTTTGTACTAGGCTCTGGGGATACAAGTACTAAGAATGAAGCAATCCCTATTCTCCAAGAACTTATATTCTATTGAGGGTGATAAGGCCATTCATATGCAGCAAAAATATAAAGTGAATCAGTACAAACATATACAAAGCAATTAAATGCATATTATTATAGGAAGGAGGGCACAAAATTCCATATAACTTAATGCTTAATTTCCTCTTGCTAAACTCTCATTTGCATCAATTTAGCACAGGTTCTTAACATGGGGTCCCTGAGTTGTTGGGGTTTTTTTAATATTTTGATAAGTGTATTTCAACATGATTGGTTTCTTTAAATCCTATGTATCTTTAAAATCATTCCTATGCGTCTTTTAAAACATCCTGGGTAGGGGTGGGGGACAAAAAGAAGATTGAGATCTGGTCTAGAGATCACAATTACAATAAATTACCCAGGGGGGAGAATCCTGGGCAAGCCACTTTCCCTTTTCTAAAACTCTTTTGCTTTTCCATGCAAATGAAGGGGGATAAAGAGTAGGGACCAGAGAGCAAAATTAAGTCCTGGGGGTATGGTTATTGTTTTCCCCCCTACCAAACCACAATCCAGGCTTTTCATATGTATACGAAGCCCTTTTGATGCTCTGAGCCTGCTCTGGTCTATTGAAGGGGGCCAAAGGGAGTCCATCCTTGTCCCATCTATGATAAAATCATAGATGTGGAAGAACCTTAAGATGTGAAGATGAAAGATCAAGGCCTCTCTCAGTTTTCTTGTTTTGATCTGAAACCAAAAGGAGTATTTATTAAACTCAACTCTGAGCACTTAAAGAAAGGTAAAAATACTGTCCTTGTCCTCAGACGAGGCGCTATCCTAAGGTAGACAAACTCGAGAATAACTAGATATGTGCAAGATATATACAAACTGAAGGAAGGTGACATCAGAGGGGAAGACCCTAGCAGCTGCAGGGATCAGGAAAGGCCTCCAGGAGAAGGTGGGATTTGTGCTCATTTTTGAAGGAATTCAGAGAAACCAAGAGGCAGGGTGAGGAGGGAGAGCAAGCATTCCAGACATGGAGGACAGGTTTCTTCATATAACAATTTTTTTCCCTACATGGAGCTGTAAAATACACAGAAGGAGATTGGTTGAGGGCTTTTTTTTTTTTTGGCTAGGCAATGGGGTTAAGTGACTTGCCCAGGGTCACACAGCTAGTAAGTGCTATGTGTCTGAGACCGCATTTGAACTCAGGTCCTCCTGAATCCAGGGCTGGTGCTCTATCCACTGCGCCACCTAGCTGCCATAAAGTTTCTTTTTGTTTTGTTGTGTGAGGCAGTTGGGGGTTAAGTGACTTGCCCAAAGTCATGCAGGTAGTAAGTGTCAAGTGTCTGAGGCCAGATTTGAACTCTGGTCCTCTTGACTCCAAGGTTGGAGCTTTATCCACCGCACCACCTAGCTGCCCCCTGGTTGAGTTCTAAACTTGGAGTCCAAAAGACTTGAGTTCACATCCCACCCCTGACACTTACTTACAGTGTGACCATGGATGAGTAAATCAAAGAAGAGTAATGCAAAAAGGTTATTTCTGTGCCTCAGTTGCCTCATCTGTAAAGATGATAACAGTACAGTCAGTCAATTAGCATTTATCAAGCACATTTTGATTAACTAAATTAATTTTATTGTATATATCAAAATTTATATATTTATGAATTATTAAATTTATTTAAACTTAATTAAGCACTTGATAAATTAGCATTTATTACATATTTGTTTTATGCCAAGAATTGTACTAAGCCCTAGGGATACAAAGAAAGGCAAAAAAAAAAAAAACCAATCCCAGCTCTCCTGAGGCTGTCAGTCTAATGGGGGACACAACATGCAAACAATTCTGTACAAAGGTATGTACAGGATAAATTGGGGTAGTCTTAGAAGGAAGGAGCTAAGATTAAGGAAGGCTGGGAAAGTACTAACACTTTTAGTGCCTATCTCAGACAGTCCTGGGAAGCAAAAAGATAAACCATATAAAGTTTTTTGCAAACCTTGAGGCACTCTCAGTTATTGCTTCCAAGCGCATTTTCCAGGGAGAGGTGAGCTTTGTTCTTGACAAACATCACTCCAACCTTACATTTCTGAATTCTTACCTTGCTTCTGGGACCTTCCTCTACTATCAGTTGATGCTTGTTTATAGAATTCAAATCCATCTCCCAGGACAAATCACTTAACCCCTTACTGCCTCAGTATCCTCATCTGTAAAATGGGGCTAATAAATTCATCTACCTGATTTGAGGATAAAATGAAATGATATTTGTAAAGTGCTTTGCAAACCTTTAAGTGCTATATAAATGCTCACTGTTATTATTGTTATATTTATTATTTGTTCTAAGATGAGCTAAACTCACTTTGTTCCAAGGGAAATTATTGTTAAAATTTTTATTAATAATTCTTGTTGAGAAAAATCAAACACAGATCCTGGGCCTGATCTATATAAGCAGATACTCTATGGTGTTTGATTTTACCTTAAGGGAATAATCTCTCTTATCCATAGATTTAAGGCAGTTGAGCAGTTCAGTGGATAAAGTATCTGTCTCCGAAAAAGGAAAGCTTGAATTTTAATTGTGTCACACAGTAGTAGCTATGTGCCTCTTGGTAGGTCACTTAGCTTATCTCAGCTTTAATTTTTTTATCTGTAAAATGGGAATAATAATTGCAGCTATCTCACAGGATTGTTGTGAGCACCAAGTCTAATCAACAAGCATTTATTAATCACCTATATGTGTCAAGCACTGTAGTAAGTCCTGGGTATACAAAGAAAGGCAAAATGAAGAGCAGATTTAAAGCACGTTAAAAACTTGGAAGTGCTATGTCAATGCTATTATTTGGTCATGCCATTCCTTTGCTCAAAAATCTTCCAAGGCTACCTACTACCTACTAAGTAAACTTCAAACTCCTCTATCGGCCATTCAAAATCCTGCACAATCTGGGACCACTCTACCTTTCCAGACTTTTCTGAGATTAGTCCACTTCATGAATGCTATAGCTCAGGCAAAATGGACTGCTCTCTGTCCCACCAAACTCAACCTATAATCTCATGCCTCCTTGCCCTTCCTCACATTCCTATAATGCCTTTCATTCTTCTCTTTGCTTGTTAATTAATCAATGCCCAAATACCACCTACTCCATGAAGCCTTCCTTGAGCTGTCCTTCATGCATCTTCCATAGAATTTTTTTACAATTTTCTGATGCATCTATTTCATGTATTATTAGATATTATCGCACTAAAAGCTTTTTGAGAGCAAGAGCCTTTGTCCAATTTAAACTTTACATCTGTTTCAGCACCTAACACACAACGCATGCGATAGGCGTGTTAATAGCTCACATTCCCCATCCCATCTCTTATGCCATACACCTTTAAGAAGACCTGAGTTTTATCCCTTTCACTAAGTAACATAGTAGATAATGTAGGGGTCTTATCCCCCTCCTGTTTCTACACTCCCGTGAAAGCTGAAAACTTTTGGGAGACACTGTACTCTATGGTTGTATTTGACCCCTTGGGTTTTTCCCATCTCATTTCTGTGTTTTCAAAACAACATGAAATGAATATAAAGATTTTTTAATGGAAAAAATAATAATAGTTCATATTTATGTAGTTCTCTAAGGTTTGCAAAGCACTTTCTTCACAAAAGCCCTGAAAGCTAGGGAGGACAAGTATTATTATCCTCATTTTACAGATAAAGAAACAGAGGCAGATAACTTTTAAGTCACTTGCCCAGGGTCACATAATTAATAATTGTCTAAAGCTGAATTTGAAAACAGATCTCCTAACTTCAGGGCCATGGCTCCTTCTACTACCCAAAGGTGCTTTTGTTGAATGAATGAACAAACAAGTAATATCTAAAGCCAAAAGTTCTAAGGGCATCATCTGTCCTACTCTTGTTTTGTAGAAATGAGAAAAACGTTTCCACAGTCAAAGGACCAGGTAGCTCTAAGGAAAAAGGCAAGGATCATCCAAGACAGACTCATTGGTGACACTCAGAAGAAGACTAAGCAGGCAGAGAGGATGCTGGGAAATGCTGCTTCCGTCTCTGCCACAGCTAAGAAGAAGGCCAAGGAAGCTGAGCTATTGGCTAAAGAGAGGACAAAGGTCAGAACAGCTAATTGTTTCCTTGAGTGGCTTCTCTTCTCACTATGGACCAGTAGAAGGGGATAGGACTGAACCAGACTTGACTTTACTGCTTCAAGTTGGGGCCCAATTCTGATAGGCGTTTCTTCCCCTCTCCCCTCGTTGTGTGAACCATTCTGTAACTAATGTTATTTGGCACCTATGAAAAACCTTTGACTGGGCAAAGAACTATTGGCTAGTGGAAAGAGCTGGGAATTGGTAGTGCTCTTCATAGATCCAGAGCTGGAAGATTAAGTAATTACTCCAGAGTCACAGAACCAAAATGTGTCAGAGATGGGACTTGAACCCAGGTCTCCCTGACTCTGAGGCTAGCTCTCTCTCCAGGTTACAATGCTGCCCCTCAGTTGTCATTCTCACCTTGGGACAGTGGAGTGAGATCTTGTTCGTGTGGTGCTTTGGGTTCCTGGGCATTGCTCTGATAAATTTTCATCTTCCATCAAATGGGGTTACTAACTCAGGCTATTCTTTGTCTTGTCCTGTTCTCCTCCTCCAGCATTCCAAAGCCTTGCTGAGGGAAAGTAAACAGGAATACCGGAAAGCCGTCAAACTCACCAACCAAGCTCAAGGAACCCTCCAGGACATCTCCAGGCAGGTGATGGTGTCCAAGGAACGAAGGAGGGAGATGGAGAAAGTTGAGTGGGTAAGCTGACCACTCTCAAAGCCCACTTAATTTCTTCCTGGTTGGTGGCCTCTCTCTAATTAGTTACACATGTATATCTTAAACTCAACATGTCCTCAACAGAACTCACTGTCTTTCTCCTAAACTCTCCTCTCCCACCTTCTCTATTACTGTTGAGGGCATTACCATTGCCCCCCACCCCAAGTCCTCCAGAGTCTCATTCTAGGTGTCACCTTCGACTTCTCACTCTCTCTCACCCCTCATATCTAATCCATTTCCAAGACCTGTTGATTTCACCATTGCAACATCTTTTAAATAAGCCCCCTCCTCTCCCTTCCACCCTGGTGCATGCTCTCATCTGCTTATACTTGGACTATTGCAATAGCCTGCTGGTGGGTCTGCTTACCTTATCTTTCCCCACTTTAATCCTTCCTCCATTCTGCTGCCAAAGTGATTTTCCCAAGGTGTGAAAAACTGTCCTCCTCAATAAACTACAGTGGCTCCTTATTACCTCCAAGATCAAATATAAAACACTCCATTTGGCATTCAAAGCTTCCCCCCCCAGCCCCTCTCCCACTTTTCCATCTTCTTACATTACATTTCTTCTCCCACACATACTCTTCAGTCCAGTCATATCATCCTCCTTGCTGTTTCTCGAACAAAATACTCTATCTCCACTGACTTCAAGTCCCAGCTAAATCCCAACTTCTACAGGAAGCTTTTTGCAACCCCTCTTAATTCTAGTGCCTTCCCTCTGTTAATTGCTTCCTATTTTACTTTTTTTAGCTTGTTTATACAAATTTGTTTGCATGTTGTCTCCCCAATTAGATTATGAACTCCTTGATGGTAAGGACTGTCTTTTGCTTCTTTTTGTAGCCCCCTCACTTAGCACAGTGCCTGGCACAGAGTAGGTGCTTAATAAATGTTTATTGACTAGCTGACTCATCGACTGCATCTTTCTCTTTTGGAAGGTAGGGACTGGGTTGAACAAGGTGGAAAGAAACATAAGGGAAGCCCGGATCTCCCTGGAGATGGACATCAAGATCTTGTCTGTCCTGCTTACTCGATTGGGTAAGAACTATATCTCTTAGGACACCTTCTCCTCTGTCTTCCATGGAGGGCTTCATCACCACTGACAAATCTTTATTAAGTAACTGCTATATCAAGGCATTCTGCTTAATGCTGTTGAGGAAACAGAGATAGGTGAGATTCAATCCCTGCCCTCACTGAGATTAGAAGGAAGATGGGATAAGACTCATAACAAAATCATTCACAAGGTAGTGTGTGCCAAGTAAGTGCCCAATGGGTGGTTTAAATAGATACTCATGATTGAAGGAGGGTAGAGGAGGGAGATAAGGCAGCTAGGTAGCACAATGGGTAGAGCATCTAGTCTGGAGTCAGGAAGACTCATCTCCCTGAGTTCAAATCTGGCCCCAGACACTAACTAGCTGTGTGACCCTTGGCAAGTCACTTAGCCCTGTTTGCCTCTGTTTCCTGTTCTGTAAAGTGAGCTGGAGAAGGAAATGGCAAACTACTCCAGTATCTTTGCCAAGAAAACTCTGATGGGGTCTCAAAGAGTGGGATGCCATTGAAAAAAGACTGAACAACAACAACAGAGGAGTGGGAGATCTCTGTGTGCTGGGGTGGTCAGGGAAGACTTCATAGAGAGATAGTATGGTATGATAGGGAATGTAAGGACCAAGAAACTCCAGGTGAAGAAACTCCATCTCCTAATGCAGATCTGCTTCTGCTGGTCTCAGAGCCTTGACATGTAAATTGACTTGCCCAACCCAAGACTGAACTAACACCCAGATCCACTAATTCTGAGGCCAGCTCTTTTTCCACTACTGCAGCTTGTCTTTTGCCTAGCAGTCTTTTTTCAGGATTGAATTCCATTCCATTCTATCCCATCCATCCATATTCAAGGCCTTGTGCTGGGAACTAGGGAGGCACAGATGATAAATGGCACAGTCCCTCCCCTTAACAGTCTCCCTGAAGAGACAGGATATATGTATGTTCTATACATACAATGTTGAATGTGATTCTCTGGAAAGAGAGATCCAGGCAAAGGAAAAATTGAAGAGGGAGAGAATGCTTTCAGCTGGGGGAGGGATAGCGACCAGAGAAAGTTTCCCAGAAGGAGGTGGCATCTGAGGTGAACGAGTTCTTTCATTAAGCACAGTAGGTTGAAAATAGACTCCAGCTAAAGAGGGCCTGGCTGCAGGGGGATAGTCTTGGCTATCCTTGAGCTGCTGGCCCCACAGAATGATAAGCAGGGGATCTGGGGATCTGGGTTGGGAGAGCTGAGGGATGGTGTTTGCTCTTCCCTCTTCTTCTCTCCCCCCACCCCAGGGAAGCTGGACACCCACCAAGCTCTAGCCACAGCCCTGAATGAGACGGAGCAGAAGCTGGAGCCACTGAGGCAGCACCTGGATGGAGAGGGGCCCCTGCAGGGGAAACTGAGCCTGCTACAGCAGGAGGCAGAACAGCAGGAGTTCCAGATCCAAGACTTGGAGAGTGACCTCAAGGAGATCCAGGCAGACAAACAGAACCTGGAAGACATTCTTCGTAGCCTGCCTGAGGGTTGTGCCAGCTGGCAGTGAGAATCCAACCTAAGAGCCCCCAACACACAGACACACACATGCCTATACCCCTGTGGGTATGTACAGACTCATGTGCATACACACAGGTACACCCTGATGTGTGTATGTATTTATGCCAACAAGTGGCCACACAAATATGTGCACAGGCACACACACCCATGCCAATATGTGTGCACACATCCCTACATGTGTACACACTTATTATACATTGTACATATATGCCCACATCTGCACAACCATTCATGCCAACAATGATTCCCCAGCTATGCCACCATGTGGGCACACAAAGACTCAGAGAAACATGTTTATATACCATAGCAACATGTCTATGGGCATCCTTCCTCCTCCACGCACATACCCTATCTTACAGAGTATGTCCACACCCATACCACTGTGTGTATGTGTGTATGTATGTACATTTCTGCATATGCATAGACCAATACCAACATGTGCTTATATTAATAACTACCTGTGTACACATTCCTATTCCATGAATACCATTCCTTATAATCTCCTCTAACAACTCATGTATACATAAGCATGTGTGCTTATGCTCATTCTTGTCTGCTCACACTCATACCAATGCATGTGCACATCCCCACAGACAGCCCTCTCACCACGTTATTGCCTGGGTGCACATCCCCCACTCACATACAATGATCCATTCACACTGCCAGGTGAGCTGTGTGGTCCCTTTGCTTGCCAGCCTACAGATTCCCATATATAGTTACCAGCTCTCAAGAGCCCAATGATGAGAGGACAGAGTTCTTGCCCATCTTGGGCCGAGAAAACTGGCAGATGCCATGCCAGATGATCACTGGAGAAACAGGATAGCTCAGGCTGTAGGATTTAGGAAGAACTCTGTGTTCCCCAACTTTACCCCTTTCCAGTTCTTCACACACACCCTCACCCACACCTCTGTAGCTCCCAATCAGATTAGGATCAGGGTCTCCTCCACTCCCACCCCTCCACCCCCCACACACACCCATTTCATAGATTGGGAAACCAAATAGGCACATGGGATTTCTTGAAACCAAATGACTGCTGAATCAACTGCTTGACCAGTTAGGCAGGTCTGCAGGGTCTTATCTCTGTCTCCCTCCTAGTGTCTTGTCCTTCTCTCTTTCTTTTGGCTTATTCTGGTGCTTAATTCCTGTATCTTGGAATTAGTTACAGTCTCCTAAGGAATTCTCTCCCCTTTCCATTGCACTGAGGCCCTTTTACTAAGTGATGCCACATGGAATTCATTTCAAAATTGCCTGCTCCTTGGAAGGAAGAAGACTGCAGGCCTCAGTCAGAGGGTAAACAGGAGCATAGATATTTCTGTCAGCTAGAGTGATTCTGACTCAGCAGCTCAGTTTCCTGTTGGACTTTATTAGCCACTCTCCTCAGCCCACACAGGGAAGCAACCAAAGGAATGGAGTCTGGGTCTGAGCTCAGAAGGCCAAAAGGCTGACTTCTGCATCTCCTCAGCTTAGAGGAGATCTCACTATGTCAGCTTATCTGGTCAGGTGCTTGCTCCTCCAACTCTGACCTCCAGGTTTGGAATAGATAATGGCATGCATGCAGGAAGGGTCATGGGGGGCTAAAAAGGAGGAACAGAAACAAGGGATTCTGGTGCATGGGGTAGGAGAGAGCAGAGAGATGGTGTGTTTGATCACCTCTCTGAATGCTGCCACCTCCCTCCCTCTCCCACCAACCCACTACAGAGATTCCTGGCTGTAAGCAGGGATATGGAGCGAAGGGTCATCAGATCCCCAAAGGTTTTTAAAATAGAAGGCAAAACCTTACAATGTAGTCTGAGACAGAGCAATAGCGTAAAGCCCGTCTGTTTAATCTAGAAATAAAAGGCCTTCGAAGGATATTTGAGTTTTATTCTGACATTGCTGCTTTGTTGGGGGGGGGGGTAGGGGAGTGTACACATGTGAGTTCAAATATCCGTCAATCAAACAATCAACAGGCATATATTAAGCACCTTTTTGTACCAGGCATTGTTCTGGGCACTGTGGATACCAAGACAAAAACGAAACACTGCCTTCCCTCAAAGAGCTTACATTCAATGGGGGCAACATGTATACATAAGTATATAAAAATACATAAAAAGTAAATAAAAGGATACAAAGTAATTTGGTGGGAGCCAAGTCAGAGGAAAGCCAGAGAGAGACAGCTTAAATTGATCTAGTATGAAACAGCCCACGAGCATTTATTGAACATCCACTCTGTGCCAGGAAATGAAGAAAGGCCAAAAAACACCAAATAGTCCCTGCTCTCAAGGAGCTCACAGTCTAATGGGGAATAAATTGGAGACAATCACCAGAGGGAAGGCAGTAGCATTAAGGTGGATCAGAAAGACTTCTTGTAGAAGGTGGGGTTATAGCTGGGACCTGAATGAAGTGAGAGGATCCAGGAGACAGAAATGAGGAAGGAAGGAAATGCAGGCGTGGAAGACAACCCTGCGAAAATGCAGGAAGTTTTGAATCAGAGAGTGACTTGATAAAAATGGTATGTAAGTCTAGCAACATATGTAGGATTAGAATGAGAAAAAGACAAGGGTCAGGAAGGCCAGCTAGGAAGCTGCTTGCAATGTAGTCTGGTGCTGCTAAAGGTCAGCTGTGGGGCAGGAATAGTAATCAGGCTAAGGGATGCATTTTGCAGAAAATGCCGGACTTGGAGTCACCTTGAAATCCTGAATTCAAATTTAGCCTCATATACTTACTAGGTATGTGAACTTGGGCAAGTCACTTAAAAACATGCCTTTCCTCAGTAAAAGGGGGATAAAGAATAGCACCTACCTCCCAGGGTTATTTTGAAGATCAAATGACATGGTATTTGTAAAGTGCTGCATAAATGTTAGTCGTTACTATCAATACTGATATGTAAAGACATATAATAATCTTTTGGATTTGGCTGTCAAGTAGATCTTTGTCATTGCCTCTTATGTAGTCAATCAGTCAATCAAAAAGCACTTATTATGTACCTGCTGATCATCAGGTCCCAATGATACATGTGGTAGTGATGATACAGAGGCAAAGAATGGGACAATCTTTGCTGTCTTACGTTCTAATACGGCTAATGTGGTTCCAGCGGCACCATCGATTCTAGTGATTGTTCTCCAGGCTACAACTCTTTTTATTAATCAGCTCAAGTCTCACTTGACTGCCTCTGTGCATTCAGGAAGATGGGAAAGCTGTCTATGTTCCATTTCCTTAGAGTTATAGGGAAGCCCTTGAAGTCCCATGACTTTCTATTGTTAACAATCTGATTTCCTTCAAGAAATCACTGTCCCTGACACCCCAGGGTGGAGCAGAGCAGCTGTTCAACATCTGGTTTTTAACACCACACAATTGTTGAGGTCAGGAAACTAAGGAGGAACTCTTTACTGCCACTGAATGGCAGTAAGATTTAGGAAGGTTGGGTATACATATACAATCAGTGCAGCCAGGATGAGGCAGAATTTCCAGGTTCTGAGAATCTGAATTCTATCCTGATGTTATTGTTCTGTTTGCTTCTACTGCTTTCTCTCACCAGCATAATCCTTAAATATAATTGCTTCTACCAATACTGGGGACTAGAAGTCACCTTTTTCCAATTCCACCCCTTACTGAACAGTCACCTGTTCACCACTGGCCTCTAATGTTTCTATTAGGAAAAGAACCCAAGAGCCCATCTCCAGAGGACCATGATGTTTGTAAAAGTATCACTATGAAGTGGAAAGAAGACTGAATTTGGAGTCAGTGGACTCGAGTTGCAATTAGCTCCCACTAACAGTGTGACTTGAAAAGCAAATCTTATCTGGACCTCAGTTTCCTCATCTGTAGAATGAAGGAGTTGGATTAGATGACCACTAAGGTCCCTTCCATAGCTCTAGAAATATGAGCCTTCTATCAAATAGCAATGCCTCATTTTGTTGTTCAGTCCTTTTTCAGTCTTGTCTGACTCTTTATGACCCGATTTGGGATTTTCTTGGCAAAGATACTGGAGTGGTTTGCCATTTCCTTCTCCAAATTCCTCATACTTCTTTAATAATAGCTCATTTCTATAAAACTTGAAGGCTTACAAAGCTTTTTTCTCAAACAACCCTGTGAGGTAAGGTAGGCATTGCAGGCATTCGCAACATTTTGGAGATGAAGAAATTGAAGCTTACCTTGCTCAGAGGGGCCAAATGAGGCAGATAGTGAAAGGATCACCCTCATTTTAGAGATAAAGAAAGAGGCTCACCCTTCTCAGAGAGCAGTGAAGTGACTTGGCCACCCAGTCAGCGAATATCAGAGTCAGAATTTGAGCATAGCTATCTCCTGATTTCAAGTCCAACATTCTTTCCACTTCTCTAAGCTGCCTCTTACCAACCCTCTTTTTGTCCCAAAGAATTCAGGTATATTTTGCATACGTTATTTCATTGGTTCTCACAGCAAGCAAGGATTTCACAGTCAGTGAAATTGAGACTCACAGCAGTGATTTGCCCAATGTCACACCATTAATCAATCAATCAATAAACATTTATTAAATGCTTACTATGTGCCGGGTACTATGCTGAGCACTGGGGATACAAAAAGAAGCAAAAGACAGTCCCTGACCTCCAGGAATTTATAATTTAATGGAGAAGGCAATATGCAAACAGAGACCAAAAAAAAAAACCAAATCACTATATACAGGATAAATAGGAAATAATTAACAGAGGAAAAACACTGGAATTAAGAGGAGTTGAGGAAGTCTTCCTGTAGAAGATGGGATTTTAGATGGGACTTAAAGGAAGCCAGGGAGGTCAGTAGGTGAAGAAATGAAAGAGAGAGTATTCCAAGCCTGAAGGACAGCCAGAGAAAATGCCCAGAGCTTGGAGATGGAGTGTCTTGACTAGACGTCCCCCCATCCTACTGCTCCTTTACTGAATCCCAGACCAGCATTCCATTCTAGATTTACTTGACACCGTTGTGTCTGCCACTCTCGTGGCAGGCGCACCTTAATCCTTCAGGGAATCTGTGACCTCAAAACGCGTACATGCCTTTCCCTTGAGTACATACAGGGGACTTCCGCAGGGGATTCTCACGGTGGTGGTGAGGGGGTGAAGGTTGCAACCTGTGGGCCGACAAGGGTTAAAACTTCCCTCTGGCTAGGAGGACAGCAACAGGTTGAGGCCGGCTACGTTGGTTTCTGCATTCTTCCCTTTTCTCCAGCAGAGGGTCTGGGCTGTCTCAGTTGTCCTACATAATAGTTGCATTCAAGAGAGGCTGGGCTGTCTTGGGAGGGGGGCCGGGGGCGGGGGGGGTGTGACCGGAGCACTGCCGGTCCCTCCGCCCTTTTGCTGCCCCCAGCCACTGCCGCCTCTGGCCAGAGGACTCCACAGCCCACTCCACTGACTCTCCTTTGGAGGTTTCACACCAGAGAGCCAGAAAGATGGACTTCGGCATGTCTGTAGCCCTGAGCAAGAGATTCCAAGGTAAGAGAATCTATTTCTGTCTCCCCGTTCCCCTAAAGCCTACCTCTCAATCTACCTCCATCCTCCCTCCTACCTCCCCCCATCCTTCTTCGGACACCTGCCTATCCCCAAACCACTTCCTATAGTCCTCCAACTTTCAGTCTTGCATGGGGTTTTCCAAGTTAACTTTTTACAGCCTAGAAAGTTTGCGGGAGAGGGAATCATGCCTCTTGGAAGAGATGAGCACCTTCCTCGCTCCCTTCAAAACTACCCTCTCTTCTTTGTTTTCTACAGGAGGGAAAGCATTTGGCTTGCTGAAAGCCCGGCAGGGGAGGAGGCTGGAGGAAATCAACAGGGTAAGAAAGCCATTGGCTGCCTCTAGGTGGCTGGAAAAACTTCCCTCTGATCGAACCGTAGGTCGGGCCATGGGGCCGGGCAGGCTCACGTTGGGAGATGGTTGCCTTGCTTCTCTTTTTTCCCATAAGCACGGTGAACTGGGGAGTATATTCTGATCCCCTGGGACTCTGTCACCCTGGAACCTCTCCCCAATCTCGTTTGTATCTTTCCTTGGGACATATTTGGGTCCCCTCTAGAAAGCAGTTTGGAATCTGCCTCCATCCACATTTGCAACTTAAAAGTTATTGGTCCCTCTTTTTTCCCTCCTTCCTCTCCAGTATTCTTTTTGTCCTTGGGACGGTGATTGGGATAGATCTGTGTTTTCCCCACCCCCTACTTAAACTCTCTTCTTCCATAAGTTTCTCCACCTTCTTTTCTAAATATGTGTCCCAATTGATCCATTCCCCCTCTACTACACAAGTTAGATCTTTCTCCCAATTTGCTCAAGGTCACTGAAGTTTCAGGTTGCAAATTGTTAATCTCCAACCAAGAAAAGTGGGGGCAAGGATAGACCATTGCTGGTTAGTGTGGTTCTGTCTTTCCCTTGGCCTGGTACTCCCAACCTGAGAGCAAATGACTTGAAAGCCAGTTTAGAAGTCACAAAATCCGAAATTAGAGCAGGATAGGACTTTGGAACAAATGAGGTGAGAGCTGAACTGAACTTTAGATATCTGGTTTAATTCCTTTTAACAGATGGGGAAACAGAGGCCCAGAGAATCAGGTCAAATGACTAAGGTCACTCAGAGCTGGGTCTCCTTACTTTGAGATGGTGGCTCTTTTCACTAGGCTTCATGGATTAAATGCATGTTCTGGTTTCTAGATGTTGGGAGTCCCTTTTCCCCCACTTCATCCAGAAGTTGGGTTCAGGGGATATCACTTATGACTCCACACTCCCAATCTTCCCACCTCTATGCTTCATTCATAGCTCTTAGAACTTCCCATGGGGAGGCAAAGAGTAGTGATGTCTTATATGTTAGGATTGAGAGAAAAGGGATTTTCTTTTTTTATTCAGAGTTTATATAAGGAAATCCTTTTAACACTAATGAAGAATGGGAAATTTAATCTTGGGGGGGGGAGAATACCAAACATGTATAATTTCAGTGAAATAATAAGGTTTTAACTTGGAAAGGAAAACCTCCACGCCCATGAGAGAAAACCTTCTCAAACTGCCTTGATGATAATAAGAATAGCTAGAATTTTAGTAATTTTTGGAGAAAATATTCAAGTTCCAGGTCTTTTAACTATAGTATACAGACTTCCCCTCCTCTCCCCCAAGACCTGACCTCCCTCCCAATGTATACCTTTATCCTTCTTGCTGAATTACCATGCCTCGGGGGTTTACTCCCCATAGTCTGTCCCTCTGATGCTATACTATAGGATTGGAGCTGGGCAGTGTGTGCTGATGCAAGGCATGTGGGGCAAATGCAGTGGCATGCTTCCTAACCTATCTGACTATTTGTTTTGGTTTGTCCAGTAGTATGGGGTTCTTCCTCCAGACACTAGAGATTTGGGGAGGCAGAGAAACTTCTAGAGTTTCCAGGCATATCCTATGCCTCCTAGGTCTCCCAAATGAGTTGACTCACCCTACACTCTCTGCCTCTCATAGCTCTTCTTCCTGGGAAAGGGGAGTTAGAAAGGGTGCCCAAGGCCCTTCTGGAAGATGCTTCCGTTGATTCTCAGGTCAGCCGTGCTGTGGAGATGCCTAGCAGGTCATCAGGAAGATACTGCCAGACTCATACTCATTCTTGGCTCTTCAAGAGGCCACTGGACAAGATCCTGGTGCTTTAACCTCTTCCAGGTCCCAGTGGGGCTGATCCAGCCCAGGCTTGAGTTACATGCTGGATGAGTCCACCCAAAGCCAGCAGGACCCTGAGCATTTGGCTGCTGAAGTCAGGACTGGGGAACGCAGTCAGTCTGGAGAAACAATGGAGGGAGGCAGGCTTAGCTGGCTGTTTCCTCAGCCAGCCACACCCTCCAGGGATCTGGGGTGGGGTGGAATGGGATGGAATGGGGTTGGGAGTCTTAGAAGTGATGAATTTTAAAGTAGAAGGGATTTAGAGATCATCTATTTCCTCCCCCCTGGAATTTTAGAGATGAGGAAACTGAGATTAAGTAATTTGCCCAAGGTCAAACAGGAAGTAGGGGACTAGCTTTGGGAGGGACTGAGGCTGGCTTGGGGGAAAGTGAGGAGCTTTGGATTTTTGTGACCAATGTGGATTCTTCCTTGAACTGGGGTCAAAACGAGGAAATCTGTTAATGAGACCTTTGGTTGGGCTTCTAGAGCTAGTCCCATTCCATATTTATTTGTCTCTTTTTCCCTGACCCTAGGCCAGGGCCTGGTCTCAACCTAACCTGGAGCTGTCTGGTTTTGTAATTCTAGGGGCCAAGCCCTCATCACCTGGGCCCCAAACTTACCCACAAGCAGCCGCAGCTTTCTGCCACCACTGAAGCTGCTGTGTTAGATATGTAGGCTAGGAGGTCTCTGTGTACCTTGTAGTACCTGACTAGGGTGAGTTGATAGTCAAGGGTCAGTGGTGAGCTGCATGGCAGGCTCAGGAATGGTGGTGTGAGTTCCCCCCCGAAAGACTTTGTATTTTGTACTGTGCTTAGAGACTAAATGAGCAGTGGCAACATTTGAAAGACAAGAATCTAAGAGATGCTTGTTCAAAAGCCTTACTAATAGGTTAAAATCTCCTCTGACATGCTTGTGGATACTTGGAGTGATATGGTGGGTCAACAAGGAATGGACAGTGTGGGGCACCAAAGGAAAAAACAAAGGTGAAGAAATTAGGGCTTTGTGTCAGGGTACCAAAGTTTATTTTTTGAATGTTTGTTGATGTTCTTCCCATTACAATCATTTCTTGGAGGTTAGAAATACCCTATCCCTGCCCCAACTTCAGATTGAACCTTCCCTAGTAACAAAGAAAAATAATAAACAAAACACCTGACATAGTGACAGTGTATATAGTATCACATCTGACAATATATATAATATTATGTATACAATTCTGCCTTACCAGTCTCCTACCTCTCTGCTTAGGACTTGGGAGCTATGGTTCATTATCTATTTTTTAGGATTGTTATCAGCTTTTCGCTTACATTGTTGGAGTCATTGTCCATATCATCCTTTTCGGTCTGCTTATTTCGGTCTATATCAGGATAATGTCTGTATGTCTCTATGTTTATATATTCTATATCAGTCCATACAAATCTTCCCATGTTGAATTTGCTATTCCTTCCTGCACAATAATATTCTATTACATTCTATTACATTACATCTATAAAATTCTATTATATTACATTGTGTTCACTTAATTCTCCCACTGATGATTATTTAGGGTACCAAATTTGTAGGGTACCAAGAGTACAACAGTGGAGGCAAATCTTTCAGTAGCACAAAACTAAGAGAATTTAGCAACTAGGGAGCAAAAAGAATTAACTAAAAAATGAATCTACCGGATGGCCTGTTCCCCTACCCCCAAACACTAGGAGAGCTCCTCCTAGACCTGTCCACTAGCACCCTTGTGTTATACCAGCTGAAAAGTTGATTTGGGGCCATGTTTTTGCACCAATTGCCCCCAGAAACAGTTTGTGCTGTCTAGCCTCAATATCACTAGTTATGGCTCTGGGGGAGTCCCCTAAATGGGTTTAGAGGCAGTTTCCCAAAGAAGAACCTGCATAGATCTCAAGGATGCAGTGGAAAGGATTTTCCTTCAAGATCAAGTTCACCTCAATGACTTTTGAAGGGCCTGCCAACTCTCCTGAGATTCTGGGAATGTGTACACTCATTTCCTTCCCTCCTCTTCACTTTTAAGAACCGAGTCCCCCAAAACATTGGTGGTGTGACTGTGGGAAGAGGAAACGTGTGTGTATGCTGAGCCAGTGGCCTGCTTGCTGGAAGTGGCACCCAGCCACCCTTGCCTTCTTTTGAGAAGAATAGAGGTCATTGTGAGAGGAAGCACCTTCAGTTCAGATCCTCGTGTGCAGCCTCTGTTTGGTACCAAACATGTTAGGCTTGGCGACAGTGACTTGTTCTGTACCATGGAGGGTAAGCCTGGTGTTGGGGTCAAAGGAGGCTCTCCAAAGAACCTTTCCTTGTAGAGTGGTCTCATCCCCAGCCTCCTTTGGTCCTAGAACTAGGTCCTTTGGGGTTTCAGTTACTCAGGGCTCCAGGTCACAAAACTGACAAAAAGAGAAAAATAGAAGCATTCCCCATGGGGACTTTGGGGTTGAAGAATCTGGCCCCTAATTTGGTGGATGGCATCAGAGGAAAGGCTACTTGATCTGGTTCTATTCTATAGCTTCTTCCTCTTTTTTCCTAAACAAGCCAGGGACCCTCCCTTCTGCTGTCCAGGCTGGGGACAGTCCAGCCCTAGCCTTCTGTTTTTGTTTTCTCCCTGTGTGTATTTTGTCTAAAGGGCTATGGAGATTAGAGCCTGAGCACTGCTCCCCACTCCCCCCACATAGCTGACATTCTCCACAGCCCAGACGACAGGAAAGGGGCGACCCCAGGCCAGCCAGGTCCAACCTTATATGGGAAAGGGAGAAAATGGCTCAGACTTCCCACAGGGGCCAGGAGGCCCAGGCTTGTGTGGGCAGAGCTTTAGAATGCCCAGGCTGCCTCTGCTTTGTCTGGGAAGATTGTAATAGAGTAGAAAGGGTCATTGGATTGGTGCAGAGGGTCTGGGTTCTAATCCCAGTTCTCTTCATTACTGTGTATCCTCTGGCTAGTCACTTCCTCATTTGCAAAATAAGGGGAGTGGGGAAGAGGAAGATTAGATCTCTAAGGTCTCTACCAGCTCTAAATCTAGGATTTTGTGATAGTCTTATGAACTCAAGGAGAGTCGAACTCTTCAGGGTTGCATTTGACTGATTTTTGTTGAAACAGTTTGCCCCGGCTCTGGTTCACCAGCCTGTTGCAGCCTTGCTCTTACACAGTACTCTCTTGCTTATAAGGATAAAGATCTCTGGCCCAAGGCCAGCCCCATACTCCTAGGCCCTCCCAAGTGGTTTAAAGGACATTTAAAGTTTTACATCCACCTTATTTCTGAAGGGTCACTTTAGAATGAAAGTAACATTGAACACACACACACACACACACACACACACACACACACACACACACACTAACTAGGCATAACCCATTTGAATGTGTGCATGGGGGAGGGAGGGGTGTGCACTCCTCACAAGGAAGGGAAGGGGAGGGTCTGCAATTGTACCTGGGAAGGCTGTGTGCCTCTGAGTGCCACCCTATATATGTGCCTGGGTGAATGTGCCCAATTGGCATTGCAAAAACACCCTTCTCTTTTGCTCTTCCTTAATATATTATAAGGGAGATGATTGATAAGGTGCCACATGAGCCCCAGATACGGTGTCACCACCAAAGGTTCAGCCGGCCCTGGCCGCTTTGGGACCAGAGTCATGGGGAGCTGAAGATGGAATTTCTTTGGGGTTTGACTCATTTGCATAATTGGTTGTTTTTCTCTCTTTCTGATCGGTAGCAAGAAGCTTAAGTCCTCTCTAGGAAAGAGAGCTTCCATGGGGAATGTGAGATCATTGGTCTTGGTGATCACCTTTACAGAGCTCCACAATTCTACAGGCACTACCCAGATCACAAGTAATACAGTCCTGACCTTGTAGAAGCTTCTGTGCTACACCAGTAAAGACATTGGAAGCTTTATGGAAGGCTGAACTTGGGCCTATGGCTTATCCTCAAATCCTCTTGGTTCTTTGAGACATTGAACCCCTCTGGATGAGGTCCAGGGCATAACTGCCTTCCAGTCTCCTCTCCCATATATGTCCCTCCAAGGGATGGAACAAAACCAGCCAGGATATGGAAGGCGCAGGCAGGCAAGAGGTCAAGTTCAGGAAAGTCAGCTAAGTCAGGGAGGACCAGGCAGCTAGACTGGCAGAGTCTCATAGTAAATAAGTCATAGAATTAGTCAATAAAAATGGCGCCAGCAAAGTGAACTCTGATGCCCAATATTACATTGCTCGCTGGATCCACAAATGTTCATCTTCGCCAGGACAAGATCAGAGGATTATAGCTAAAACCTAACAAGGAGCGAAGGTGCTAGGCTCCCTAGAAGGTCCTCATAGTACATTCCATATCAAATAGCGTCATATTAAATCACTAAATCCTAGAACTCTAGGAAGAACCCTCAAAAGTCGTCAAGTCCAACTCCTGCCCAGAATGCCGTCTGTGCCAGTCCTACAAGTAGTTAACTGTTCTCTTCTGCAAATTCTGCAGAGTTCAGGTGCACTTATTTAAAATAATACTAATAATAATTATTATCAAAATAGCTAACATATATGTTGTTGTATGGTTGTTTTTAGTCACATCTGACTCTTTGTGACCTCATTTGGGGTTCTCTTGGCAAAAATACTGGAATGGCTCACTATTTCCTTCTCCAACTCATTTTACAGATGAGGAAACTGAGGCAAACTGGGTTTAGTGATTTGTTCAGGGGCATACATAATAAGTGTCTGAAACTGGATTTGAACTCAGGAAAATGAGTCTTCATGGCTCCTGGCCCAGCATGCTCTCCATTGCACCAGCTAGCATTTATATTATATTCATTGCTTACTATAGGCTGTGTCTGATTCCATTCTACAGTCCTAGAAACTGAGGCCCATTTTCTTTTCCTGGGGCACATCACTAATAAATGCCAGAGCCAGGGTTCAAACCCAAATCTTTCCTGTCTCTAGGTCTTGTATTCTTTTTACTATACCACAGTGACTTATAATCTCTGGACCTCAGTAAAATGAGAGGCTTGGACAGCATGATCCCTGTGGGCCCTTCCAGAGCTGACTTCCTATGTTCTATGCTCTCTCATACCTCTCATACTGGTTGTAAGTCTCCATTGCTCATAAAATTCCCCCTGATTACTTTAGAGGATGATCACAGGCCAGTCCTCATAGGAAACTCGAGAGAACAGAACTGCAGCCTTTCTGTATTCCAATACCAATTTTTTGTTTTGTTAATGGAGGTAAAAACCCTCTATGTTTCTTCCTTTTCATTTGGGAGGCAGATTCTCAAGCAGGACTAGAGGCATTACAAGATGCAGCCTCTCTAGGATGCATCAGAATGAGGATTCTCCTTTCCCTGATCCTTGCAGCCCCCAATTGACTAACTCCTAACTAACGTGGCTGCTAGAGTAAGGCAGAAACAATTGCTGCGGTGATTAGCCAGGGAAACTGCACTGATTTGGAAAACCAGGACTTTGAGTGAAGGTGAAGTTGGGCTGGAGCCTTGCACAGATTTATGACTCTGCCCAGAGTACACATGGTGCATAGTTTCCCAGTCTCAGTGATGTAGCTAGTACCTTCTGTATTTTTTCCATTAGACAATAATAATGATTTTATACATATACATGTATACAATTAATATATATATACAATATTTATACAATGTTTTATATTATATATACACTAACACACATATACAATTAATATATATACACAATATATGTATACGTATGTATGCATATATGTATACAATGTGTGTGTGTGTATATATATATATATATATATATATACATATATATACGTACACACACAATTAGCATTTATATAACTCTTTAAGGTTTACAGAGCACTTTACATAGGCTAGATCATTTGACCTTCACAATGACCCTGTAAGGTAACTATAGTTGAGTTGTTTCAGTCGTGTCCAACTCTTCATGACCCCATTTTGGGATTTTCTTGGCAAAAATACTGGAGTTATTTGCCATTTCCTTCTCCAGCTCATTTCACAGATTTTTACAGACTGAGAAAATAAGGTTACATGACTTTCCTAGGGTCGTACAGCTATAAGTGTCAGAGGCAGGACTTGAATTCATGAAGATGAGTCTTTCTGGTTCCAAGCCCACTGCTCTATCCACTACACCACCCAGCTGCCCAGCAAAGTCGGTTCTATTGTTATGCCCATTTTACTGCCTGAAAGAGGTTTAATGACTTGCTCAGAGTCACTCAACTAAGTATTTGAGGCAAGATTTGAACTCAGTTCCCCAAGGATGACTAATTGTTCAAGCCTGAGAATACTCTGTCAAGTGGGTTTTTCATTTTGCCCCCACTATGCCCAATATTTATGTTTTTCTATGTGTTTTTTTTGAGGGTCATAAGTCAGCATTTATTATTTAAGTTGAAGAACAGGTTATGAAGTGGGTGGGGGCCATATTCATAACAGAGTACAAGGTGGAGCCCTAGGGGAGAGGAGAGAAGGGAGGAGACAGGGAGCCCACAGCCTCTCCTCTGTGTCTGCTCTAAACTGGGTAGATCCTGATCTCTGAGCCTTGGTCCAGGGCACACAATGAAGCACACGATGAGATGAGGTTCCAGGGGCTACAGGTTGAGGAAACCTCAAGGGGCAGCCCAAGTTGCACATCCAACCAGAGGTGGGGGCTGGGATTCTCCTTGGATCAGCAGCACCGCTTCCTTTTAGGAATTGAAGCATAGTGATAAGTTCCATCCCACTTATTTCAGCTCTTATGAAACATTCTTGTAGTTAAAGTCTTTGTGCTAAAGAATTCCTTCCTGGCCTCTCTAACTTCTTGTACTTTGCTTCTTTGAATACGGGTCCAGCTTGTAGGCTGTTCGCTCAAGAGCTGCTGCTTGCTCCTCAGTGAAAGAGATCTGATCCCGATGAGGCCAAAGTGCTGCAGATTGGTGGCTTAAGTTCTTTAGGTTTCTGCGCATGTTTACTGCAATATCCTTCATTTCTAGATACTTCAAGTTAGTCAGTTTGTTCATATTTTCCAGAAGTTTATAGGCTGTCAGCTTGCCCATCAGGTGCGTGGCCATTTTGGAGAACACGTCCTGGCACAGCCCTGTGATGTCTGCCTCGGCGGGCTCTGTGGCCTCCTCAGCTGTCTCCATGGCATCATCTCATCCCAGACCCTCCAGTTGGGAGGGTCACTCTCGCAGGAACGCTGTTGGCTGTGGCCACCATGCCTGAGCCTTCTCAGGCCCCACAAGCGGGCCACAGGCTTTATTTATGTATTTTTAAAAAGATGTTTTATTAGTACTTTTTTTTTTAGCATTACTGTCTTTTCCCAGTGACTCCTCCCACCCCTACCAAAATACTCTCTTTTGTAATATTCAAGTGAAACAAATCAATGTATTGACCATACCTGAAAGTATGTGTCACTCTGTACCCGTAGTCCATTACCTCCTTTCTGAGAGGCTGCAGGCAGGCTTCACCATCATTTGCTGATAAATTTTCCTGCTCTGTGGAAGTAATTCTCTTTAGGGAAGGTTGAGAGCTGAGGGAAAAAGGAAGATGAAGAGAGAACTAATTATAATAATACCTTATACCATACTGAGCAGTTTTCAAAGCACTTGCAGATACAATATCACATTCAAGCCTCACAACACTTTCATGAGACAAGGGCAGGGATTATTAGCCCTGTTGGAAGCATATTAAAACCCTTTTTAGTTTCTTAAGAAATAACATAATTCTGAAAAGGCCTTTCCAGACTTTTGGAGGAAACACTTTAGAAAAGAGGATGATAGATCAGGACCAAAAGTACACAATGGTTTTTGTTAGGAAAATGGAATAAAGATGATCAAATTTATCTACATCTTCCCCAACCTTAAAGTGATTTGGTTATTGACCCATCTGAGGGGAGTCTCATCTTTACCTGCCCACCTGACATGATTGGTAAGCTGGCCTTCTGTACTGAGAAGGGATTAAGATTGTTGGAGGCACGAGGTCCCTTTGTTTAACTTCAGGAGTGAGGCAAACTAGCTCTGGGAGAAGAGGGAAATGATTTGGATACTCCCTTCTGAAATGTTAACCCAGACTGTATTTTAAGATATCTTTTCTTTATTTAAGATTCCTTTAAGTGTTACCAGAAATCTTCTTGGGGCACAAAGTCATGTCCAGGGGCATGGGAGACTATGCCAGTTTGGGCATCTCCCTATGTTAGAAATAGCTTAGATGTAAAATGACAAATTGTTTCTAGCAGATCTGAACCTAAATAGTAGAGTACAGTATTAGTATTAATATTTTTCTTCAATATCCTCATTTTACAGATAAGAAATTGATTCCATTTAAGGTTGTCACTTACCCAAGGTCACATAGCATGGTCTATGACAGAACCCATACTGTGAGCCCAGCTGGGCTTCTAACTGCAGGTTCAAAGTTCTTTCTGCCATGCTATGCTGACGCTCTTCAGAAAGAGTTCAAGACCAGGGCAAGTCACACTATGTGATGCCCTCACCCTGACACAAGAAACCATCTTTATTTCAGTGAAATCAGATTAAAATGAACTCCAGGGGTGGTCTTCAAGGAGAAAATAAGTCAGAGGTTCTTAATGTGGGATCTAACTTCTTTTTAAATAACTACTGTTTAATATAATTGGTTTCTTTTGTAATCCATTGTATTTTATGTATTTTAAAACACCATTCTGAGAAAGGGTTCGTAGGCTTCATCATTTTGCCAAAGGGGCAAATGATACAAAAAAGGTGAAGAACTTTTTGCAATAAGGTAACTTATAAGCGCAAAAGCTGTGTGTGTGTGTGTGTGTGTGTGTGTGTGTGTGTGTGTGTGTGTGTGTGTGAGAGTGAGAGAGAGAGAGAGAGAGAGAGAGAGAGAGAAAATGTGTGTCAATTGTGTATGTAGGTGTGTATGGGTAAGGTGATAAAGTGAAGGGAATTTGGCCTTAATAATAGTTGACCATGGCTGGCTGCATGGGGGGGGGGGGATCAGAGACACACAGACAAACAGTCAGAGACAGACAGAGACAGAGAGAGAGAAAAAACCATGGCCTTCTGAAAAACTTTATTGATATCTGCTGTTTCTTACATCATCACAGTTATCCAAATATCCCTCCACATCCCCTTCCCAGAGAGCCAGCCCAGAACAAATAGCATTTTTAGAGAGGAAAAAAAATTAACACAGCTGATCAATCCATTGAAAAAGTCTAAATGCTTGCGTACTGTACCCATTGTCATCCTCCCACCTCCATGAAGGAGTAGGTTGGGGGTATCTTCTAATATCTCTTCATTCAAGTCTGAAGGATCTTTATAATTTTGTCGTATTTGCTTTTGATTTTTTGGTTTGTGGTTGTTCTTTCCATTGAGATTGTTGTAGTTACTGTGTATATTGTTCTCTTGGCTCAGCTTACTTCACTTTGCATCAGTTCATATAGATTCCATGCTTCTGTATTCATTGTACACATCATTTCTTTTTTTAATTAATTAATTTATTTTTAGTTTTCAACAATCATTTCCATATGCTTTTGAGTTTTAAATTTTCTCTCCCTCCCTCCCCACTTCCCTTCCCAAGATGGCATGCAATCTGATATAGGCTATACATATACATTCCTATTAAACATATTTTCATATTAGTCATGTAAAGAAGAATTAGAACCAATAGGAGGAACCACAAGAAAGAAGAAACAAAACAAAACAGAAGAAAAAAAAGAGCAAATAGTATGCTTCAATCTGCATTCAAACTCCATAGTTCTTTCTCTGAATGTGAATAGCATTTTCCATCATGAGACTTTTGGAGATGTCTTAGATCCTTGCATTGGTGAGAAGAGCTAAGTCTATCAATTTAGTCTTCGAATAACGTGGCTGTTACTGTGTACAATGTTCTCCTGGTTCTGCTCACTTCACTGAGCATCAGTCCAAACAAGTCTTTCCATGTTCTCCTGAAGTCCACTTGCTCATCATTTCTTCTAGCACAATAGTATTCCATTACATTCATATACCACAATTTGTTCAGCCATTCCCCAATTGATGGGCATCCCCTCAATTTCCAATTCTTTGCCACCACAGAAAGAGCTGCTATAAATATTTTTGTATATGTGGGTCCTTCTCCCATTTGTATGATCTCTTTGGGATGCAGCCCTAGAAGGTACACATAATTTCTTATAGCACAGTAATATTCCATGACATTCAGGTACCACAGTTTGTTTAGCCATTGCCCAATCGATTGGCATCTACTTTGTTTCCAATTCTTCACTATCACCAAAAGCTCTTCTAAAATATTTTGTAGTATCTGGAGTCTTTCTTCTTATTGATGACTTTCTTGGGATATGAGCCTAACAATGGATTCTCTGGTTCAAAAGTTATAGATATTTTAATCACTTTATTTGCATAATTCCAAATTGCTTTTCAAAATAATTGTACCATTTCACAGCTCCACCAACAATATGTTAGTGTGCTTATTATTCTACAACCCCTCCAATATTGATTCTTGCCATTTTTGGGTCATTTTTGCCAATTTGCAGGGTTTGAGGTTAACTCTCAGATTTGTTTTGATTTACATTTCTCTAATTATTAGAGATTTGGAGCATTTTTTCATATGATTGTGAATACTTTGCAGTTCTTCTTTTGAGAGCTATTTGTTCATATCCTTTGACCATTTATCTATTGGGGAATGACATACACACATATATGTATCTATATATGTATATGTACATGCACACATATGTATTGTTATGTGTGAGTTTGTTTATTGTTTATATATCTTGGACACCAAACCCTTATCAGAGAAGTTTGATACGAAGATATTTTCCCATTGGACCACTTCCTTTCTTATCCTAGATGCACTAATGTTCTCTGTGCAAAAGCTTTTTGGTTTCAAGTAATCAAAGTTATCTGCTTTATCTTTTGTAATTCCTTCTATCTCTTGTTTGATTAACGAAATATCTCCCATCCATAGCTATGAGGGCCTTTTTTTTTTAAGCTTTTCAGTTTCCACTGGGGAAACCACCTCTTCCCACATCAGCCACTTTCCTAATTCATAACCCAGTGAAGTAGCAAGGGGTTTATCAGAGAACTGGGCTGCAGGTAATTGCTCCTATTATAGTACATACCTTTGAGTCACTCACTCCACTGAGAAAGAGAAGGAAGATCAGGGAAAGCTAGGTGGTGCACTGGATGGAGCTCTGGGCCTGGAGTCAGGAAGTTTTGACTTCAAATCCAACCTCAGATGCTTACTATGTGACCCTGTGCAAATCACATAACCCCTGACTGCCTCAGTTTCCTCAAGTGTAAAGTGAGGATAACTCAACCTCACAGGGATGTTGTGAAGAACAAATGAGATCATATTTGTAATTGCCTGGTACAGAGTAAGTGCTTAATAAATGCTTATTCCCTTTCCACTCTCCTTTTAAGGAGGAAGCTGTGGACATACGGGACAAGAGGCAGGCAGTTCAAATGGTTGGAGTCAGACACATGAAGCTGAGAAGCTTGTACTGGCCATTCAGCTGCCCAAGAGTCCCTGCCTGATGTGTTCTCCCCCTCCTCTGTGTGTCTCTCATGGGGGGAAGGCGAGAGAAGGGAGGAGAGTTCAGTCAGCAGCAGCTGCTGTGAGCAGTGGGCCAGCTCCGAGGACCATCTGGAGGAGGTATGGAGGAGGGTCAGCCTCTCTCTCCTGCAACTTGAGCTCAGCTGCTTCTTCCTTTACTGGCCCCTCTGTTAGCTAAGGCATTTGGGCTTTTTGGACTGCAGGAGAAGGAGGCTACTTTAACCTCCCTTCTGATGGCTCTTCCTACCCCAACATATACTCCAAGGGAAGCCTTATGGGTACAGGAGAAATAAGGGTGGAGTCAGGGACCAATGTAGCTTCTAAACTCAGCAGGAAAGAAGAGCAGAAAACTCACAGCTTTGCACAAATAGAATTCTAGATATACAGAATGTATCTAGAATAGACCTTAGAGACCATGTAATTCAATTCCTATATTTTACAGATGTGGAGAGACTTGACCAAGGTCACACAGCTAATTTGTGGAACTGATAGCATAGTATAGTAGGAAGATGATAGAATGTGCATGGTGGAAGATACTCAATCCTCTCACTTTACAAATGAGAAAACTGAGACACAAATTCAAACAGCAAGTCAGTGACAGAAGTGGGATCTGGAGTTGGAGGACTAGGTTCAAATCCTAGCACTTCTGCTAATTATCTCTGTGACTGTAGGCAAGTCACTTTCCCTCTCTGAACCTCGGTTTCCCCATCTGTAAAATGGGGTGCAGGTCTTTGGACTGGATGAGCTCTCAAGTGCCTTCCATCTTATGAGAATGGCTGAGCTGAGACTAGAAGGCAGGTGTTCTGACTCCCAGTCTATGATTATCTCCTCTATACTATACTTGCATCTTCTCTTTTAAGAAAAGAAATCTGTTTGAGGAGATCAAAATAAAAATGTCTGTATCAGATGCAATCCAAAACTCACCACTTTCCAAGAAGCCTTCCCTGACTAGCTCCTCCTTGTACTGATCATTCTTTTGGCCCACATTCCAATATGCACTTGGGAATACAGTTTATATTTCTTGTATTTATTCATGTCCAGCTTTGCAATTTTTCCCTCATTGTTTCATGGATGTAAGTTTTATTTCTGAGAGAACTGACTCTGTCTTGTACTTATTTCGATTTTGGCACCACTCCCCAAATATGTAGGAAGACACTGTGTATACAGATGGTGCTCACTAAATGTTTGTTGAATGAATACACAAATTAATAAGTTAATCCATCCCCACTCAAGATAGGGTCAGGAGCTATTACAAGATTTCACAGAAATTTTGAGCAGAAAGGGACCATCGGCTGTCAAATGTCAGATCTGGAAGGGGCCGTAGAAAACAGTGTGTTAGAGGTGGAAAGATGGCAGACTAGAGAAGACTTACACCAACCCCTTCATTCTAGAGAGGAAGTAACTAAGACCCAGAGGAAGGCCCTGGGGGGAGAAAAAGATTGGAAAAGAAGAAGTCAAGTAGAAAACCTTGAAAGAGAGGGGCCTCAGAGAAGAGACGCTTTGAAGCCACCGAAGACTAGATTCAGCTTACAGTAAAATGAATACAGAAGAGAGGGCCCGGGGCGCATACAAATCAGGCCCCAGGTGTGGCAGCGACTGGTCACTGGGATGCAGTAGCCAGCCAAGTCAGCTGAGCCTTGTCTTAGGACAGGGCCAGCAGTGCTGGGGCGGCCAAGCCGGGGATTTACAGCTGCCAAACTCCTCCAATACCCCAACCAGGGTGGTCACATTTGCTTCCTTCCCTGACAAAGGGTATGCGGTTTTGGAAGGGCCCATGGAGATCTTCTAATCCAGGAGCTCTTAACCATTATCGTGTCATAGACCCCTTTGGCAGTCTGGCAAGGCCTAATAAACCTTTCTCAGAATTATGTGTGTATACATAAGCATACATATATGCATATATCCACATAGGCCCATGCACATATACCTACACATATATGTGTGCAAATACAATATACATGTAATATATAAATGAAAATACATAAGATTACAAAGGAAATCAATTACATTAAAATGCAACTTTTAAGATATTAAAAAAAAAGTTACAAGCCCCAAGCTAAGACCTCCTGGATTCTAGGCCAGTCCTCTCATTTTACTGAGGCCCAGAGTCACATACGGTCAGTGCAAGAAGCAGCACTCTCAGATGGCTGATTGTCTCACCCCCCTTGTGTTTGCTCGCTCTTTTCATTCAATCTCATTGGCTTCTGGTTTGGTTGGTTGATGCAGGAATGTAGGTACGTGGGAGGAGAAAGGAGCCACGGAGAGGGTTTCTTTCTTTCTTCCTCTCTCTCTCTCTCTCTCTCTTTTTTTATTTTTGGGAGGCAATTGGGGTTAAGTGACTTACCCAGGATCACACAGTTAGGATGTGTCTGAGGCCGGATTTGAACTCGGGTCCTCCTGACTCCAGGGCAGGTGCTCTATCCACTGCGCCACTTAGCCACCCCTGTATGTGATTTTCTTGACTGACCATCTCAAGTCAAGAAGTCAACAAGCATTTATTAAGTGCTTACTTTTTGGGAGGCACTATAATAAATGCTGAGGATACAAAGAAAATCCAAAACAGACCCTGCCCTCAGGGATCTCACATTCTAACGGAGGAGACAACAGGTAAACAACTACGTACGTACAACATACATATGGAGTAAATGGGAAGTAATGTCAGAGGGAAAGCACCAACAGGTGGAGGATGGGGGACCAGGAAAGGCCTCTTACAGAAGGTGGAATTTGAGCTGGGTCTTGAAGGAAGCCAGGAGGCAGAGACAAGGAGAAAGAGCATTCCAGGCATGGGAGATAGTATGTGAAAGGGCACAGAGTTGAGAGAAGTGTTATATGGTAAAGAAGAGCGATAAAACCAGTGTCACTGGATCACACAGTGTGTGGAGGGGAGTAAGAAGACTGCAAAGGTAGGAAGGGGTCAGGTTGTGAAGTACTTTAAAAGCCAGACTGGGGAAGTCACTGGAGTTTATTTTAGTGGGACAGTAACATGGTTAGACCTGCATTTAATTTAATTTAATTTATTTGGTGAGACAATTGAGGTTAAATGACCGGCCCAGGGTCACACAGCCACTAAGTGTCAAGTGTCTGAGGCCGGACTTGAACTCAGGTACTCCTGACTTCAGGGCCTGTACGCTATAGACCTGCATTTTAAAATTACTCTGGCAGCTGATTGGAGAATGGATTGGAACGGGGAGAGGCTCCAGGTAGACAGATCAGCCAGTAGGCTGTTGCAATAGTCCAGGCATAAGATGATGAGGGTCTGCACCAGGATGGTGGCAGTGTCAGAGGAGAGAAGGGGGCATGTATGAGATAGTAGAAGAGATGTCTCTTGACAACACTTGGCAATATCACCCCCTCCTGCCCTTGCTACTCATACTGTGAAATGCTCAGCATATAGTTCTGCTATAATGCTTGTTTCTAAAACACAAATTTGTTCCGACGTGATTGAAATATTTGGGAACATTTTGAGCAGAACTCCAATTTCCATTTTACTTATACTTGATTTCTTCCAAAAGGAACATCAGAAACACAGAAAACCGTACCACTTCCTAATAACTCACAAGCTGCAACTTTACAATGCCCGCTTCTACAAGCAAACTTTAGGTCTTTTTCAAGGAAAAGTGTCATGTCTGAGGGATTGCTGAGTTTTTGAGCATTGTGTCCCTAATCCCATTTTCCCTGTAAGCCTTGTGATTTTTATTGTGTGGTTTTTGCATAGGACTGTGATTTTTTTTTGGGGGGATGCCTATGTTCCACTGAATTCTCCTTCACGCCCCCCCAGGTAAACCCAAAGTCACTTCTCCCAACCTCCATACCCCCTACCTAAATTCTTGAGAAAAAATGGAAGTTTGAGGGAGTGTGAGAAAGAAAAACAAATAAAAGTCCCCAAAGAATATTAATCCTTATATATACATATGATTTCATATTTTTCCAACACATTTGTATTTATTTAAGTAGATTTATGCCTGATCTGTAAAATCGAATTACTTATACTTTGCTTGCTTGAAAGCAGAGGGTTGAACCAGATGATCTTCTAAGTTCTGAGATCTATCATTCCTCCTTATTTCTGAAAGGTTCAAAGTCAGTACTTCCCTATAAATTATCAGAGAACCTTAAAGGGCTACATAAAGGTTTATATCCCACCTCTGAAGCTTTTTTGTATGACCTCTCTGGGGTCTCATTTTCCTCATCTGTAAAAATGAGGGGGGTTGGACCACATGGCTCCGAGATCCCTTTCAACTGTAGGTCTATGATCCTATGATGTTATTTGATTCTTATAGTAGTCCTCAGGGAATAGGGTTAGGTAGAGCAGATATTTATAGTCCCTTTTTACAGGTGAGCAGACCATGGCTCCGAAACCTCAACTTGCCCAGGATTAGAAAATGAAGTGCTTGAAGCTCAGACTAGAACCCTTGGCACTGCATCAGGCTGTCTTGGGAAGAGAAGGCACAGGAGCCATGATATGTCTGGCCAGGTACAATTGAAGGTATTCAGACCTTGCTGAAAGACACCCTTCTCCCCCATTTTGCATCCGTCTCCATCTCTAGACTTCAGAGAGCAACCGTGAACTAACTGTAGCACTGAGCACATCCCTTGTCCATAGTAGGTGCTTATCTTATGTTTGTTGAATGAATGAATCGGTGACAGAGGAACTTATCCAACCGACATCTCTGGTCTACGTAGATTGTAGAGCCTAGTCTCTCCCTTTGGTGCTACCCTGGAGTACAGAAACCCTCCTTGGCTCATTGACTTGTGGAGGAAGTCTGTAAGCAAATGAACTTTTGTGTCGATGAATTCCCGCCCCCCTTGTCTTCCTCACCCCTGAGGACTGTTTTTCTCTCTCTCTCTGTCAGGAATTTCTCTGTGACCAGAAGTACAGTGATGAAGAAAACCTGGAAGAAAAGCTCACAGCCTTCAAGGGTAAGCCTGGGCAGGCAGCCCCCTGGAGCCCTCTGGGAGAGCTTCCAGGTGAAGCCCTCTGTCCTGGGAAAGCCCAGGGCCAGTTGCTGTTGACTCTGTCCCTGGTTCCCTTTGGATTCATTCCTTGGGTGGCAAACAAAGCAGCCAGATAGAACTCTGTCCCGTGGGGCTGGGCCATGACCTTATATACATTTTGGAACTCACCCTGTCCCTTTTTCCTTTGTGCTTCTTTGTGGAATCCAGGCCGGATACACCGGGTGTGGGGTTCTCCATGAACCCCACTGAGGGGAGAGTTCTTGCCCTCCTGTTCCTTTCTTGGTCCCTCAGACTGGCGCTCACTTTGGCCTTTCCTGCCCGGAAGATGCTTGCCACACCTTTAGGGCTCCCTGCCCTATGGTCCACCCTTGGCAGGAGCCTTTCTCCTTTTCCTCTCCTCCTCCCTTGCTTCAGGTCTGCAGGGCTGGCTTTTTTCTGCTTTGCTACCCGAGCCCCACTGGCTCTCGGTCGCCTTGCACAATCAGTCCATTGTGAGCTGCCTCTCCCCCTCCAAGCAAAGCGTCTCAGGAGCCCCTGTGGAGAATGGGCATTTGTGTAGCTGCACTGGGGCAGGGGGGCAGGATTTCTGCCCATTGAATCCCAGCAGCACAGGATGAAAAGAAAACACGAACATGGAGCCCATGTTGGAAAAGAGGCAGCATAAAGGCTCTTCTGTCTCAGTCTATGCCTTCCAGCTTCCAGCTTCCAGCCAGCGATCCCCTCCCCAAAGAGGAAATATATATGTAAGGAGTGTGAGGGGCGGATGGGTCCATAGACATGGGGCAGAGGAAGCTTTGTCCTTGGTGAGGACACACAAGCAGTAATATGTGACTTCATGACCCTAAGCAAGCAAAGTTCTTGGTATGCTGATCAGTCAGTCAGTCAACAAATATTTACTACACACTTACAAAGCGCCAGGCACTGGACTAGGTGTTGGAGTTACAAAGAAAGACTAAAGAACATTGTCCCTGCCCTCAAGGAGCTCACCAAATGCAGACAATTGGATATATACAAAGTAGATATAGGATAGGTGGAAGGCAATCTCAAAGAGAAGGTGCTAGTGGTAGAGTAGACTGGGAAAGGCCTCTTGCTGTCTCTCTCTTTTTTTTTTAATTAATTAATTTTTAGTTTTCAACATTCACTTCTATAAGATTTTGAGTTCTCAATTTTCTCCCTCCCCAAGACAGCATGCAATCTGATATAGGCTATACATGTACAATCCTATTAGCCATATTTCCACAATAGTCCTGTTGTAAAAGAAAACTCAGAACAAAAGGGAAAACCACGAGAAAGAAAAAAAAAGAGAAAGAAAATAGTATGCTTTGGTCTGCATTTAGATGCCATAGTTCTTTCTCTGGATGTAGATAGCATTTTCCCTCATGAGTCTTTTAGAATTGTCTGAGATCATTGCATGGCCTCTTACAGTCTTGAATGGAGCCAAGGAAATGAGATGGGCAGAACCTTCCAGATGTGAGAAACAGTCAGTACAAAGGCATGGCACAGACAGAAAATTGAGTATCTGGGGATATCGTTACAAGCAAAACCAAAGCTGATTCCTTCCCTCAAAGAGCTTACATTTTAATGGGTGGAGGAGGGGGAGAGACGATTAAAAAAAGGGGGAGCCTAAAAGGTGGAGGGGAAAAGGCAGATGGAGGAGGTGACGTGTGAGGGGACATGGTCCAGAGAGTCAGAAGCACAGCCAGGAGGAGAATGAAGCATGGCTGGTTTGTGCCCATTCCCAAAATGAAGGGCCCAGAAGGAACACACCAGCAGATAAGGGAGGGCTGCATGGAGGAGGGATGTTCCAGGGCAAAATGGCAGTTGGGTGATGGTGGCAAAGTCCAGAGATGTGAGAAAGCAGGAAAGGTGCAAAGGGAACACGTTATGAAGAGCTTAATGACAAGAGTAGTTTATATTTGATCCTGAAAATAATAGGGAGCCACTGGAGTTTAATGAACAGACTATAACACAATCAGACTCGCCCTTCAGGAAAATCGTTTTGGCAGGAGAGACTTGAGGCAAGGCAATCACATCAACAGTAACAGGAAATTTCAGAAGGTGGGGGAATGTTGACTTTAGGATGTCTGTAGGACATGCGGTTTGAGATGTCCAAGGGGCAGTTGGAGTTTTGTGACTGTGGCTCAGAAGAGAGACTAGGCCTGGATGTGTAGGTTTGGGAATCATCTGCATACAGATGATGCTTGAGCTCTTGGGAGCCAAGGAGTTTACCAAGAGAGTTTAGAGTGAAAAGAGGAAGCTCAAGACAGAAACTTAGAGGATGCCCATGGTTAGCTGACATGACACAGAGGAAAACCTAGAAAAGGAGACTGAGGAGGAGAGGTTGGACAACATTCCCTTTTCTTACATTTCTTTTGTCCCCTCAGTCTTGTAGATAACTAGGCTACCTTTCTTCCAAGTGGTTCAAAGAATATCCCATGTGTCATCTCATTTTTTTGGATCACTTTTTTGGAAAATTAAATGTTTTATTAAAAACATTACTAAAAATCAACACAACCAACTAAACTTGGTTAGTAAATAGTTACATCCTAATTAATTTCAGTGAAGTATCATAAAAGCTTTTCAGTGCTCTTTAATTTAATTTAGCCCCCTCATCTCCATCTCTTAAGTTTCCCTGACTTTCTTCAAGACTCAGGGAAAAAAAAGAACTTTACATGATAACTTTATTATATATTTAAAAGGAATAGCAAGTTGTACATAATAGATTTGCAATTTCATGTGCAATCATCTTTTTTATTATACTGTATTATGGAAATGCTTGTTTTATTCCATAAATTAAAAATTAAATAAATACAAATTTTCAAAAAGACTCAAATCCCACTTTTTGAAAAAGGCAAGTCCACATCAGAATTCCTTGTTTCCTCATTTATTGTGCTCTCATATAGTCAGAGTGTATTCTGTTCTTTTTTTTCCCCCTTATTCTACAAAGGTTTTAGGGTCATAGAATCATAGATTTAGAGGTAGAAGGGACCTTAGCAACCATTGGCCCAACTCCATTACTTTACAGATAAGGCACCCAAAGCAGAGAGGGCAAAAGACTTGCCCAAGGTCACAGATAGTAAATAGTAGAGGTAATATTCAAACCCAGGACCTCCAACTGCAAATCCAAGACTTTTTCCTCCTTACCATGCTAATTCCTTATAAGGTTTTTTTTAAATTCCTCCAACTTATTGGTCTCAAATGCATTACAGTATTCCATTATATTGATATAGCATAATTTAACCCTTAATTCCCCTATTGTTAGATATCTGGGTTGTTTTTCAGTCCTTGTTTGTTTTGCAATTATACATATATATATGTATGTGTGTGTATGTGTATATACATACATACATATATATATGTATATGTAATACGGCTTTGAAAATTTTTTTAACAGATTGCTCTTTTTGAAAATGACTAAGGGTTTATTCCCAATGATTGGGTAGAAGGATGTCATTATTTTTGTAACTTTTACTATACATTGCCAGACTGTTCCCTGAAAAGATTCTGCAAGTTTGTAATTCCACCAGTAATGAATGGATGTAGGTGTTTCTCCACGATTTCTTATTTATCTTCATAGTATTACTGAGGGAGAAGGAAGAAGCAGGTAACATTACCTCCAATTTCCAGAAAGGACAACTGAGTCTCAGAGAGGTTAAATGCTTCATTTCAAGATAAACTGGATGTCAGTGGAGGAATATGAATAAGGATGAAAGAAAATGCTGATTCTCTGAGTGGATTGCCAAAAAAAAATAACAATTCACATTTACATAATTCTTTTAAGGTTTATAAAGTGTTTTCCTTACAATAATCCTGTGAGGTAGATGTGGGAGTATCATCATTATCATCCCCATTTTACAGATGAGAAAACTGAGGCTCATAATTAAGTCACTTGCCCACAGCCACACAGCTAAGAAGTTTTAGAGCTAGGACTTGCACCCCAGTCTGCTGACTCAGTCCAGTACTCTTTCCTCTTTCCTTTTCTGTTTCTGAGCCAACTGGTGTTGAGATAGTCTGGCGCTTTGCAGAAGTTCTTGTTTGCTGCTTTCCTTGGGCTCCCTCTATAACATAGACTCTTACTCTGTTTTCCAGAGAAGTATATGGAATTTGACCTGAACAATGAAGGAGAAATTGGTAAGTCAATTCACTAAGGACTAAGCAGGGCTGGGAAGTTTCCTCGGAGGTGAATGAGGGAGAGGGAAGGTGGGAAGGGAATGCATGCATACAGGGGACATACCCAAGGGTGATGGGTAAGAGTCCACACTGACCTGTGTGTGTGATTGGGAGAGAATGACAGAATTTAGAGGGGAAAGGGACCTCACTCGTTCAACTGATGGCTGACAAGTGAGCATCCAGCCTCTGCTTGAAGACATTCAAGGAGCAAGGACCCACTGTATCAAAGAAGACCATTCTATTTTAGATAACCCTTAACTCTTTGAAAGTTTTTGGGTGTTTTTTTGTTTGTTTGTTTGTTTTTTGCTTTTTCGACGAGGCAGTCGGGGTTAAGTGACTTGACCAGGGTCACACAGCTAGTAAGTATCAAGTGTCTGAGGCCGTATTTGAACTCAGGTTCTCCTGACTCCAAGGCTGGAGTTCTATCCACTGTGCCACCTAGCTGCCCTCTTTGGAAGTGTTTCCTGACATGAAGCCTAAGTTTATCTCTTTGTGACTTCTCTTCCCTGCCTCTTCTCTCTTCCCCTCCCACCCCCCACTCCTATCCCCCATTTGTAATATTTCAAAAGAAGTTAGAGCTTCTAGGAAGTGTACTCATTGTTTCAGGGTTTTTCCCAACTCCCAGACTCCAAGGTAAAAGGCTTTTACTAGGGCTAATTGGCTACCACTGAAGCCAAGCCTAGCCTCTGGCATTGCTGATACCCTTCACTTCTCACTCTTCTTTGGGCCTTCTATTTCTTCCAAAGCCTACCTCCATAGTCAGCAATTTGCCTGAAATTTTAGATCTGAGAGGGACCTGTAGAGAATGAAGGATGTTGAACTGTGTCCTGGCCCCAGATATGTTTCTACTCTTTTAGCAGCAGACAAAGAGAAGTCAAATGCCTTTAGAAGACCTTAGCTTCCTGTTCTCATACTGTTTTTCTTAATTTTCTTTTTAACTAGTCAAATACAGACATAATAAAAAATATTTTAGTAAATTAAGCAGCTTGAGCATGGTAGATAGAGAGTAGGCCTTGGACTCAGAATATCCTGCCTCTGATACATACTGGCTGTGTCCTTCTGGGCAACCCTCTATGCCAATAAGACTGTAAACTATAAGGCCAGTAGACCCTGCTCCTAGGAAAATTCTAGAATGGATCATTAAAGAAATAGTTGGCAAATATTTAGAAATGGAAACTATGATTATAAATATCGCTTCATCAAGAATAGGTCATGCCAGATCTTAAATTGTATTATAAAGCAGCAATCATCAAAACTACTTGGTATTGGCTAAGAAATAGAGTGGTGAATCATTGGAATAGGTTAAGTAGACAAGACACAGTAGTCAATGACTATAGTAATCTACTGTTTGATAAACCCAAAGACCTCAACTTCTGGGACAAGAACCCACTATTTGACAAAAACTGCTGGGAAAACTGGAAAGTAGTATGGCAGAAACTGGGCGTAGACCAACATCTTACACTGTATACCAAAATAAAGTCAAAATGAGTGCACGATTTAGACATAAAGGCTGGTACCATAAGCAAACTGGGAGAGCAAGGAATAGTTTACCTGTCAGATTTATGGAGAATGGAAGAATTTATGACCAAACAAGAGAAAGAGAACATTATGAAATGCAAAATGGATAATTTTGATTACATTAAATTAAAAAGTTTTTGCACAAACAAAGCCAATGCAACCAAGATTAGGAGGGAAGCAGAAAATTGGGAAAGAATTTTTATAATCAGTGCCTCGTATCTAAACTATATAGAGAACTGAATCAAATTTGTAAGAATACAAGTTATTCCCCAATAGATAAATGGTCAAAGGATATGAACAGGTAGTTTTCAAATGAAGAAATTAAAGCTATCTATAGTCATATGATAAAATGCTCTAACTCACTATTGATTAGAGAAATGCAAATCAAAACAACTCTGAGGTACCACATCACACCTATCAGATTGGCCAACATGACAAAACAGGAAAATGATAAATGCTGGAGAAGATGTGGGAAAATTGGAACACTAATGCATTGGAGTTGTGAAGTGATCCTACCATTCTGGAGAGCAATTTGGAACTGTGCCCAAAGGGCTATAAAAATGTGCATACCCTTTGACTCAGCAATAGCACTTCTAGGACTGTATCCCAAAGAGATCGTAAAAATGGGGAAAAGATCCACATGCGCAAAAATATTTGTGGTAGTTCTTGTGGTGGCCAAGAATTGGACATTGGGGGGATGCTCATCAATTGGGGAATGGCTGAACAAGTTGTGGTATGAGAATGTAATGGAATCCTATTGTGCTGTAAGAAATGATGAGCAAGTGGACTTCAGAAAAACCTGGAAGGACTTATATGAATTGATGCTGAGTGAAGTGAGCAGAACCAGGAGCACATTGTACACACTAACAGAAATATTGTGGCAGGATCAACTGTGAATGACTTAGCTCTTCTCAGCAATACCAGGATCTAAGTTAACTCTAAAAGACTCATGATGGAAAATGTTATCCACATCCAGAGAAAGAATTATGGAATTTGAATGCAGTTCGAAGCATACTATTTGCTCTTTTTTTCCTTCTGTTTTGTTTTGTTTCTTCTTTCTTGTGGCTCCTCCTATTGGTTCTAATTCTTCTTTACAACATGACTAATATGAAAATGTGTTTGGTAGGAATGTATATGTGTAGCCTATATCAGATTGTAAGCCATCTGGGGGGGGTGGGAGGGGCAGAAAATTTAAAACTCAAAAAGCTTATGAAAGTGAATGTTGAAAACTAAAAATAAATTAATTAAAAAAAAAAAAGAATAGGTCATGCCAGACTAAACTTAAGTTCCTTTTTGGACAAGACTAGCTGAGAATGCTATGGACATGATTTACCTTGATAAAATATTTCATGCTATTTTTGTAAATAAGAAGGAGGGATATAGATCAGACAATAGTTGAGAACTGGTTGAGTGGCCAAACTCCAAAAGTAGTTGTTACTATTTCCATGTTAAGATGGCAGGAGGTCTCCAGGGAAATGCCTCAGGGATCTAGGGATCTGTGCTTGGCCCTTTATCAGTGACTTGGATAAAAGCAGGTGCTATGCTCAGCAGATTTGCATATGACAAAAAACTGGAGCCTACTGACTTTCCTAGCTTTCTCCAAGTCCCAGCTAAAATCTCATCTTTTACAGGAAACCTTTCCTAATCCCTCTTAATTCTAGCGCCTTCCCTCTTCTAATTATTTCCTATTTTTCCTGAATATAGCTTGTTTATACATATTTGTTTTCTTGCAGTCTCCTATTAGATTGTGAGCTCCTTGAGGGAAAGAGCTGTCTTTTGCCTCTTTGTTTCCCCAGTGTTTAGCACAATACCTGGCACATAGTAGGCACTTATTGACTGACCGGCTTACCCCCAACCCCCATCCAACCTGTTGCCACGGCTGTTGATTTCACCTTTGCAGCATCTCTAGACTACACCCCCTTCTCTCCAGCACTGCCACCAGACCCTCATCACCTCACACCTGGACTACAGCCATAGCCTGCTGGTGGGTCTGCCTGCCTCAAGTCTCTCCCCACTCCAATCCATCCTCCATTCAGCCTTTAAAGTGATTTTCCTAAAGTACAGAACTGACCACACCATCCCCTTATTCAATAGTTCCAGTGGCTCCCTATTGCCTCCAAGGTCAAATCTAAAATACTCACTTTGGCATTCAAAGTCCCTCCTACCTTTCCAGTCTTCTTGCATCTTACTTCTGGACGGGTATCCTTCAATACTCCATCTCTCAACTCTGGGCATTTTCTCTGGCTGGCTCTCCCTCCTCTGCTCTAACTACTGACCTCCCTGGCTTCCTTTAAGTCCCAACTAAAATCTCACCTTTTACAGGAAACCTTCTCAAACCCCTCTTAATTCCAGTGCCTTCCCTCTTTTAATTATCTTCTATTTTTTCTGTATATAGCTCACTTCGTATATATTTGTTTGCTTGTTGTCTCTCTGGTTAGATTGTAAGTTCCCTGAAGGCGAGACTGTCTGTTGCCTCTTTTTGTATCCCCAGTACTTAGCACTGTGCCTTGTACACAGCTTAATAAATGTTTATTGATTAAACAATTATGGTTAGATAGCTAACACTGTGGATGTGAATCTGAAAGGACCTTTTCAGGTTAGGAGGGGTGGAAAACCTGTGTGACCTTCTAGATCCTTAAGTGCAGCCTTTTGATTGAATCCAAATTTTACAGAACAAATCCGAGGTTCCCCACCCCTGGGCTAGAGCTTTGAGCTAATTTGATCTAATAAGGGGTAAATGTAAATTCTTGTCCTTGGCTACAAAAAAATCAACATTGCAAGTATAAGGTGGAGGAGGAATGAATAATTCTGAAAAAGATCTGGGAGTTTTAGCACAAATGCAGGCAGGCTCCAGAAGAGTCCCTGGCAACAAAAAAACCCCTAATGAAATCTTGGGCTGAGTTGTGAAGGGTGGACCTTCCAGTAACAGGAAGGTGTACTTTGTTCTCATCAGACCTCATATGGAGTATTGTGGTCAGTTCTGGGAATCATGGTTTAAGAAGCGTCTAGAAGGTTAGGGCCTGGGGATGCCATATGAGAATCAGTTGAAGGAACTGGGCATGTTTGTCTTAGAGAAGAAAAAACTTAAGAGGGACATGAGCCACCTTCAAGTATCTGAAGAGTTATCATATGGAGAAGGGACTAGATTTGGTCTGAGAGGCTCTACAGGGCAAAACCAAGAGCAATGGTTAGATGTCTTGAGAGGATGAAAAATTTCAGTTAATTGTCAGGAAAAAAACTTCCTAAGAATTAGAGCAGTTCAAAAGTGGAATGGGCTATCCTGCCTGGCCTGGAGGAGCTGTAGCCTCCCTGTCTTTGGAAGTCTTCCAGGTAAGGCTGGCTGGATGACCACTTGCTAGATAATTGAGAATGATAATTCCTTCTGTGGACTGAACTAGGTGGCTTCTGAGATTCCTACCAACTCCCAAAGTCTGATTCTGTGAAGTTGCAAAGCAGATGTCCATTTGTATTAGTCAAGAGAACTCCCTTGTTAAGGGTTCACCATATTGATAAAATCACAGGTCCTGACCATGCATACATATCCATATATATGTGCATATTCATGATAGATGAAATATGTATTTTGGGGAGGGTAATATTGAATTTTTCCATTCATTTTTTGGTACAAGTCTGGGGTAGGCAAAGTGCCACTGACATCCGTTTGTAAAGTATAAGAGTAGGACATTAGGGGGTAGAGAAACAGCTGGTCTTTTGGGGAAAAAAAAGTAAACACTTAAAAATATATTATTTATTATATATGATGGCTTTCTGAGAGGTCGTTGTTTGTCTTTTGCTCTTAAAGGGGACCATGCCATCAGGAAGGTGATGCCATGACTTGCAAGTGAATTGGAGTGATGGAGGACTGTGCAAAGTCACCAGCCTCACTCCTCCAGAGCCATCTGAGTCCAGTAGCAAGAGAGAGATCAATCAGGACTACTGGAGATGGCCCCAGATTCTCTGAGAGGGAGAAAGGTTAAGATCACTAGGAGAATTGTAGAGATGTAAAAAGTAAAAATAGATCAATAAAATTTTATGTTGAAATTTTTAAAGGGGGAGGGGGAGAGACAGAAAGAGAGAGCTACTCTTACTCCCATTTGCCCTGACCCTCTCATCCTGAGCCACTGTTTCCCAAAGCTTTGGAATTAGCTTGGCAGTCTCCTTCCCAGGTTGCTGATAATGCATTGTTTCACTGGAGAGCAAGGGTGGTGGAGGGGAAGGGGTTGGGGGTAGGGTGGGGCTCTGTCCAAAGCACCAGCTCCACAGGGGTGGGGGTTCTTTGCCTGTGTGTGCCTTCTTTGTTTTTCTTGCATTTTTTTTCTTGTTTGTTTTCCTGCTCTGCATGGTATTTTTGGCATTTCTGTTCCTCCCAGCTGGGGAGGTGCCCCTTCACTTCCCCATGGGGTGGGGGGTCATTGTGAGGAGCTATTCTGCTGAATTGCATAAAGTTCAAGTCAGCTTGCCAGCTTGCTGCCTGCACCCTACCACGAAGTCAAGAAAGAAGCTGCAATCAACAGAGACCTGGCTCTACTTCAGGAAGGAGGCAATAGGAGGCAGGAATGCCCCTTACTATAACCTCCTTTAGCAATCTAGCAAACATTTATTAAGCATCTACTGGATGACAAGACCCTATGCTCTCCTCTGGGGATGTAAAGACACAATCTCAGCCTGTGATGAGCTTATATTTTAATAGAAATTCAGACATACACAAATAAGTATTGATCAATCTATTAGCAAGCATTTATCAAGGGCTTTCTATGTGCCAAGCACCGTGCTAGGTATTGGGAACACAAATATAAAAAATAAAACAAGGCAACAGCTAGGTGGCACAGTGGATAGAGCGCTGGCTCTGGAGTCAAGAGGACCTGAGTTCAAATCCAGCCTCAAATACTTACTAGCTGCATGACCTTGGGCAAGTCACTTTACCTAGATTGCCTCCAAAAAAAAAAAAAGAATGAAGCAAGCAGTCTACTCTCAAGCTTACATTCTAACTAGTATATTTCAAGGTAAGCTGTGATAAGAAGAAAGAAAATTCCAGTGACGTGACCCAAAGAAATTTTGAGGCAAACAAAATAATTTGCATCATGAGATCAGAGAAAACTTCAAGGATCATGTGGCACCTGAGCTGGATCTTGAAGGAAGAGAAGAATTTCATCAAGTGGAAATATGGAGGATGTGCCTGGGCAAGATCAAGGAGTAGTCTGGCTGGAATGTAGAGTGATTAAAGGAGAGTAGGATGAAATGAGGCTAGAAAGGTGGTTTGGAGCCAGACTGTGGAGGATCTTAAATTCCAGATGGAGGAGTTTGTATTTTATTCTAGAGGCAACAGTGAGCCCTAGAAGGTTCTTGAGCAGGGAGTGGCACAGTCAGACACAGTCTGACCCCATTTATATTTTCAAATAATCTTTTAATATTTATTGATATCTTTTATAGTATCTTCACTGTATCTTTTATATCATCTTCATTTCCATATGTATCCTTCCCCCTTCTCTACCCAGAGAGTCATCTTTTGTAACAGAGAACAAAATAAGAGGAGGAAAAAAAAGGCAGTTCTGTATAATTAACCATTGCATCAACTAGGACTGACAGTATATGTAATGTTTTGCAACCAGAGCCTCCCTCCTCTGCAAAGAAAGAAGGGAAGGAGGTCCATTTTCTTATGTTTTCTTCATCAGACCAAGTGTTGACTCCCCTACTCCTACTGGGACACATGTCAGCGACTCCTTAGGAGAGAATCCTCGCTGAATGGTATTAACACCCACTCCTTTGGGCGCCAAGTTACCTTCTCTCACTCCTCAGTACCTTTATAGAGAAAACCATAGAATCATAAAATCTTAAAGACAGAAAGGATCTTAGAAGACCCAATGACCGTGGAATGTCAGAGCAGGAAGGGCCGATAGATGTCATCTAGTCCAGTGGTATCAAAAGCAAATAGAAAGGATCTCTGCAGACTGCATATTTACTTAGAAAACGACAATTTAACATTGTTTATGTTGTGTTGCATTTTTGTTTTTTTTTTTTTGTTAAACGCTTCCTCGATTATGTTGCGTGAGGAGCAGTCTTGAGTTTGACATTTCTGATCTAGCCCAACCCTTTTGTCATTCAGAAGAGGAAAATGAAAAAAAGGAGAAGAGAAGAATGGATATTCTAGACCAGCAGTCTTCCTTGCATATATGGCCTGTCCAAGTACAGTAAATTTGCTTTTTCCCTGGCAGACCTGATGTCCCTGAAGAGGATGATGGAGAAGTTGGGTGTTCCGAAGACTCACTTGGAGATGAAGAAGATAATCTCCGAGGTGACAGGTGGGGTCAGTGATACCATCTCCTACCGGGATTTCGTGAATATGATGCTTGGGAAACGTTCAGCAGTCCTCAAACTGTGAGTAGCACTCCCTGAATCTGCCTCCCTGAGCCTCTAAAGCCAAAACCATTCTATGCAGGCATATTTCCCAACTTGGGACTCTGCATTCATCCCCAGCCCTGGTACTAGTCTCCCTGCTCTCGTGCCTTTGCCTTCCTTACCTCTTTACTGAATATCCAACCCACAGAGTCCATAGTTTCTCATCCTTGAAGAGCTGTGTGTAGGTTGGAGACATCACAGGGTGAAAGGATGTTAGATCTGAGAGAATCTTAGAGATCATTTACTTCAACCCCCATCTTATAGAGGAGAACACAAGTCTAGAATGGGGAAGCAACTTACCCAAAGTCACATAAGAACTTAGGGGCAGAATTGGGATGAGAATCCCATGAGGTAGTGCTCTCAAAATCCTAATACCCCTTCAAGGTCCTAGAAACTTTCATACATGATACAAATGGGAATCGCTATCATTCAGGCCTCTTGACTCCTCTCTATCTGCTTACATTCATATTTAAGAGGCAGTATGGTATAGTGGGCAGCTAGATGGTATAGTCGATAGAGTACGGGGCCTGGAGTCAGGAAGACTTACCTTCCTGAGTTCAAATCTGGCCCCAGACACTTACTAGCTGTGTGACCCTGGGCAAGTCACTTAACCCTGTTTGCCTCAGTTTACTCACCTGTAAAATGAGCTGGAGAAGTAAATGGCAAATTGCTCCAGTATCTTTGTCAAGAAAACTCCAAATGGGGTTACAGAGAGTAAGACACAACTGAAAATGACAGAACAACAATAACAAAATGTCATAGCGGATAGAGTGCTGGGCTAGGAGTCAGAAAGACCTCCTGCCTCAGATGCTCAATAGCTGTATGACCCTCGGCAGCCCATGTAATCTCTTGGAGCCTCAGTTTCCTTATTTGTAAAATGAGACTGGACTAGAGCACCTTTGGAATCTCTTGCAGCTCAGGTATTGTACTCTTCCCACTTCCTTTTCCCTCTACCAGACTCTCACTATCTTTCTATGGACAGAGCAATGATTCTATTCTGTTCTCAAAAAATTGCCTTAGTTCTTAGTAGAGAAGAATAGGACTTTCCTTAAAAAAAAAAAAACCTGTAATCTTTTTAGTAAAATTGCTATTCCTGAAATGATCATTGCCAATTTTGGTTTCTTTAAATCTCTGTGCAAAGCAGCTAAGGCTAGAAACTGCCTTTTTTTTTTAATTACCAGAAGGTAGTAAGTAACTTAAATCCCTCTGACCCCTACTCTCTCAGGGCCTCTCTGCCCTTCACTCAAGTAGCCCCAGGCTGTCCCAGGTAGAACCAAACATGAGTTGCTCCTAGTCTCATGATCACTGGAAATAAAGAGCCAGAGCCAGAGGTTTCATTCCCACAGACTGGTGATTCTTAAAGGTATGCAGTCTACTTTGAAGCTTGCTAGATGGTCCGTGAATTTCATGGAACTCACAATTGTATGCCATGCCTGAGTACCTCAGGAATTTCATGGAACTTAACTAGCATGCCACAGCTAGGAATCTCCCAGGAATTGCATTATCCCCATTTTACAGATGAGGGATTTTGACACAGGGAAGGGTTAAAGGGATCACATGTCTAACAAGTGCCTGAGGTGGGGTTTGAACCCAGGTTTTCCCGACTCCAACTTCAGTGCTCTATCCATCATGAAACCTAACTGATTGCTTCTACACCACCAATTACTAGCCATATGAGGATGAGTTGTTTAACCAGTCTGAATCTCAATTTATTCTCCTGTAAAATGGGAATGATAATTGCCATCCTACCTGTCTTCATAAGGTTGTTGTAAGGTTCTAAGAGAGCACATGTAAAAGTTTGTGTAAATAAAAGGCACATTCCAAGTGCAGGAAAACACAGAGACCAACCTAATCCAGTTTTTCTTTTCTCCCTGTTCCCTACCCTCAACAGAGTCATGATGTTTGAAGGAAAAGCCAACGAGAATGCCCCCAAGCCTGCTGGTCCCCCTCCTGAGAGAGACATTGCCAGCCTGCCCTGAAAGTCCCTGCTCTGCCTGCCTGCCTGCTTCCCTGGCCAGCACTCAGTGGGGCTTCTTGCATCTCCTTGTGACTTTTCTTATTTGTTCCTTATTGCTTTGTGGTTTTTGTTTGCTCCTTGTTTTTGTTTTTTTCATTTTTTACCTTAGAAAGTTTTAGTGATTTTTTTTAAAGGCACAAACTAATCTGCCTTAGGGGAGTTAGAAATGGGAGGAATCCAGTGCCTTTGGGCCCTTCCCTTCTTTTGCAGAAGGGCTCATCAGAATTGAGATGAATGTTGGGGTATCGCTGATGTCAAACCAAATACTTATCCTTGGAGACTACTATTTCCTTTCTTCCATAACGTCTGAGTGAGATTAGGTGCTCTCCGCAGTGAGATAAGGGACTTAGATCAGGACCTGTAAATATCTTCCCACTTCCGCTAGTAGCTTTTGGGGTGATCTGAGCCACAATTTCACTTTACCTGCCTTTTAACGTACCTCTCAGGACTCTGGATTCCTGATGATATAGATGCCTTCTCCATGGATAGCATGCAAGAAGCCTGGGGAGCATAGGCAAAACAGCTGGCTTCCACTAAGGTTTTCCCCATTTGCTCTGTGGTCCCAGCTGCCCCTAGACCTTTCTGTCTTCTAGATATCCTGCCGGTCAGCATTTTCATTTGGTATGATCCAGGTCTCCTGTAGCCTTTTGCTTGATCTAAGTAAGCCTGTCATCATGAATGAAGGAATGTGAAGGTGCTGAAATCAAATGCCTCCATGATTAAGAAGGGAAAAAGGTATGGAAAAAAGAGTTAAAAAATTGGGCCCAACAGAGTTACCTTTGGGACTTTGCTCTCTGGAAATAAAGACATCTAGGGACCAATGATGACCCTGAGGAAAATAGCAAGCTAACTGAAGGTTGGACCAGGTTGAATGTTATCTCTTCCAGGGGCAAAAAAAGATGTGAGAAAAAGATGAGAGGGCTTTTGGAGGTCTTCCTTCTAACTGCAGATCATCCCAGGGAGTCAGCACAGTCTCTGTCCCATTTCAAGGGAAGATTTAACAGCATCAGAGGCCAGTGGGGAACTGAGAACCCCAGTACCAAAATGTTACACCTGACTCTCTGTGAAGGGCTAGCATATGAAGGACATTTCTATGAAGAACTAGGGGAGAGGCCCTTCTGGCCATGACCTGGCTGGTTTTTTACTCCTTGCAGAAAGCTTTAATGCCTCTTGATGGCAAAGGCCCAGTGTCCTGCAAACCTCACTTGGCCTTTGTTTTCAGATTGCCCCTCTGGTTTCTCTGGGTGTGATATCTGTGATGCATCCCTAAGGTGTTGTATTACAGAAACAAATGTTAGAGCTGGAGAGGATTTTGGAACATGGAATTTTAGAATGGGAGACCCTCTAGTCCAATCTCATTGTTAGTAAATAGGTGAGACTAGAACTGTCTCTTGTGGCAGAAAAGGAGAGAGAGAGAGGTAGCCAGAAAGAAATTCTAGGGTATATGCTTTGTGTAAATCCTGCACTAGGTGAAGATGACTGGGTACCTCAGTTCACCCTTTATTATAGCATTAGCATGAGGAATCTATTTGCCTGCGTTACCCAGATATCTTCCTCTGTTCCCCAAAGGACCTCTCTGCCTCCTGCCCTCCCAAGCTTCAGAAACGTTTGAAATTTTTGTAGGACATTGTAAAGTTAGTGTCTTGATTCATAGTGAACAGACAGTGCCCTTCGGTCTGAGCTGCCTGGCCCTGCAGAGGTCCCTCTGGAAGCAGCATTGCAGCGGGCCCTGTGGAAGGGGCTTAGTATGTAGAATTGATCCACCATCCACAGTATGACTGGGTGGCTGTCTGAGCCCCAAGGCAGCAGTTGGTCTTGGAATGCCAGCGTGGACGTCTTTACCTAGAAAGGCATAACTAGAACTCTGTGGAAAATGTGACAAAGATGGACTTTGTCACTGGCTACATCCCCTTGGTGGGGTGAGGGTGGATCTGTGCTCCTGGATTATTTGGTGTTGTGCCCCCTTTCAGAAGACTGAAAAACATTAGTAGTACTATCTGTGAATATGACGATGGTCCCCATTCTGAGCAGGGCTTAGACTGTGTTGTGCCTTGCTCCATTCTTAATTGTGATAGATGCTGCTAAGCAAAGAACTTTCTGAATTAGCTTGGAGGCAGGGTGAATGAGCTAAGTCATTGTTGCATGTGAGCCTACCTGGTCCTGACAGGTTCAGGAGCCAGGAAATATTTTTGGCTACGAGTGGTTGAATTTTGGCCTGAGTAGTTGCCAATATGTGCAGACATAGTTGAAGTTTAACCTTTGAAACATTGCTCCTTATAAATTCTATCCTAATTATTATTTCCATAAGGCGACCAACAGAGCTAGCAGCTGACTTGAAATTCTCCCCTCCCCTTTTAAACTGCTGTCTCTTTTTCCCTGGGATGTACTTTGAGCAAGATGAAGTCTGTTTTGGCATCCCAGTCAGATGTAGATGCAATGATTCTCCCTTAGAAGTAAAGAAAGAAGGAGCTGGGCTTCTTTCAGTGGGTTCTGTGGCTTTCTATGACCCCAGGAAAGCCTTGGAAATAATTTTCTTCTACTTTTCCAAGAAATGGGAACAAATGATTTGCTCACAAGCTCTGAGAAGAGGCAGAGAAGGAAGTACTACTCTTTGAAAGGGGTCTCCTCTGATAAAATACATCAACTCCTTCTCCATGGCTCTTCAAGACTCAGAACTTGTTGGAACTGCCCCTCAAACAGAGCCATTTCTGGGAATGGTGATAACTTGGACGGATATGAGGAGCTGCCCCTTGCGTCTGGGGCTCATCTTTTCTGCCTTGGACTTACAAAGCATTGGACTTTCATATCCTGACTTTTACTTTTGAAAGACCAAGTCTGACCAAGTTATAATTCAACCAGATTCTGTCAAGGGCTTGGGCCCTTTTTTGGAACTGAAAAGGAAGAGTTCACCAGAGCTGAGTGAAGTGTCTGTTTGTATGTTTGTGCGTCTGGGAAGGGGGAAGGGGTCACTTCTATAGACTGAAAATAAACTGGACGAAATGTTCATTGGCCTGTTTATTTTGGAGCTTCCAGGCCTACTGACATGAGTCTTAGGTTATATACCCCAGATGCAGTTTTACAACTGCAGTCACACCTGCAACCTTGCCGATCTGGAGATGTCTCAGAACTCTTTGTCCCTGGATTGACTCACTATTTCTTGAGAGGCCCTAGCCATGTTCACCTCATTCCCCAGCTCAACTCACTCTCTGGAATGTTCTGCCTCACCAGCAACCTTGATGTCCCTCTCCCTTCCACAACAACTCTGTGAGGTAGGAAGTACAAGTGTTGTGCCCAATGAGGAAAGGGATGTTCATCGAGGTGAGAATTGCCCATGGTCACATTCAATTCAATTCCATAAGCATTTACAAAGGAGTGTAAGGCACTGAGCTAAGTGCTGAAGATTCTTTTTTTGTATCTGTGAATTGAGTGGGCAGAATACTGGGGTAGAAATTTCACCAATGCAGCTCAGCAACTCTTCCCTAACATAAGTATTAGAGAGTTAACTGGGCCACTGAGAGGTTTAATGACTTGTCTGTGGTCACATAGCTACATGTGGCAAAGGCAGGATTTGAAGCCAGGTCTTCTTATCTCTACTTCATTCACTCTACCATCCAGCTTTATATCATGCTGGGTGTGTGGGGGGGGGAAAGACAAAAATGAAAACCAGATGTTGTCCTGAAGGGGCTCACGTTCTTCTGGGGAATGTCAAATGGACACAGGAGTAAATGCCCAATAATATAAAGAGTGAGAGAACTGGTGGAAACAGGAAAGGCTTCCTGGAAGAAGTGGTACCTGAGTTGAACCTTGAAGGAACCTAAGGAGTCTATGATGGAGGGAGGTAAAGAAGGAAAGCATTCCAGGCATGGGGACAGCTGGTGCAAAGGCAAGAAAGAAGATGGCTAATTCTAGCAACAGCAGTTCCATTATGCTGGGAGTGTGTGAAAAGAAGTCGTAAGAAATGTCTAGGAAGGTAGGTTGGAGTCAGATTATGAAGGACTTTAAATGCTAAGCTGAGGAGTTTGTATTTTATCCCAGAAGCAAAGAAATGAGGAGGGAAGTCATGTAGTCAGACCTGTGCTTTAGGGAGACTATTTTGGCAGCTGCAGAAGAGAATGGACCGGAAGGGAGGAAAATGCTCCCTGGAAGCAGGGGGACTGATTAGGAGGCTACTGCCACAGTTCAGAGAAGGGACTGTGAGGGTCTGAATGAATATGGAAAATATATGAGTTGAAAGAAAGGGATGTGGAAAGTGTCAGGGGAGAATTGATAAGACTTGTCAGTTGATTGGGTACGAGGAATGAAGGAGATGGAGAAGCTGATGTGACTCTAAAGTTGCAAACCTCAGTGATGAGAAGGATGGTGGTACCCATAAGAGAGAAGTGGGGAATTTTGGAGGAGGGATAATTTCATGGGAGAATGTTTTGAGTTCTGCTTTGGACATAGTGAATTGGAGTTGCCCGTAGGCTATTAGATTGGTTATTTGAGACTAGAGCTCAGGTAAAAGACTAGAGCTGGAAACAGAGATTTAGAATTATCTGCATATAGACGGTAATTGAACCAATGGGAGGAAATTAAATCACAGAGAAGAGGGCCCAGGACAAAGTCTTTTGCTGGACACCCATGCTTAAGGTGTGGGACATGGAGGATGATCTAGCAAAAGAGATGAAGAAGGTATAGTTACATAGGATGAGAGCCAGGAAAGAGCAGTGTCAAAAGTGCTGAGGGAGGAGAGAATATCTAGGAGCAGTGGTTAACAATAGACATTTGATTTGAGGAAAAGATATTTGCATTTAGCCCTTAAGAAATCCTTTGTAGAGGGAGTAGTTTTAGTTGTATGGGGATGTCTGAAGCCAGATTACAAAGGATTTATGAATGAGTGGGAGGTCAGGAAGTAGAGGCAATAAGCATAAAAGGCTTTTTTCTTTTCTTTTTGGAGGCAATTGGGGTTAAGTGACTTGACCAGGGTCACATAGCTAGTAAGTGTATAAGGTAAGATTTGAACTCAGATCGTCCTGATATCAAGGCCTGTGCTGTAGCCACTATGCCACCTCACTGCCCTGGAAGGCTGTTTTCTAAGAGTTTGGTTATGAAAGTTCATAAGATAGTGTGAAGGCATGGTAGGGTTAAGCCAGTAAGTATCAGAACTAGGATTCCAGCCTAGGTATCCTGAGTTCAAGTCCTGTGTGCCTTTCTACTATTATCGTGATGCCTCTCATAATACATACTAGAAGTAATTATTTGTTTTCTAAAAGGCTAAAGTGTTATCTTAAAGGTGCGGTGGGGGGCTGGGGGGTAGAGGGTTCTTAACCTTTTGTATATTATGTTTGTCAGTGTGGTGAAGCCATTGAACTTCTCAGAATAATGTTTTTAAATTCATAAAATAAAGTACATAGAATTAGCAAAAGAAACCAATTATATTGCAATGCAATTAACAGAATGTTATTTTAAGAATTTACAGGCCCCCCAGGTGAAGAATTCCTGTCTGAGAACAAGCATTCTTAATGAATTTTGAAGTGTGACTTCATTGATAAAGTTTAATTTACACACAACTCTTCCTAGCTACGTTTTCATTGTACCAAGTGAGATACACTTAGGCTATGTAAGGTTCTTGCCCTGGGGAAACATACTTTAATGAAAGGGAAGTAAGAGGGGCAGCTAGGTGGCCAGTGGACAGAGCTGGGCCTACTGTCAGGAAGCCATGACTTATAAATGGACTGAGACACCTATTAGCTCCATGACCTTGGGCAAGTCACTTAAGCCTTGTTTGCCTCAGTTTCTACAACTGTAAAATGGGAATAGTAATACAGCCAACCTTGCAGGATTGTTCTGAAGATCAAATGAGGTAATGTTTGTAAAAAGTGCTTAGCACAGTACCTGGCACATAGTAAGTATTATGTAAATGTGTATTTCCTTCTCCCTCTCCTTTAGTTAAGCTGGATTTTCACTAAATGTCATTGAAGTAAAGGCATTAATCTCTACTGGTGTAAAGTTCTACATTAACTAGTAGTCTCAGCCTTTCACACTGTTGATCACTCTCTCCTTCTTGATGCTCTCTTCTCTCTTGGTTTTCAGGACACTCTTTGTCTCTCCTGTTTCTCCTCCTTCTCATCTGACCTCACCTCTGTCTCATTTGCTGGATCTTCCATCATGTCATGCCTTCTAAATGAAGGTGTCCCTCAGGGTTCTGTCCTGGACCTTATTCTCTTCTCACTCTATACCACTTCACTTGGTGATCTTGTTGGCTGTCATGGATTTAATTACCATTTCTATGCTGATGATTCTCAAATACACTTATCTTGCCCCAAACTCTCTTCTGATCTCCAATCTCATATCTCCAATTGTTTTCAGACATCTTGAATTAGATGGCCAGTAGACATCTTAAACTCAATATGTCCAAAATGGAACTCATTATCTTTCTCCTTAAAACCTTCCACCCTTCTACCTTCCCTTTTACCATAGAGCACAACGCCATCCTCTTAGTCCCTCAGGCTCATAACCTAGGAATCATCCTAGACTTCTCACCATTTCTCGGCTCCTAAATGGAGTCTAATTTCACCATTGTAAAATCTCTCCTATATGACCCCATCTCTCTTCTGACACTGTCACCACTCTAGTACAGGCCCTCATCACCTCACACCCGGATTACTGCACTAGCCTGTTGGTAGTCTCCCTACTTCAAGTCTCTCCCCAATCCCTCCTCCATTCAGCCACTAAAGTGATTTTCCTAAAGTGCAAGTCCGATCATGTCACTTGCTACTCGATAAAATCCAGTGGCTTCCTATTGCCTCTAGGAACAAATACAAAATATTCTCTTTGACATTCAAAGTCCTTTGTAATCCAGCCCTCTCCTACCTTTCCAGTTTTCTTGCCCCCTGTTACTTCCAGACAGGTACTCTTTGATCCAGTGATACTGATTTTCTAGCTGTTCTACAAACAAAACCCTCTAGTTCTCAGCTCCAGGCATTTTCTCTGCCTGTTCCCTGATCCTGGAATGCTCTTCTTCTGCTCCAACTAATGACCTCTGCCTGGCTGCCTTTAAGTCCCAACTAAACACCCCATCTTTTACTGGAAGCCTTCCCCTTTAATTGTAGTGCCTTCTGTCTGTTAATTATTTCCTATTTATCCTGTATATATAGCTTGCTTTGTCTATATTTGTTTGCACGTTGTCTTGATTAGAAGGTAAGCTCCTTGAGGGCAGGGATTGTTTTTTATTTCTTATTGTGTCTCCAGTGCTCAGCAGAGTGCCTGGCACATAGTAGATGTTTAATGAATGTTTATTGATTAATTGATTGAGGGCAGGAGGTAAAAGAGACAGTCTGCCTCAAGGACAAAACCAGAAACAACAGCTGAAAGTTGGGGTGAAGTAGATCTTATGTTTCACAAGGAAAAACTTCCTGATAGAGTTGTCCAAAAGTGGAATGGGCTGCCTTGAAAGGCAGACCTCCATCCCTGGACATTTTCAAGTGGGGGCTACTATGAAGGGAATTCCTGCTCTGGTATGCTCTAATGTCCTTTGAAGTCCCATGCAAATATGAAATTCTGTGATTCTGAGATATCTGGGCACAGGGAACCCTTCCAAGATCTATCAAATGATGCCATGCTCTTACTATTACAAGTCTCCTGACTGGTAGGCTTGCCTTTTTCAAGACTGTATACCCTCCCTACTGCCCCTCTAGTTTCCAACCCCTTCCCCCAATCTTACATTAAGAAGATTAATCTTCCTAATATATTCCTTTGATGATATCATTTTCCTTCTCAAAAATCTTCAAGGATTCTTTACTGCTCACAGAATAAAGTTGTAGTCACAGAATTTTAAAAGTAGAAGGGCCCCTGGAGACTATTTAATCCAGGCGTTCTTAACCTTTTTTTGTGTCATGGATCCCTTTGGCAATCTGGTGAAGCCTATGTACACTT